TCGTTACCTTCGAATGGAAGCTGGATTAACATTTTTTTCTGTTGGATCATGACCAAGACTTTGTAATGCCGGTTTTAACATAAGTGCCGCCCCACGATCACTCAATTTAGACACATCTAAATTAGCAGCCAACTTCTCGTTCAGCATATTTTTCCTGCCACGTCTAGGACGCTTTGGAGCCGGTGTACCTGTTGATGGCTCAAGGTCATCTGAAATCAAAAATTTCAGTTTTGATAAAAAGCTATTTTTTTTTGTCATGTTTGTCTATGTAACTTTAAAATTACATCGTATAATGACAAAGAGAAAACATTTTTCTTGCACCAAACAAATTTAATGAAACTTCTTATCAATTTTACACAGCCTACCTCATTTTCTTCCGCTTTTAATCAACATGCTTTGTTAAATACATATATTGAAATAAATTCTTTGCAAAAGATTCAACTCCTTCCCTCCATGGATCCACCTTTGCCCATAGTATTGATTTATAAATAATTGGAGTGACTTCAGTCAGTAGCTTTTTATAGTGAAATAATAATTGCACGTAAAAAATTATTTAGCGTAGATGTAAAAACTTATTTAATGCAACAAACATGCAATAAAATTTTTATTAAAAAGTTTAAAGCTATAAATGTATTAAAAAACAAATCTTTCAAACAGAATAATTATATAAAATAAAAATACAATTTTACGAAAAAAAAAAAGATTTTTTAAAGCAAAACAGTCTAATCCAAGGTTTTAAATGTACTGCTTTGTATATAAAGATTTTTTTATTTATTTAGACAAATAAGCTATTTTCTTCCTAGCCTTTCGTCAGCCTCGTTTTCTAAATTATAAGCTGACAAGTACTCCCCATTTGGTAGTAACAACGCTGGGTTCTTCTCAGTGTTTTTACTTGATCCGAGAGACGTGTACCCTTGGTCATATAACTTACAATACGGCTTATTGAATTTTTTTAGGAACTGCCAAACTTCTCCATAGCTCCAATCTAACAGTGGCATAACACGCATAAACTCTGGCCAGCCTTTGTCAGTCATTGATAACGCTTTTAAATGCGAAGAAAAAGGATCACAGCGCCTTGTTCCCATAATAATAGCTTTTAATTCAGGATGTGACTTCTTTAGTTTATTTAGCCCTGCTTTTATACCTTCATCTAAACTAATCAATTTAAATTTATACTTATTCTCGCATTCTTCAATAAACTGCTGGACCATTGGAAACTGATTGGAATCTTTAAAATATAATCCTATAAGTTCCTGTTTCTGTTCTGGAAAAATTGACTTGAAATATGCCATAATCAAATGTAAGACAACAGTGCAATCTTTTCCACCGTTAAATCCAATGCAAACCTGATTAGGAGAGTACATATCAAATGTCTGCTTGAAAACTGCCCAGGCGCATTTTATTGCATCAGCTAATGAAGTTGTGTTTTCTCTACAAAGATAGCCGTCCAATTCGTTTGGAAAAGTGTTTTGGTCTGAAATTTTATGAATTTATGTGAAATTAAAAACACAATTATGAAATAACACAAATAACAGTTAAATATAAAGTTAAAAAAAAAAAGAGGGAAAAAAAGTACTTACGTGTACATTCAGTTGTTAGACTATTTGATTGGTGTGAGCTTTGACGAGAATTCGGTAAACATTTTTTAACAGAAAAAATAGCTTTTTCCGGCAACAATCCAACCAAACTTTCGAAAGCCCTTTCTAAATTTTCTTTTTCTTCTGATTCCAAGGTCACTTTTACCTTAAAAGGTTTGTTTAGGGTTGGATAGGAACCAACAGAGACAGAAGGATATTGTTTATTAACATTATCCAAAGCAATCTTGATGGCTTCTTCATCAATAGATATATAAACTTTAATAAGAAAAAATTTGATGTGGTTGCTAAAAATAGATTGATTATCCAAAAATAACTTTTGAAGGTAAGAAGGTACTCCCGGAAAAATATAAATATTTTTAACGCATACTAGCGGATATTTAGTCGGTCCTTCTGTCAATGGATCTATTGCAAATATTAAATTTGCAGATTGTGGCAGTAAAAATGTCTTATTATCTAAAGCAGTATCGTTGTTCTGCTTTTCACTTTCAATATACAAACTAGTATATTGGAATTCTTTATTAAATACCAGAGACTCTCCAAAAGCTAAAGCAATACCTTCGTATGTTAAGTCATCATGTGTTGGACCAACCCCACCAGCAGTAATAACAAAATCATATTTATCAGAAAATATCCTTACTTCGTTTGCTATTTCTTGAACTCTGTCTTTAATAAATGAAACCTTTTCAACTTTAATTCCATTTTTCCAAAGTTTGTCAAGTAAAAATGATGCATTTTCATCCTTTGTATGACCTTTTAATAACTCGTCTCCAATAATAATTAGACCAGCAGATTTGTTTTTAACACTATCGTTTGCCATATTCATGGTTGTTAGTTAAGTTATATAATGTACTCTTATTTTTAGTAATTAGACTGGACATTTTAACTAAATAAGTTGAGTTTAACCGAGTTTACTGAAATTAAAATACTACTATCGAATTTCTACTTCAAGGCTAGTTTAAAACTTAAAATGGCTACTTTATGTAATCGTCTTACAAAGAAATTGTATTTAATTGGAGACTCAAACACGGAGGTAAGCCTTCAAATAGGGGTTTAATTTCTAGCTTATTTAAATTATCATGTAGTTAACAATATTCTATACAAATCAAAATATATTTTCCTTATTATATTGTAATATATTTTACAAAGTATTTTTTAAATTAAAAGATTAACAGGTTAGATTCAATAATGTTCGATTTATGTTAATATTTACTAATAATTTAGAAAGCATCATTTAATAATGGTTTTGCAGCTAAGCTTACAGAGGAATATTCAAGGTAAAGCTAAGTATTTCAAACATTTTGTTATAAATGTGTTTTTTTAGAAATTAATGTAATTAAAAGTACTTTAAGTACATTTAAATATTCTAAAAAAAATGTGTCTATTAATATATTATATTCTATAAAATTCCAAGCCAATATCTGTTACATAAATAGCTGCTTATAACTAAAGAAGCTTAGCTTGAAAAATGAGATGCTTGTAAATGCTTATATTATCTATAGAGATGCTCGTAAATGCTTATATTATATAATAAATAGGTAACAAAATTTTCAGGATATTCTGCAACTTAAATATAGATTACTAAAATTATTTTATGTTTTTGTCCATTAAAGTGCCAAGTAATTAATGAGTAAAAGCTATATCTATAATGATTTATAATAATTTATTATGTCTAGTTAAAGTTAACACTGTTGGCATTAAACTCATTAAGCATTTTATTTCATTTCTAAATTTGCTACTTGACACAAGGTGTTAATATTATTTTATGAATAAAATAGAAAAAGTTTAGATTTTTTGCGAATTTTCTACCAACACCGTATTCAGCATTTTATTATTCAGTATTCAACATTGAAAGAAAAATTAAAGAAATGTGACATTTTAAAAACTCTCAACTGTGTGCCACAAAACTGGATTTTCTAGAAAACAAGATTTTATTTGACTCAAAGATCTCTTTTGTTAATATGGTTGGCTAATTTACAAAAAAAAAATTTAGTTCCATCAAAATTATTTTCTGTTACCATAATCAATTCTAAGAAAAGTATTTTGAGAAAAAAATTACCAAATTCTGCCACCCTTTTGGAATACACATGGAAAGTAAAAAAGTGCTATAAAAGATAACATACTAATTATAATAAATGCTAACATTTATTATATTTATTATGTTAATATGGGAATTAAAAAGTGAAAAAAAGGGTAAGTTTGATACCTCTAAAGAATTGCTTGGGATTTCACCAGTAAATTGAAAAGTGTTCCATAACGCACTGACGTAACCACATACTTTTGATATTTATCAAAGTTAGGTAATTATGAATAACAATAATTACAATCGTCATACTTGAATGCATTCATGTAAAAACTTGAATATAAATAGTTTTGTTTTGAGATGTTGGAAATTAGGTTTCGTATTTTTTTTATTTAATTTTTATAAATGAGTTTTTGAATAAATTATGAAGCTAAGAGTATATTGAATGAGAAAACTCAGACTGTAAGTACAAAGAATGCCTACAGAGTTTGCAAATGTGCAACAAAGTCAGCAAATAATCTGAACTGTGACAATTGTAAATAAAATGTACCAAAAAAAGTGTACCCTAATGTTTTTTGTAAGGGTGCAGTTGTGCCTCACAATGGGGGCAAAACCCTTTTTTTTCATCAAATATAATTTTTGTGAAACATTTTCAAAAACCAATTAGTTTTTTTTCTTAATTGCATCAATTTAAAGCTTATTGATGTGTTTATTGATATAAACTGTTAAAAAAACACATTTCGTTTTTATTTTCATATAACATTAATCCAAACACTATGGGGGTGGTTATGCCTCCACTTCCCTTCTGTGTATTAGGGTGCAACAAAAAAATTTGGATTCTTAATGTAATAGCAATAAAAAGTAATCTTATGCTTTAAAATTATCAAATTCCAAAAAAATATATTAAAAAATCATAGTTTAATTATTATTATTTTTGTTTAAAATTATTGAATTTTCAAAAAAAATCTTATAGTCTTTAGGTGTCCAAGGGGGTAAAAAAAGGGCCAAAATAAAAGATCCTTAAAATTTTTTTCACAATTAACAATTAGGATTGCTAATAGTTAAAAAATAAGAAAAAAAAAAATTTTTAACTTTAAAATTTAATGACATTTTGGCTCTTTTTAAACCATAAAGGGTTTAAAAAGGGTTTAAAAAATAAGAAAATTTTTTTTTTTTTAACTTTAAAATTTAATGACATTTTGGCCAATTTTAAACCCTAAAGGGTTTAAAAAGGGCTAAAGGGTTATAAAGTACCCTCCACCATCTCCACAATTTTACTTTGTGTCACTTATTCTGTAGCATTAATTTATAAATGTCGGAAATTTTTAAGACTATTTTTGCATTGCCTCTTTTCCTGAATATTTCCTTCACAATTGCCCAGTAAGATTCAATAACTGGCTGCTCAGGACAGTTTAGTAGATTAGCATCCTTTGGAACAAAATTGAAGGTTTTTTCTTATACCACTGAATTACTTTTTTGAAATATGGAATTGATGCCAGATCTGTTAAGTTGATTATTTGTGCTTTTTAATTAGAGGAAAAAGTCATTTATTTTTGCTTTTTAATTAGAAAAGTTACTTTTTCAAGTATTCCCTCACATATAGATCTGGTGGTGTCAAAGATTGATTTGTTACAAAAGGAGAGCTTTTAAAACCTCAACTGCAAATTGCCTCCCATGCAAGGAACTCAAAAGTGATTTTTTTACTCAAATGTACTTAAATTTGTCAGAAGCTTTATAATGTTTTGACTGATAATAGTATTGATTACCTGGAAGCATCAAGTGATCTTTCTTACAGTTTTATCGTCTTCTAAAATGCATAAATTTTCTTTCGTAATTTATTTAAGCAAATTTTTAACTCATTTGCCTTGATTTTTCAATCAAGCGACCTTTTTGGTATTTTTTTCTTGTAATGTTTTTTTAGATTTTCTTTTTTGAATACTCTTTGAACGAAAGCTTTATTACATTTAAACTTCGTAGCTAAATCTTATTGTGACTAAGTCAGATTTTTATGAATTGAGTCGACTATCAATTTTACCTTCTTTTTGGAAATAAATCTTGATTTTTTGCCACTTCTCGATTTTATTTAGCAGTTTTGTTTTCCTTTATAATATTAATTACAACAGTTAATTTTGCAACTTAAAATTCTTTTGAAATCATGGAATATGAGAATAATAGATTTTACATTGAAAATTCATATATATATATATATATATATATATATATATATATATATATATATATATATATATATATATATATATATTTATATATATATATATTTATATATATATATATATATATATATATATATATATATATATATATATATATATCCTAATATTGTAGTCTTAAGAGACTTTTAATGTAAAAAAAAACTCTTTCGACTACATTTTTGCTACCTCGACAATTAAGTTACATTTTATTGTCGTCAAAATGTCAAAGCAATTAAATTAATGCGGAAGTACATTAAATTTTATTGTTTTTTAAAAAAACCACAATAATAATTTTTTTAATTAATGGTGTTTTTGTTGTTGTTATTAAAGTACATTTTTAAAACATGTGTGTTCAAAATATAAGTGTGGCTACATCGACTATTATATAACTTGCTGCTACAAGAAAGTGTTGCTATATCGACTATCTTATAACCTGACTCACAACGGAGTGTTGCTACATCGACTATCTTATATCCTGACTGGCATGGGAGTGCTGCTACATTGACTTGCAAATAGCCTGACTCACAAGGGAGTGCTGCTACATTGACTAAGAGTTTGGTTAGGACAGGCAATCTATCATTTAATTAAAAAAAAAAAGATTTAAGTTTTTAAACTATTTATGGTCTGGCTTATTAGTGCTCTCTTTAAAACTACAGTTTATGGGAAAAACTCTTCGACTACCATGCAAGGTACTACAATACCATACTTTCAACTGCCATATATATATATATATATATATATATATATATATATATATATATATATAATATATATATATATATATCCTTATCTCGTAGTCGAAAAAAAATCTCTTTTAACAACAATTTTGCTACCTTGACAATTAAGTTACATTTTATTGTTGTCGAAAAGTATATATATATATATATATATATATATATATATATATATATATATATATATATATATATATATATATATATATATACACGCCGCCCAAATTAAAATTGAGGACTTTTTTTTTTATGTTTTTTATGACAAATACTTTTTTTTTTTTGTGAAAAAATGCTGATTCTCCATTAAATTTCTTCGTGACTGGAGGGGTCACGAAGAAATTTAAAAAAATTACCGACCTTAATTCTATATTTTATGATAACCTCTTTTATTTTATGGTAACCTCTTTGTGTCAAGTTTTTTTTGCCAACCTTATGCCGACCACTAACAGTTTGATCATGGCTCAAATTAAGCGTATCATGATTGCTTTTCACGACTTTGAGATTAGTTTTTCTTAAAAAAAACATTTTCGCGATTTGTTTTTTATTTGTTTACATTTTTTTTAATTTAGCTTTTTTTTTTGGCAATTGTTAAAAGTAATGTTTTTGTCGTAAATTACATCATGCTTAATTTATTTTTGAATAGAAGCATGATCATTGCGCGGATAATTTCATTGAAAGTAAAGCACTTTTGAATTTAAATTACTTTAAATCTCTGAAAGCCAATAAAATTTTAAAAGGTTGTTAAACCAAAAAGTTGAAAAGAGAAAAGATGTTAAAGTGAATTTTTTCTTAATTCTTTTTTTTTAACAAAACAGCATGGTTTTTATCTTTTAAAATGTTGCACCATATTAACATATTATTTGTAATTTAGATTATCATTTTATCCTCAATTTTATATTAATAATTTTACTACTTTAAGTAAATTAAAGTATATATTATTTACAAATTTCAATTATTACAAATTTCAAATTATTTAATCAATATTTACAAATTTCAATTATTTAATCAATGCTAATAGAAACCAGCAACTTGCTTCAACATTTTTTGCTTTAACAACCTTGTATCTTCTAAAGTTATATTTAGTCTGATTTACTGAATGGATAAAGTACTTCACAGAAAATTTACTTAAAAGCTAAATCAAATATCAACTTATCAATTATATTAATGTATTTAATATACTCAAAGATTCCCAAAAGTTAGCTATATAAATGTTTCTATTTATATCTTATATGTTGTTAACACATAATATAAGCTTCTAACTAGAAATTATTTTAACAAAAATTGTCAAATAGAATATGAAAAACGCGACATCATTTTTTGTATATTTTTATTTTATTTTAAAGTGATATCAAGCAGGGGCTATTCTAGACCATTTGGGTGCTGATTGAAAAGAAAAAAAAGAATTTTTTATATTTTCATTTTTTTTTCGCAAAAAAAAATGCCGGTTTTCTGCTAAAGTCTGCCGAAACAAGTGGGTACCGCTGCCCAAATTTTTTTCCTAGAATAGGCCTTGTCAAGATAAAACATTTTCTATAAATACACAAGTTGTTTATAGGAATTTTATTTAAAAAGAAATATATTTGAACAAAAGAATTTTAGTCTTTTAAAATTCTCTTATTCAAATAATTTTGCGATTGAAATTTAAGACGGAAAAAAAATCAGAAAATTTTAAAACAATTTGAAGAAACAAATAAAAATGAGTAAGAAAGTTTTTTTTTTTGTAAATTGTAAATTTTGTAAACGTTTTGAATAGTTAATTATATTTTGTTTCTTGAACATTGTTTTAAAAGTAGAAACATTCTGTTGCAAATATTAAACCAGTGATTGCTAAAGTTAAAATAAAAATTAAATTATAATTTAATTTAATAATCCTTCCTTCATATCACTTCCTTCATCTTGCTTTCCTGATTTATATAATTTGCAATCTTTAAAGTCGTCTGTCAATCGTTATCTTACTCTATAATCTTCATCTTTTCTCTTCCAGTAACTTCCAACACTAATTAGTGGTTGCTTGCAGCCTTGTTGAAAGCGAAGATGTTTCAAAAAAAAAAAAAAAAATTGAAATAAAGTTAATAAAGTATTTTACTTCTTTTCAAAAATAAATTTTTCTAAAAAAATAATTTAAGCATATTCATATACTTAATATAATTCAATTTATTAAACCAAATTTTTTTGTTTCACTATTTATTGGAAAACAATTTGAATAAAAAAATTAAATGAAAACATCAATTAAAAACCATTTGAATGAAAAACTTAAATATTTAATAGTGCACTAAATCAAGAAACAATAAATTTAAAAAAAATGTGGTGTCTAATGTTTTTTTGCTTTGATTTTACTCTTTTGGTCTATAGATTATAGAATTGTATGCTTTTTAGGCATATTTTTGCACAAATATGAAGTTTTTTGGCGATGATGTTTTAATTCATTAGTTAAAACAGTTTTGTTTATTTGCTTCTTTTTATTTTAAACATGTTTTATGTTATTAAGGTTATAAACTGCACGAGACAGTGTCATGAAGTTGTTTTACATTAACACAAGCTCTTTATATTTTAAAATAACTTTGCAGTTTGTTTTATTGTTGTTTTATAGCTTTTTATGATGATAATTAAATACTCTTTAAAAATAACACGTGTTTTATTGTCAGCATGAATGTATTAAGTAGTTTTCTATGACTAATTAAAGTGGTTTAAATATTGTAGTGTTTGCTTTTTACTCGTTTTTTTTTAATTTTACTTTTTTAAGTATCATGTTAAGTAAAAACAGTTACTAAAAGAAATTTCTTAAAAGTATTAAATACGTTACTTGCTCATTACACTATAACTGCAAACTTAAATTTTAAATTATAACTAAAGCTGTGAATTAACTTACGCTGTTTTAAACTCCACCAAATGAGAAAATTATAAGATAATATTTAAATATGAGAGAAAATATGTTTAAAAAATAACAATTATGTAAAATAAAATCCCTTCGCTCCCCCCCCCCTTCCTTATCTCCTCTGGAAACTCATATGGAACTGTGTAGAGATTTGGAGGTTTAATTCTTTCATTACTATTTTTTTTTAAGTCCAGCTGTTGATAACTAGGGCTAATATTATAGTTGTTGGTTTTGCAAAGAAGGCAAATATTGTGTTTCTCAGCTTTAATTTGGAAAATGCCACTTAGGTAATTCTTAGGTGAATTCTTTAGTTTTTGCTGTAATAAATATGTCGGCTATTAAAAGAAGTTATAATGCTGCATTGTCAATACAACTCATATCTCCAGATTTGGATTACTTAACAGTAATTACAAAGTCATTGAAGTCATATGTTTTCTTCTGTAGTCCTTCTAACAGCTCAACTTGATGGTAAAAGCTATCAATGCTCATGAAAGAGTGGCCTTGCTGGAAGTATTTTACAACTAAGCTATGATTTTTCTATAATCATGTAAAACTGTTAACTAGCACCACTTGTTCTATGAAGAACAATTATCTAACCATTGAATAAAATTTTCTGTATCTCTGTGCTTTATATGTGTTTTAAAAAACATATATATAGCGCTTATGTTGTCTTTTCTTTTGTGATCAGCAATTCCTTGATGCCACAACATAGAGTGTACCTTTATTTTTTTATTTTTATTTTTTTGCCCCAACTTATCAAGCGTTACATAATATGCTATCAAGCGCTTTACAAATATCACCTTTTTTTAGCATAATGATTTTTTGTAACATGATTATTTTCAACATGTCAAAAAAAAAAAAACAACTATTTTCTGCCATTTCAATTTAAAAAAAGTTTTTTTAAACTGTTCTTGCTTTAAAAATAATCTATTGTGAATTTTTCATTATAAGCTATGAATACAGTTATGTGCTTGTTTTTTTTCACTCTTTTTAAAACCAAGCTGTTCAAATTTGGAACATTGCTATACTATACTTGCTTTTTAAAAAGGGAATCATAAGAAACTCTACTCTTGTATTCACTTTATTTTTTATAGAGAAAATTGTTATGTATAATGATAATGTTAACTTTTACCTGGTAAGTATCGCAAATTTGAAGCATGTTTTCCTCCTTATCAACAAATAAAGTTATAATGCCTTTAGGGGTACTGGTGAAAATATAATGCAAATATCATTTTTTAGTTTTTTTCAAAACCTAAGTTGTTAGAAAAAGGCTCTAACATTCCTCATGATGCATAATTCTTAACTTTCAGATAGTATTAAATAGAAATCTATCACCTCTCTGTATCATAGTTTTAACCCTTCTTGCATGTTGATAAAAAGAAATGTCCATGTTTGACCCACTGAAAATCCCAAAACTGTTTGTTTATAACTACTCTTCTTTTTCCAACAAAATGCTTGCTTTTTTTCTTACAATAACTGATAACATTTTCATAAAGTACTTGTTTAACTGAATGGGCTATTTTCATTTTCTCATTTCGATTTCATTAATTTTTTTCTTTTTTATTTAATATATTATTAATCATTTTCGCTTCTTGCTGTTTTAGATGTCTATAAAACATAATAAAATGTATTTTAGACATAAAGCACGTCTTATGCCCACTGGGATTCTTTTCTAGTACTTTAATGTCAGAATTGCAGTTGTTTACAGAAACTGCATTATAAAAGCGTAAATCTAAGTTCTCATAATCTTTGCAAAGTTGATATTGTTAATAATATTTAAATAAACTTAATATTCTAGGTCTTTACATGCCATCAGTTTATAACTGTTTGTAAATGTCCCGCACGATTGTATATATATACAGTATTATTAAAGTGAAAATATATTGATTTGATTTTTGATTTTGATTTTGATTTAACAAAATAATAAAACTAATACTTGTTATCTAGCGTTACAACTTTTTTTAACTTCAATTTTGGTTTCTACCAAAAATTTCAATGTAGTTTTTTTTTTTTTAAATTTGTTATTTAAGGTGCTCCAAGAAGTCCTAATGGTTTTGTCACAGAGTACTGCCGAAGTGCAATTAACCAGAAAGTTCATGCCTCTTTCTTTACGGTGACGCGAAATATGTCCAAAACTCGTTTCGAACCTGGATCTCCTGCTTAAAAAGCAAGCGATCTAACCACTGCGCCACGGCTGCAATTTTTTGCTTGCTATTTTGTTCAAAACTTTCAGACTTGCTATTCTGTTCAAAACTTCTTTTCTTCAAGAGCAGACTAAACTAAATGTTTTGAACAATTAGATAAGTATTAATATCAACTTTGTTGCTTCACATCTTTTTTTTCGCATCAAGTAAAGAAAAATGTTGTATGTAAAACCATGTTAATATGCTGCATGTAAAATCATGCTAATATGATATATGTAAACTCATGATAAGTATAAATGCAGTATGTGCAGTAGGATTACCACATTATTGGTTAAGATAAACAATGCTAAGATAAATGCAGTTTGTGTAGAGTTACCACGTTTTTTGTAAGAAACTTGGAAATATGGCAGTCTTGCCTAGCTAATAAACAGTATTAGTGTGTTTACAATAAATTGTAACTCTTATATCTAGTAAGGTATTAGAGATATGGCATTTTTGACTTGTGTGTTATATTTCATATGGTCAAAAATCCGGGATTTCATTTAAAACTCAAAATCAAAAATTTTAAAAGCTTTTTATAAGAAAAATTACTTTTTATAAGTTCCTTCCCTAAATATATATACAGCTTAATTATATATTAAAAAAAAATGTAAAACAAATAAATTAAACACCATCTATAATACATAGAAATTATATAAATAATATACAATAAACAGTATAAAATAAATATTTTTAAAATAAGTAAAGTAAATACAAAAGGAGTATAAATAAATATTTTAAATAAAATATTTTATTAAATTCATAGATTATAACTTTATGTAAACAATTAAGTTAAAAAATGAAATAAAAATAAGTGTTTTAAATGTTTTTTTATATAATGAGCAATTAACTATTTTAAAGGAGGTTAGATGTTGTCAACAGAGGCTTCAGTGGATACACTACACAGCATATACGTATAATGATACCAAAGCTTCTAAAAAATGACAATCCACTGATCGGATGTATTCACACTGCGATAATACTGTTGAGTACAAATGATTCAGTTGATCCAGAATTAGATAAAAGAGCAGTTGATGTTAACAAGAGCAAGGAAAATCTAGAGTTTATCATCAAAAATTTGAGAGATAATGGGGTTTTAAATATTATATTATTAACTCCGCCTCCTATTGATGGAGAAAAATGGCATGATTTTATGATGGAAACACAAAGTGAGAGATTATTTTAATTATTTGATTTTCTTATCTTAATACTTTATACTTAAGCATCTTGCGTTTTAACCAAATTACACTCAATTCGTAGCTTTTTTGTGCAGGAATGGATGAAAGAGCTTGGTGAATGAGTATGAAAATGTTTATCAACAACTGATGGAGATAACTGTGATGTAGATAAATTTATATTTTAACCTACACAGAGTATGTGATGTATTTTTAAGAAGTTTTTATTAAAAAATTTTAAACCATTTTAGTTTAAAAAGTATAAACTAAAAAATGTAAACTGGTTTATTTTTGCATACCAGTACTTTTCAACAATTTTTGTAAAGAGTTTCCAACAGTGTTTTTAAAATGTCTAGATCTGCTTTTTTGTAAGTACTATGGGTTGCAGTGTTGAACTAAAATTGCTAGAAGTTTGAAAACTATCGAAAGAGAATTTACTTTTAAAGTTTTTACTTTTAAAACTTTTAAAGAAACTTTTAAAGCACAACCATAAATGACAAATTTATTTTCTTTTCTATTTATTATTTGTATCTATGAAGTTAAATTTCTACTCACTACATTTAACTATTTTAACTTTCCTCAGCTATTTTAACTTTAACTCTTAGTGAAAAAACAACACATGACAATTGCCTACTTTACTTTAGCTGTTTTTAGAAGGAGCACTTGACCATAAGTAGGAATTTTTCTAATGGTTGTTTCAATATCATTACTCAGTTACATGATTTTTAAAACAGGTACCAGGAAAGGCTGATGTAAAGTTCTGCTTCAAGTCTTTATTCTCTTCTTAGGTATTAAATATTGTTAAAATGATACAAAAGAAAATTGTCTCACTTGAGCGAGCAAATTAATTTTTGAGAAAACCTTTAGAAAAACCGTGCAAAATAGAGCAAGTGTACTATTTAAAGTTGACTAATACTTTACTATTGACAGTTATGTTAAACATAATGTAGGTTGCTGTTAGATATGCATTTTTTAAGAACATAAACTAAATGCAAAATTTTAAGAATTGCTTTTTACATGGATAATTGTATTTATTACATATAAATTTGTCATTTAATAAAAATATTTGCTAAAAAAAAACACAACAAACAGCAGGAACATACTATTTTATTAAATTTTTATATCAATAATGAAAATGAAGAATCTGGAGAACTTAGAACTAATTTATTTAATAGTCTATCTACCAATCTATTGTTAAAGAAATAATTGAGTTTAAAATACAGAAAAAAAAAAAAATATATATATATATATATTTAAAAAAAAAAAAATTGAACTATTTATAGTGATGGTGTATAGATCAAGTTTTTGATCAGAAAAGACAGTTGGGAATTTGTTAGAATTATTTTGAATACTTAAATTTTAGTACAACGTCAACAGTTTCAGTTAATGATGCTTTCAATTTTAAAGCTTTTTTGTGTTAGTATAAATGCTATAACATTCTCTTTATGATGTTTATCTGATTAATACTATCTTTTTTATAAGTTTGATATTGATCATTTTTTTGCTCTTATATCTGAGATTGTTTTTGGTATTTGTTAATAATTAATTTGGTAATAAAGGTTTTATTGTTTTTCATGACTTATTTCAATTTAGATTTAAAAGAAAATACATTGTTATTATGTGATATTAACATGAATCAAACATTTTTCTTTGTTAATTTAGATCGACCAGGAAGTTTCTCAAATAAAAGAGTTTTGAATTACGTTAAAATGTGCAGAGAGTTAGCTATAGAGCAGCAAATCCATATTATTGACCTCTACGATTGTATTATAAAGTTAGAAGTAAGTAAAGAGTGTAATTTAAAATTGTAAAATGTAAATGTAAAAAAAAAAAAAATTGTAAAATGTAATAAAGGTAAAAATAAATAATATAATAGTTTAATTTTTTTTTTTTTCACTTTTAAAACTTTATCTTACATCATATACTATATTATATATTTTTTAGATTTGTTATAATATAAATTAAAATTTTATAATATATATTTTTTTTAGATTAGATATAATATAAATTAAAATTTTATAATATTTGATATAAGATAATGATTTTAAGACTAAAAGAAGATAAAAAATTTAGCAAAGTTTTAAATATTTTTATTAACTCTTTTATATATATATATATATATATATATATATATATATATATATATATATATATATATATATATATATATATATATATATATATATATATATATATATATATATATATATATATATATATATTTATATATATATATATTTATATATATATATATTTATATATATATATTTATATATGTATATATGTATATATATATATATATATATATATATATATATATATATATATATATATATATATATATATTCACTTTACCTTTAATTATTTTGGAGTATAAGTTTTAAATATTTATCATTTAGAATTGGAAGCAGTATTTTTATGACGGACTTCATTTTTCACAAAGTGGTAACTTGTTAGTTTTTTATAAGCTAAAGGAGGTTTTGGATGTTCTTCTTGCAGATGTTGTACCTGCGTATCCTGATTGGAAGGACATTGATCTAAACAATCCAGATATCAGTTTAGGATAATCTTTACTTGTTATGTATATATAAAAAGAATATAGCTGCATTATGTTCAGTATATTATTTATTGTAAATCACAAATGACGCGCGCTGTTTTTTTGAAAAAGAGTAATCACCCTATTAAAAACAGAGTGTCATTACTTTTGCAAGTATTTATAGAATGCATAACAGAGTGCGTGTCGTTTTTTGCTTTTCATGAAAAAACAAACTAAAAACTTTTAGTATCACTATGTTCCTATTCTAATATTTTTTTTTTTTGGGGGTCATCATTTTTAATGTAGCAAATTAAAAACAAACTAACAGTAGCAAGTAGCATTTGCTCTTTATATTGTACGAGCAATAAAAAGCTCTGTATCCTTTTTATCATTTTTTTTTATAAAGTAGAGCAAGCATCAAGTTATTTCTTCTTAAGTTTTTAAAAGAAGATGACTAGGATTTTGGAAATTTAAAAAGCGTTTGCTTTGAAGCTGGAGCAGCTTAATTTTCAGTCATTCTTCTTACCTAGTAACAATGGTTCTGTTTCATTCGGCAACGAATGAAACAGAACCATTGTTACTATGTAAGAAGATTCATTATTAATTAGCTTCAGATACTAAACATTGTTGCTATATAAGAAAATTCATTAGTAATTAACTTCAGATTGTAAATCTGTACTACTCTTGAACGTTAGTACAATAGGTCGGCGATTTAGTTTACATAGGTCGGCGATTTAGTTTAAGTTTACATAAGTCGGCGATTTACATAGGTCGGCGATTTAGTTTCATCACTTATTTGCACGCCTATTTTTAGTTTAAAGCAAACAATAAAAAACTCGATTGTTAACTTAAAAATATGCCAACGTAATGCATACAAATTATAAAATGATTGATAACTACAACCAAACTGTCAATCATTCGCCAACATTAAAAAACTTGAAAGTCTAGCTCTGCCCTGTTGTTTTTTAAAAAAAAAACATTGCTAGTACCGTATGCCTTTATAAGGTCACAAAATAATTTTTGTCCGCATAATGACTTACGTCATTACAACATTTATGGGAAATGCGTGTCGGCATATATATAATAACTGGATAGCTCATCTCCTGAAAAACAAAATTTTTGAAGCCGAAATTTTGGCTTAACCCTCTCCCATTTCAAAACCCGTGTCGTCGGGCCTGATTATAGTTGTTTTTGGAAGAAATCAAGTTATTGTCAGTATTTTAAAACTTAGAAAACCATTTGATTTAATAATTAATGAAAGCATGTTTATAATTGAAAAGTTACTTTCTAACAGCTATTGCAAAATAAAGTTGCATTAACTTGGAAAAATAAATTCTCTAAAGTATACGGAGAAAATAAAAGATAGACATTCAACAAATTCGTTTCAAATTAGTAATCGAAACAAGGTAACAAATCTATAGTAAGCGATAAAAGTTTCATTTCAATCAGCGATCATTGTGACTGATTTTAGGAATAGACGCAGCAAAGCACTCTTAAAGAAAAGGTAGAAAGTTCTACGTTATGCTAAAATATGTTATGTACCCTTAGTAATTGTAATAATAGATTTTCTAATAACGTACGTAATAAGTGATATAAAAAAGGTAAAAATTTGTAAAACCCGCATAATAAGATTTGATTTACTTTTTTTTCAAAAATTACCCACGAATAAGTAAGCATAGCAACCTTAGAAATACCATCAATTTGGTTTTAAATTAGTTGGAATATGAAATAAAAATTCTGTTTTGACGTGAATTCGTTAAAATTAAAAAAATGATTATTTTAATTAATTTTGGGAGCATTTCTCAAAAAAAAAAAAAAAAAAAAAAAAAAAAGAAAAGAAATGAAGGAAGGGAAGGGAGGGAGGGAGGGAAGGGGGGGGGGACAAGAAGCTACTTAAAAATTAGTTATATTGGAGTTTAAAAATAGTGTGCAAGAAAGGGATGTATAGTGTTGCCACACTGAGCAAGTCGTAGGTTTTTAAATTAATGAAAAAAAAAATTTACTATTTTGTTTTAAATAAAACTTTTTTTTTTCAAAGTAAACTTATTCTTCAAATATTTAAATATTAAGTTACCATTAGCTTTATTATGCTAAATAATTTATCCATTGAAGCAAATATAATAAATAATAAATTAGTAGTAAATAATAATAAAAAAAATTTACGTATATAATTTTTAATAAAAAGTTTTAAATATAATCATTAATGCTTTGGTTTTTTATTGTTTATTATATTCTGCTTACATTACATAATAAATAATATAATGATAATAATAGTTAACAGTTAAAAAAAATTTACCCCTTTTTTTTAATTTTTTTTTTTTTTTTAATTTATTTTTTCGTCAGCGTATCAAATAGATTTTTTTAATGTGTATTATTTAATTAGCATTTAATATATTTTTAGCAAACTTATTATCTATATTAAAATATAAATTTTATCAAGTTTTACTTTTTTCTATTTATCTAACATCAGTGTTTCCAAGTCAAACATTAATTTATTGAGATCATATATATAACGAACGGAAGTATCAAAACTTTTCATAAAGAGAAAATTTCAAGAAACTTTCGTCTTGTATCTTAAATTAGCTGCGATTTCTCGGAAATAAAAGTTTAATGTGCCTTAAGAAACCAGATTTTATACATTATAGAGTAGTTTAGATATATAGTTGAGTAACATTATAATTAAACTTTCTTTAAAAGCAATTTAGTATGTACCTGCTATATTTTCCTCATTACATAATCAAAAATTAGATTATGAAAAAAGCCATACCTTTTTTATTTGCATCAGCCATTTATTATGGTGTTTTATGTTCCGGTTCAGGTTAGCATAGAAATAAAACAACAATTTTTATATTTAAATTTATTTTTGTGTTTTAAAATTTATTTTTGTGTTTTAAAATTCTTCTAATTTTTTGTTCAATACAAATGTGGTGTATTTGAGCACCATTTTTCACATTACTGTACTTTAATGTTGCTTAAATACGGTGTTTAAGCACCATTTTTTACATTAGTATAAATATATTTGTTCTTTTATCCCTGAAATCTAGCTCTAGTTTATTTATTTATTTTTATTTTTTTTAATTTTTGATTTAAATCTCATAACGCATTCAGGTTTCTTGTAATAACTATGTTACTTTTTTGTTTTTAATTTATTATTTGTCAAGTTTTGTCAATGTTTGGTGTCACTCCTTTGATTAATTTTCTTTACCAGTAAAGCCATTCTTTTCAATATTTTTTATATTTTCAATTTTTTAATTATTTTTTTAAATAGTAGTTATGTTAATTATATTTGTTTTTAAATTGTAAGATTTTATTTAAATAGTTTATTTAAACAAATAAATATACTTCTATTGTTATTCTTTTTCATATTGTTGTTAGTGACAATAATTTTAGTTCTGTATTTTTTCGCAAAAGCTTTTAAATTCTTTTAGTTTAATATATAAATTTTTTGTTTTTAAGTTTCTGTTATTTTAACATTATTTTTTGTCTTTGATTTCTCTGCGAAACAAAGAAAAAATTATTTATAAAACATAAATAGACAGTTAAAAAAAAAAAATGCACAAAGAGTTTATTATCAAAATAATGGATGAACATTTTTGTTTTTGTGTGTTTTTAAGTTAAAGTCTTCATATTATGAGTATTTATCTTACTGTTTTCAGTATTTGGATGTAACTGTGAAGTAGATTGCTCATGTACTTTTCAAAATTGCTCTGCTGGTCAATATTGGAGTAATGAAGGATGCCAAACTTGTCCTCCTGGTTATTTGTAAGCATTTAATACATATTTTATTTTTTTAAATTCACTTTTATTTTTAATTTAGCAGCTAGTATCTATGTTTGAATGTAGATACTACTTTCCCCAACCCATGCCCTTAGCTTTCAACTACTTTGCTAAATATTGCTAATATAAATAAACAGTGAGTCACTTTATCAACTCTGTTTCTTCACATTAAAGTTCATGCATCATTATAATCAGTATTCTTCAACAAAATAGTAACTATTGCAAACTTTATGGCGAGAAGACTAATCTTATTGGTATTAGTAAGCAACTGGGTTTGATATTTGACCAGGGATGGGTTTGATAAAATATAGCTAGGGCCGGGGCCAGGTTTGTGATTGGAGCATAATTATTTGTACTTTGTATTTGTAAAAATTTATACTTTGTATATATATACATATATAAACATTATGATCAGCATGTTCATCATCATCATCATTACTATCATGATCATGATCATTATCATCATAATTATCATCATCATCGTCATCCTGCCCCTCCTCCTCATCATCATAATCATCATCATCGTCATCATCATCATCATCATCATCATCATCATCATCATCATCATCATCATCATCATCATCATCATCATCATCATCATCATCATCATCATCATCATCATCATCATCAGGCTTTAGCCTTCCTCTTTTATGCTGTTTCTCTAATCATGGGGAGATTCCATGTGAAAACATCCAATTTTTTTTGAAAATGCAACCATAAGTCTCAGATTTTGCTGATTTTTAAACCACTTAAAGATTTTAGTAAATTATGAACATCCTGAAAATTTTATCGTCTAATTTCAATCGGTTCCTAAGATACAGCTATTTTAAGTTTGCCTCCAACCAACGAAAATCCGCCATTTTTAAAAATCGCTTTGGTCCTAGTTTCTGTTATATGTGTGTTGGAAAGCTGAAAATTTGTACCTTTACATATTTTGGGCCAAGGAATCCAATGAAACAACTTAAAATAATTAAAAACAAGCATAACACCTAAAATTTGAACTTTTACCACAATTTTACTGGGGCGAGTCCGATCACAAAAATGCTGATGTAGCTCAATTTTTTTTTTTTTTTTTTTTTTTTTAGAAGTTGTTCTGAATAGTTAAGCTATAGTTACTACTAAGAATTGGAGAGTGGTCTTTTCTAAAACAGAAATAAAAATATGGTCAAATCTACTTAAATTTATTGCTTAAAAAACAGGTATTATGACAAATTAAACAAGAAAAAAAATGTGGTAATTTGACAGTTTTGTAACTGAAACAGTTTAGGCTACATCAAACTGTTCTTTTAGTTGTTGTTGACTAGCTGTTTCTGTTTTCTTTGTAATTTTTTAGAATCTGATCTTGAAAAAGTTTAGTTTCAAGGGGGAGAATTATATAAATGCAGATGTATATTGCAAATTTAGTTTTTTTTTCAGAAGTTGTATTAAATAGTTTAGTTAGAGTTATTAAAAAGAATCAGATTGTGGTCTTAAATCAGAAATAAAAACATCTTCAAATGTACTTAAATTTATTACTTATAAAACATTAGTTTCATATTTATCAAACTTCATTTAATAAACTTAAAAAACAAAGACTCCAAAACAAATAGAGCACTCGGAAAGAAGTTCAAAAAACAAAAGTAATATACAAAATTTAAAAATTAAAAACTCAAAAAAATTAAAATTTATCAGTTATTGTGTTATAATCATTCACATCAATGTTATATGTTCGCCCTGATTTTGTTGTTGGGACTTTGATTACTGCAATCAAACTCGACAATGGTACCCAACAGATATCATCTTTCTGTGGCCAAATAAAGTTTTGAGAAGGGCCGCGAGGGTGCATAAACTTAATTTGAATATCATTTAGAATAATATCTATCTCTGTAACCATGCCTATCCACCAAAAGGAATCGTACTTGCATGCAATAAAATCATTTAGATTTGGTACAATAACAACATCAGACATTACTGCTTTTGACAGTATAAATCTGTCAACACATTGATGTTCCCTTGTTCTTTTAAAACTAATTTCAAATTTTGAAATAGGTATGTAATGATGATAACTTCTGGTACCTGGAACAGTTTTTCCTGTTTCAAATCGCTCCTTTAGTTGCTGTCTCCTTGCATTAACTGTTTCTTTGGAAATTTTATAAAATATAATTGTGTTTATATTGGTGATACAAAATTCAAGCATATCATCAACTGTTAATATTTGGTTTTCCAATGCCCTTTGCAAACTTGCTCTTGCTGTTATTCTTTTAACGTTACCACCTATGCCATCACAAGTGGATTTTCCATGGCTGGTTGCAAAAAATACCCATTCAGCTGTAATCTCAAAATCTTCCTTATGGTGGCATAGATTTATAAAGTTTTTATAGTTTTTATAATGAGCAGAACATCCATCAGAAAAATAATAAATTTTATTGATACCAACTAAATATTCCTTAATGTATTCTACAATTTCCTTTTGAAATTCATACACAAAGCATGTATCATGATCATTGTCATCACTTAAAAAACAGAATGACTTATGCTGAATATTTGTTTTAGAAAATTCCTTAAAATATATAACAACAGGATGAAGTGTACATTGTTGTTTATTCCAATGATAACTTTGTATTTCATCCTGTATAACAAATTGATAGTTCTCTGCAAAATCTGCCTGTATAATACATTCATTGTAACCTAAATTATTTTTTAATTCTTTCAAATAGCGAGTTTAGCATTTAGCAATATATGAATGTGAAGTTAGATGATTAATGTGAGAAACAACTAGTTCTTTATATTCAAATAAGTTAACTGATTGAGTAATTAATTGTGATCTATCAGTACTTTGCCATTGGTTGAATTGAATTTCTTCTTCTTCATCAATCTCAATTAATTCCTCATCTAAAAATGCCTTTAAGTTATCATAACCTGGACATTTGGCACATCTATGAACCATGCATTCATTATTGCTTGTATCACATACTAATTTTGACATTAAATCTTTGTATGTAACATTCCATTGGACAGCATTTACAAGCAATATTGAGTTTTGATGGTAAATACAAACACATACACAGTGTGTACCATTTGGTCCCACACTAATACACCATTTTGGACGCAAACTACAAAACTTTGAAAATCCTATTTTATAATTAGGGTATTTACTTTTAAAATCAATATAAAGCTCATGAAGGTTGCACAATAATAATCTTTTTTGTTGTGGAGGACCACTTTTAACTTTAACACAATCTTTTTTACCAGGCATAATTCTAGAATGTTCATCTTGTTGAAAAAAATCTTGAACCAAAGCTGTAAGAAAGTATATATATTATATTATAATATATTAATTTATATAATATATATATATATATATATATATATATATATATATATATATATATATATATATATATATATATATATATATATTATATTATAATATATTAATTTATATAATATATATATATAAGTTAATATATAATAAATAATTATATATATATGCGGTAGTTGTGTAGTGGTAGACCGCTCGGTTCATAAGCGAGAGGTTCCGAGTTCGATCCCCACCACGTCCCTGGTAGTACTGCACTCAACTTGTTTCTCCGTACAGCTGCCTTATTTGTCAAGGTTCGTGTTTCGGAGTTATAGAGTCAAGAGAGAGTTATAACCATAAATAAGTAGCCTCCACGTCTGTAGTGGCCTTCTCGGCCTTGAGGAGGTGAATTATCAAAAAATATATATATTACCTTTAACCTTCTTTTTGTGTCTTTTTAAAACATCGCAACACTTATCATTCTTTAGTAGAAATATCGGTCCAAAAACCTGCTCATGATGATAACAAATAGACTTTATCTCTTCGTATGATGTAGTCTCAAGCAAACCAGACCTCCAAATATAAGTATCTTGAAAGTCCTTTTCTAGATTACAAAAATCTTTTAATCCTTGTTTTCGAACAAAACATATTTTGTGACATTCATCTTTTAAAATTTTTCCAAACCCACAAGATTCCATTTTATCAATATACTATTATTATTTCTGAAAAAGATGCAAGAAAAATCTATGATTCATTCAATGTGTTCATGGGGTCAAGGTTGTTTAGGACTAGAAATTTAAACTTAATTAGTAAGCATTCTAACTTTAATTTTACAACCTTATAAACATTTCTAAACCATAAAACTACTAAAAAAATAGAAAGAGCAATTCAACAGCATCTAAAAGAACATTTCGATATAGCCAAAACTGTTTCAGCTTCAGAACTGTCAAATTATCACATCTTTTTGTATAGTTTAATTTATCAAAATACCTGTTTTTAAAGCAATAAATTTAAGTAGATTTGACCATATTTTTATTTCTGTTTTAGAAAAGACCACTCTCCAATTCTTTGTATTAACTATAGCTTAACTATTCAGAACAACTTCTTAAAAAAAAAAAAAAAAAAAAAAAAAAAAATCGAGCTACATCAGCATTTTTGTGATCGGACTCGCCCCAGTAAAATTGTGGTAAATGTTCAAATTTTAGGTGTTATGCTTGTTTTTAAATATTTTAAGTTGTTTCATTGGATTCGTTGGCCCAAAATATGTAAAGGTACAAATTTTCAGCTTTCCAACACACATATAACAGAAACTAGGACCAAAACCATTTTTAAAAATGGCGGATTTTTGTTGGTTGGAGGCAAACTTAAAATAGCTATATCTTAGGAACCAATTGAAATTAGATGATAAAATTTTCAGGATGTTCATAATTTACTAAAATCTTTAAGTGGTCTAAAAATCAGCAAAATCTGAGACTTAGGGTTGCATGCCCTGGATGTTTTCACATGGAATCTCATTTAAGCATTGACCATGTGGTCAATGCTCAAATGAGCTATTATCTCTATTACGATAAATCAAAACTCATTCTTGCTCAGCTTCTTATTCAACAAGTGGCATCCTTTTACTGTATCTGTCCTTTCATGCTATAAAAACTTTTATTAATCTAGTTTTTTTCCTTGCGCATCAAAAAAAAACTTATAACTTTTACCCATTTTCAAGTTCTACTTTTTTATTCAACCTACAGCTTTTTTCAAATATGTGCCAGTATATAGTAAATAATAAATATAATTATAAAATTATAATATATAAAGTATTATACATTTTTTTATAGCCCCGGCTATCAACCCCTGTTAAATCTTATAATTTTGCTGGAGCTGGGTTTGCAAAAAGTCTCATTTTTAGTCAGGGCCGGGGCCCAATCACTTTCTAATTGGTATCACCCAAAAGTTATCTGAAATCTAATAATTACAAACAGAAATTATTAGTTAAGTAGTTCACTGTTAATAAGTGGCACCATACTCATTTTTGAAGATTGCAACTCAGAATAATGGTGCCACAATTTTGGTGTTACGATTTGTTATGTTTTTGTGTTATGATGATGTTTTGTTTCATTTATTTTTCATTTCTATAGCATGACTTGGTAAGAAAAATTGTTTTAAACCTGTATTCTGCTCTGTTTTTCTTAAATGCACATTTAAATACTAGATGGTTGAAGCCTTTTGCATCATTTGCTCTACATATTTGGTGTAGTGTATATACCTCACTTGTTAATTACTCAAAAACCACTTATCAGATTTAAAATTTTTTTTAAAACAATGAAGCCAATTGATTTCTGCGTTCAAAGTTTTACAACTAATGTATGGTGTACTTTTCAAACCAGTGGATTACTTGCCATATAAGGAACTTAGAAGCATATTTCTCAGTTTGAATAAACTTGAATTTTTTGGCGACATTTATCTTTTGACTAATGAAAATATTGCTGGCCTGACAATTGTGAAAAGTTATTTTTCAATAGGTTTCATTTTCTTCAATTTTGTACAATTTATCTTAGTTTTAAAATTTATAAATATTTTGTGAATGAAAAATTGCTTTTTCCATCAATGAATTGCTTTGGAGTTTTATTTTTTGTTCTTGAGGTTTAAGTATCTTATCAAAAATTGGCTGCTTTTAAATTTTCTCACAAGATCTCTGTTTGACATGGATTTGCTTTTATGAAATTTGACTCGTTGTTTTATTGGTTTTGAATTATTTTTTTTACAGGTTTTGCTTTTAATTAAACTTTAAATCCTTTGTTTTGAAAAACTGTCAGTTTTAAAATGTCAACTTGTTACTAAAAGATTTTGAAAAAAGACTTTTTTTTTGATCTAATATTTGTGAAAAAACTGTGATAAAACTCATTTTAATCTGATAACAATGATAACTAAAAGTAGTTTTTGAATAATTAACAATTAAAGGAATTTGGAAGGAAGCCAAATGTTTTCAAAGAATTTGGAATTTTATTGTGTTCAATCGATAGCTATCATTTACATCTTAAATATTTTTTTTTAAGCATTGTAGATTTATAAATTCATTTACCGAATTTAATTTAGCAAAAATAATACTTAGGTATTGTTTTTATTTTCATTTTGTCTTATACTCTTATGTAACATATGCATATGACTGTGTCAAAATTAAACAGGTTAAGTGCTGACAATAAAATTAAACAGGTTATGTACTGACAACAAAATTTCTCTGGTTTGTTTTACTGGAATTAGAGATTTAATTCCTATATTAGACAATAAAAATAACTTTATTATAAACTAGATAAAAATTAATTTTTTTTCTTTTTTACAAGACTTAACATTGGTTGATTTTCTTATAGACTGTTTCCACATCCAAACAAAAATTAAATACTAAGAGCTATTTTTAAACAAATTATGGCATAGATAAATAATTTTATGCATTTAAAATTTTATAACATAATTAAAAAAGCTATTAATTTAAAACTAAGTTTGCTCTAAAATTATTTCAGTAACTTGAATAATTTTATTGATTTTGAATTTGCTTTAACAGAACTAAGGTTGCCCCACAGAAAAAAGTTTGATCCTGAAAGTTTTAACTGTTGTGCTTTTCTTTCTGTTAAAGTTTCTTGATCATCTTCGTACACACTAGGATACACATATTTGGGATTTATAGTTTTTAATTAATGCTGTTGCCATGATCTTTCTGTTTTTGTTAGTTACTAGAATCTATTATTTATTTAAATTATGCCGCCAGTTGTTGTCGATAAAGGTGAATTTTGTCTTAGAAGTTGTTGCTTAGTTCAGTTTGTGTTGCTTGAAATAATTTATTCTTGCAATAATTGAAATAATTTATTTTGTGCATACATACTACTATTAATATTTGTTGTTGTGAGTGAAGTTATTTATTGTAAATTTATCTTCAAGTTAAAAAAAAAAAAATGCAGTAAAAGTGGAAAGCTTAAATTTATATCATTATTTAAGTTTAGATTATATTTAACTGAATTTAGTTATAAAACCAAGGTTAATATTATAAAATTTATATTATTGTTTTAAAATCATTATGTTAAAATTAATTTCATGAATATAAAAATAACATTATGAGTTAAATCTGCTTCTAAAAATGATTTTAAAACTATTTAAATACAAACAAAAGTAGTTGGAAAAGTAAGTTTTTCCTTGGGAAAGTAAGTTTTCAATTAAAAAATAATAAAAATAAACTTTAATAATTGTTTGATATTAATGATATTTTAAACATTTAAAAAAATAATGATTTAAAATTCATAAAATGACTTTACGGTTTAATATATATATATATATATATATATATATATATATATATATATATATATATATATATATATATATATATATATATATATATATATATATATATATATATATATATATATATATATATATATATATATATATATATATATATATATATATATCAACTTTCGGTTTTGAAAAAATTGAGGTCGGCAATAATTTGCCGACCTCAATCTTTTAGAGGTTGGCATTATGTCGGCAAATACAAAGGTCTTACCATAAAACATCAAAATGAGGTCGGCAAAACCAAATTTTTTTTGCTGACCGCAAACATGTTAAGGTCGGCAGTTAGGTCGGCATTGCCGAATAACCCTAATTCTGAAGGTTGATATATATCTATATATATATATATATATATATATATATATATATATATATATATATATATATATATATATATATATATATATATATATATATATATATATATATCTATCTATCTATCTATATATATATATATATATATATATATGTATATATATATATATATATATATATATATATATATATCTATATATATATATATATATATATATATATATATATATATATATATATATATGTATATATATATATATATATATATATATATATATATATATATATATATATATATATATATATATATATATATATATATATATATATATATATATATATAGATATATATCAACCTTCAGAATTAGGGTTATTCGGCAATGCCGACCTATATATATATATATATATATATATATATATATATATATATATATATATATATATATATATAACATGTTTAGGTCGTTATATATATATATAACCCTCGGAATTAGCTGACCCTAATTCCGAGGGTTGATATATATATATATATATATATATATATATATATATATATATATATATATATATATATATATATATATATATATATATATATATATATATATATATATATATATATATATATATATATATATATATATATATATTAAGATATATCAATAATGTTATTTATTTAATGAAATAGTAGTCAACAAAACAAAGGTTTAGTTTTTTTAATGTTTTTTAGTTAAACTATTTATTAACTATTACTACTTTAGTAAAAATATTTATTGAAATTATTTAAAAAACATTTAAATAGCCTAATGCCTCTGATTTGGTCACAATATACAAATATCTATCAGTTACTTTCCATGATTTTTAAAATTTTTGCTGTTGTTGTACAAAATTTTAATACAATAAAAGTTTTTATACGATTCCTAGTTTTTGTACAAGTAGGTTTATTTGAAAATATTTATTATTGCATTTTCTATTTTTTATGATTATCATTTTAGCTAACTATTAGTTTATTGGTTTTATTTTAGTTGTGAAGGTTTGTCTAATCCTGCTCAACCCTGTTTTGCTGGCACTTTCAGCTCTGCAATATCAGCTGTTTCCAATCATACATGCCAAGTAAATGATTTTAAAAGTGATTTTGATGCAATTACATTAATTATTTATTATTTATTGATGCAATCATTTTTTAATTAATGGAGATTTTTTTTTACAGTCTTGTAATTTTTAATAACAATTTTAATATATGTAAAAATTTTTCGTAAGTTTTTTATTCGATGTAATTTATAGTACTTATTTTATTATTTTTATAAGTTTGAAAAAAAGTTTTAAATTAAAAGTTGTTAAATTTTTTAAGTATGAAATATGTTCCTTTAATTTTTTTATAGAGTTGTTCAGATGGGACATATAGTTTATTAGGTGCTGTAAAATGCACTCTATGTCCAGCTGGTTATAAATGTCAGTTAAATGGGACAATAGAATTATGCGAATTTGGAACATATTCAGTTCTAGGACAAGCATCTTGCAATTCCTGTCCGCCAGGATTTGTTTGCAGTGCAACTGATGCTTTACCACAGGTGAAATTCTCAATCATTACTTGGTATATGTTCAAAACATAATTGTGTTTAGTACTAAAAAAATGCACATATTTTTTCAATAAAGCTTTTTAATAATTAAATAATAATTAATTTAACAATTATGTATAATAATTAAATTAATTTGATTATGTAGCATTGTCAATATAATTATGTAGCATTGTCAAAAATAATTATGTAGCTTTGTCAAAAATAATTAATTTAATTATATAGCATTGTCAAGGTGGTTTTATACCAAATATCACATCACAAAAGTGTGATGCATGTAGTGCTGGAGAATATTCATACAACGGAACAACAACTTGCCAGAGTTGTGCTGATGGATTTTATAGTTCAGAGGCTTCAATTCAGTGTTTACCTTGTCCAATTGGATATAGGTATTTTTTATGTCTGCTTATTTTTTTTTTAATATATTATAGTTATTAATATATAATGTTATAATTTTTATTCATTACAGCAATATATTGCTTATAAACTTATATTTTTTATTAATATATTAGAGCCCATTCTTTTAGCATACATACACACATTTAAACAGATTTATCTTTTAAAACATGCATTTGTTTTTTAATAATTATTAGTAAAAATATTTTATACAGAATAGTATCACTTCAGATAAAATAAATTCATCTGCTATCAATGTTTGTTCTGTTAATAATATTAAAGACAAATTTTGTTATTTAAAATTTGAAAAAGAAAATTTATTTAAAAAATTCAACAAAATAATCAGTTATAGGTTTTTTATGTAATCTGAAACCTTTTAAATGTCTGTCATCATTGTTAGTCATCATTATTAAAGAAAAAACTCAGTAAAAAAATTTTTTTGCTTATGCTAATATTCTAAAGGTATTTTAAAAGAGGGTTCGTTATTCTAAAAGAGGCTTGGTTATTCTAAAAGAGGCTTGGTTATTCATAGCTTAATAAGGTTATGTTTTATTATTTTTAAATTTTAAAATTATGTGTTACTGTCTAAATCTCACAAATGAGGAGCAATTATTATAGGAATAATTTAAAAGCAATCATTAATGGTAATTCGGTGCTGTATTTAAAGCAATAAAAATTGAATAAATATTGTTAAATTTTTTTTGGGCTGATATAAAACGTCCACATTTTAACTGTATTTAGCCAATGGTTTTTTTTTGCAACTTTTTACACTATATAAAACACAATATGACACTTTACATCATTAAGAACATGTCACTAATATTGGATTTTATATAAAAATAATAAAAACAATATTGAAAAGATGTTTTATATTAGTACGATATTATAATAATATAACTTGTAAAAACATTTTCAACTACTACAGTAATGTAAACAAAACAAAAAAAAAAATCATTAAAAATTTTATACTCATTGATTTAGTTTATAATTTTTAAAGTTAGTGTTGATTTTATTTAACTTATTTGACTTGAGCAATCACTAAAAAATTACTCTTAGTCATAGAAAGTTATTAGACTTTAAGCTTTAAGACTTAAAGTTATGTTGACTAAGTATCAAGTTTACTTTAAGCTATTAAGTTATGTTTCTTTAATGGTTTCTTTCTCATTTTTTTTCTGCACATGATATTGAAAAATTATCAAAATTATAATTATTATTCATTGGCATTATTGTTTTGAGTTTTTGCAATGTTTTTTTTTAGGTTGAAATAAAAAATAATAATTTCAAGTACAATTTTTGGTTTGTGCATTTTTATTCAATGATTTACAACATGATTTTAAAAAACAATTTTAATTTTAGATTTTAAATCAAATAGAAATAGTTTTAGAAAAAAATTTAAGTTTGTATGCATACATTCTTATAAAATCATCTTTTATGGTTGAGATAATTAATACATAGAGAAACCTCAACTTTGAAACACCATCTTATGATCAAGGTATCTATGCAAAGAAACGTGTCAAGGATGGTACTATGAGAAATATGGTAGTACTTCTAGCTTACAAAGCTAGCAATCTACCTCTAAACTACTATTACATATCTATCACCTTAAAAACTTATTCCCTACAACAATGCAAAGCTACACAACTTTTGTCAACTTGTCAAAAGCATGGCAATATTTATGTCCTATTTTCATTCACATTTTTTAATATAAATTTTATATTAAAAAAAATTTATATTGAAAAAGAGATCAAGTCTTTATTGGCTCATAAATACAATATGTGTCAAACTGTTTTAAAACTGTTAGTATCTCTAAAAAAAGAATTAATTCTATTATTATTCTATTATTAATTAATTAATTCACTTATTAAACCAATTCCATTCTATGCCTCAATGCTTTTTTAATCAAGAAAACAAAAGTTTGCAGTATTTACATTTCAAAAATAAAAAATAAACTTTATTATAATGTTGCAATAACCTATGTGTATTATAAAAAATAAAATTTTGAAAATTTTTATTTTTATTTTCAAAGATATAGATTAAGTTATGCGTGTAATATTGATTGTCACGCCATGACGCTCTTATTTTTGCAATAACTTATAAAATAAAAAGTAAAAAATAAATAAAATTTTATCCTAAAGAATATATATTCCTTTACCAAAATAATATAAGTTTATAACGATTTTATATACACATAGGTATTATAAATCTACACCTCGATAAAAGCAAAATATTTAGTGTGGAGTTGCTCATTAATACTTTTAAACAATTGGATAAAAAACATTGTAAACAATAAAATAGTTAAAAAATATTGCTTTTAAGTTTAAGAACTGTCGAAACAAAAGTGACGTTTGTTGGTTCCTCTTTTAAAAGGAACTCTTCGCATTCTTGTTCGTTTGAATCTTCCGAGCTAAAAAAAGATGGTGCACATAACATTTAATGAACTTATTAAAAATTTAATGATAAATAGTATTTAAGTAGTAAAATTGTTAATATTATTACTAAAATTATAAAATATATTTTTACTTATAAAAATTTTTAGTTGCACAATAAAAATATTTTGCAACTAAAACTATATATATACTTGCAATAAACCATTTCAGTAAACTGAAAGTTTACTGGATTTACATTTAATTACTGAAAGTTCACTGGTTCTTTTTAGTAAAGAAATAACTAAATTTAATTTTTATTTAAAAATTAGATATAAAAATTCCTAACTGTATATATAAAAACATTTTACTATTCAAGGTTCATTATTATTTATATTTTCATGTATTTTTTTAATTATGAAAAGATAATATTGATGATAAATATTGTATAAATTTGCAGCTGTGAAGATAAAGTTGCTCCAAAAAAATGTTTAAAAGGATCTTATTCATCAGAAAATCACATGTCATGCAATGACTGTCCTATTGGTCATGGATGTCCAGTAGATGGATTAGGTGCACCATCTATGTGTGTTAATGGAACTTATCAAAATGCAACTAAACAATTACAATGTCTTTTTTGTCCTGCTGGTCATATGTGTCCAAGTATTGATATGACACCTATACCTTGTGCTGATGGATTTTACAGTGCCACAGGTGTTATGGGGTGCATTAAATGTCCTTCTGGTTACAGGTAAGTAATTTTTTGTTATAAGTAGGTCAACTCAATATACTTTGCTTTAAATCACATTTTTTTATGTATAAAACAAATCTGATTTGGTTTAAAAATATTTGTTTTTAATTTTTAATTTGCTGACTCATCATTGATAAATATTGTACAAACATATAGCTGTGAAGATAAAGTTACTCCAACCAAATGTTTAAAAGGATCTTATGCTTCAGAAAATCACATGACATGCAAAGATTGTCCTATTGGTCATGGATGTCCAGTAGATGAATTAGATGCACCATCTATGTGTGTTAATGGAACTTATCAAAATGCAACAAAACAAATACAGTGTCTTCTTTGTCCTGCTGGTTATATGTGTCCAAATATTGATATGACACCTATACCTTGTGCTGATGGTTTTTACAGTCCTGTTGGCGTTATAGGGTGCATTAAATGTCCTTCTGGTTACAGGTAAGTAATTTTTTGTCAGTTTATTTGTTTGAATTTATTTTTGAATAAAATACAAAAAATCTGATTTAGTTTTAAAAAAATAGTTTCTTTTTTTTAATTTTTTTTAACATTATTGATAACTAATTTACAAACTTATAGCTGTGAAAATAAAGTTACTCCAACAAAATGTTTAAAAGGATCTTATGCATCAGAAAATCTTATGTCATGCACTGATTGTCCTGTTGGTCATGGATGTCCAGTAGATGGATTAGATGCACCATCAATGTGTGTTAATGGAACTTATCAAAATGCAACAAAACAAATACAGTGTCTCCCTTGTCCTGCTGGTCATATGTGTGCAAATATTGAAATGACACCTATACCTTGTGTTGATGGTTTTTACAGTACCACTGGTGTTATGGGATGCATTAAATGTCCTTCTGGTTACAGGTAATTAGTTTTTTGTTTTAGATATATCAATTTGTTTGAAGTTACATTTTTTGAATAAAATACAAAAAGTTTGCTTTGATTTAAAAAATTATTTGATTCTATTTTTTAATTTTTTTTAACATCATTCATAACTAATGTACAAACCTATAGCTGTGAAGATAAAGTTACTCCAACAAAATGTTTGAAAGGATCTTATGCATCAGAAAATCACATGTCATGCACTGATTGTCCTATTGGTCATGGATGTCCAGTAGATGGATTAGATGCACCATCTATGTGTGTTAATGGAACTTATCAAAATGCAACAAAACAAATACATTGTCTTCCTTGTCCTGCTGGTTATATGTGTCCAAATATTGATTTGATACCTGTGTCTTGTGCTGATGGTTTATATAGTGTTTCTGGTGTTATGGGGTGCATTAAATGTCCTTCTGGTTACAGGTTAGTAATTTTTTTAATAGATTAGTCAATTTACTGTAATTTGCCAAGGTGTACTGGAAATATGGCTGAATATTAGGTTTAAAATACCAGAAATTTGTATAATGCCAAATATCTTGTATAATGCTTTATATTACTTTTTTATAAAGTTCTTTTTTCTAGTTACAAATTTTATAAAGTAAACACACACTTGCTCACCCAAATCTTTAACTGCAAACAGGACTCAGGGCCTGTTTTTAGATAATTAGTGAGAACTGGTATAACTGCACTGAACTATTTTGATGGACACTTTTGTAGTTATGCAATAATCACAAGCTAATCTGTGTTTTTTTAATGCAAACTCCACCATACAAGATACAAACACTATTTGCATTAACCTTTGATATAAATCATATTTTGCAGTAGTCTTGGTAACAACTATTAAACTTTTTTACCTATCAGTAATATTAAAATAAATATAACCTCAAAAAGGTTTTGAGTAAATACTACCACTGAAAAAATGAATAAAATTTTAACACATGACCAAATGCAAATAAAAGTGATTGTGATGAAGAAATAAAAATGTTATTGCGATGAAGAAAGAAAGCCATTTCTCTTGTTTTTTTTTTCAGAAATCCATATTCCGAGTACATTTTATCTAAAAATATAGATGATGATGAAGTGCTTAGGTGTTTCAAAACAATTGTTTTCAAAAGATGAAATTGTTCTTTTTATTTCTGTTCTTTATCATTGGACAGCATTTTCTATTTAAAATTGGTTTTGAAATGAATTTTTTAATATCTTTTTTAATCAATATCTCATTATATTTTTCTCCATCTTTTCTATTTTAAAAAGTATTGTTTTTTTAGAAGTTGCATTTGTAATTTCCTTTAAACTTTATCTACTTTTTTTTTTCAGTAGAAAAGTTTAATTGTGATGATTCTTCATTGGCACCTCTTCAGAACTAACAACAGTTTTTAGAAAGTATAAAGTTTCATTTACTAACCAGTATTTAGCCTGTTTTTTTGATATAATCTTCAAAGAAAGAAAACTTATATCTTGGATCTATTAGTACAGCTATAACATATTATCTATTTTTCATGATATGCAAAGACATTATGTTGTTTAGTTCTGAGAAAAATTGATTTATTAAAAAAGCTATAAGTTGGCTCTTTGTTTTTTGAATAAATCAGCTCGACATTTTGACATAAATTTCTTTAAGCTATTATTTCTGAACTTGTTTTCTGAGTCAGTTGGAAAAAAAGCTTTAGCAAATTAATAATATTTAATATGTTCAAAATTAGAAATAGTAAATCAAAATCTTCTGCTAAGTTGAACTGGAAATTTTAATTTTTTTATTCTTTCAAATATCAGATAGGTTGTGTTTTATCTTTTTAAGATATCTTGAACAAAAAAGAGTTTCAAAATTTTGTTGTAACTGATTTTACTTAAAAATCTTACATGCTAGGGATGAATTGTTGAAATGAGTTACAAGAACAAAATTTTGAAAGAACATCAGTTACATTCTTTACAGTCATTATTGAATCTGAAATAACTAATTGGAGTTAATGAATAGTGCAGTGAATTAAGGGAATTTCAGTGAATTACTCCCACTCATCATATTGCTAGTACCATCTCTCACCAGAATTTATATTCTTTTAACTTGAATTTTCTATCTATCCCACAAACTTTCTAATTTTTCAGATATGTTTATTCATGTATGGCTTTCAGAAAAGTGAGAACATGAATTACCACATCGTTTCTTTTAAAATTTTTATCAATGCAGTGGCTTGACAATAAAATAAATGCTTTGTAAGAGATCATACATGTCCATATATCTGAAGAAAAGTTTAAATGACTTAATTTTCTAATTTCTTAAGAATGTTGTTATTTAAATCCATTTGAAGTTGATAAATTATTTTAGAAAAATATTTTTTAGTTGATAAGCATGATAACTCTAAATGATGCATATAGTTAATAAAACCTAAATCCTCAACTTAAGTAAATGGATGATTTTCTAGGGCCATTATCTCAATTTTACAATAAGTATTTTGAGACTTTGAGTAATTAATGCTCCATATCATTTGTTGCTTGAAAAATTTATCTATTCCTAATGCATGTTTACATGAACAACGTTTGACAGAATATTATTTTAAAACAAATGTTCCTGGAAAAATCAGTTTGACAGTACATAAAAGGAAAATCAATAAAAAATGTTAACTTAAGTAAATAAAATTAAATTTTTATGATTTAGCAATAGTCTTTGAAAACGATAAAGTTAATCTAATTTGATTTTAAAACATTTGTTTTGTTTTTTGAGTTTGTTGACTCATCATTGATAAGTATTGCACAAACTTATAGTTGTGAAGATAAAGTTACTCCTACAAAATGTTTGAAAGGATCTTATGCATCAGAAAATCACATGTCATGCACTGATTGTCCTATTGGTCATGGATGTCCAGTAGACGGATTAGATGCACCATCTATGTGTGTTAATGGAACTTATCAAAATGCAACAAAACAAATACAGTGTCTCCCTTGTCCTGCTGGTCATATGTGTGCAAGTATTGAAATGACACCTATGCCTTGTGCTGATGGTTTTTACAGTGCTACTGGTGTTATGGGGTGCGTTAAATGTCCTTCTGGTTACAGGTAAGTAGTTTTTGTTATATATATGTCAGCTTATTTGAAGTTACATTTTTTGAATAAAATACAAAAAATTTGATTTGGTTTAAAAAAATATTTGTATCTTTTTTTTAATTTTTTTAATCATCATTAATAACTAATGTACAAACTTATAGTTGTGAAGATAAAGTTACTCCTACAAAATGTTTGAAAGGATCTTATGCATCAGAAAATCACATGTCATGCACTGATTGTCCTATTGGTCATGGATGTCCAGTAGACGGATTAGATGCACCATCTATGTGTGTTAATGGAACTTATCAAAATGCAACAAAACAAATACAGTGTCTCCCTTGTCCTGCTGGTCATATGTGTGCAAGTATTGAAATGACACCTATGCCTTGTGCTGATGGTTTTTACAGTGCTACTGGTGTTATGGGGTGCGTTAAATGTCCTTCTGGTTACAGGTAAGTAGTTTTTGTTATATATATGTCAGCTTATTTGAAGTTACATTTTTTGAATAAAATACAAAAAATTTGATTTGGTTTAAAAAAATATTTGTATCTTTTTTTTAATTTTTTTAATCATCATTAATAACTAATGTACAAACTTATAGTTGTGAAGATAAAGTTACTCCAACAAAATGTTTAAAAGGATCTTATGCATCAGAAAATCAAATGTCATGCACTGATTGTCCTATTGGTCATGGATGTCCAGTAGACGGATTAGATGCACCATCTTTGTGTGTTAATGGAACTTATCAAAATGCAACAAAACAAATACAGTGTCTCCCTTGTCCTGCTGGTCATATGTGTGCAAGTATTGAAATGACACCTATGCCTTGTGCTGATGGTTTTTACAGTGCTACTGGTGTTATGGGGTGCGTTAAATGTCCTTCTGGTTACAGGTAAGTAGTTTTTGTTATATATATGTCAGCTTATTTGAAGTTACATTTTTTGAATAAAATACAAAAAATTTGATTTGGTTTAAAAAAAATATTTGTATCTATTTTTTAATTTTTTTAATCATCATTAATAACTAATGTACAAACTTATAGTTGTGAAGATAAAGTTACTCCAACAAAATGTTTGAAAGGATCTTATGCATCAGAAAATCACATGTCATGTACTGATTGTCCTATTGGTCACGGATGTCCAGTAGATGGATTAGATGCACCATCTATGTGTGTTAATGGAACTTATCAAAATGCAACAAAACAAATACAGTGTCTCCCTTGTCCTGCTGGTCATATGTGTGCAAGTATTGAAATGACACCTATGCCTTGTGCTGATGGTTTTTACAGTGCTACTGGTGTTATGGGGTGCATTAAATGTCCTTCTGGTTACAGGTAAGTAGTTTTTGTTATAAATATGTCAGTTTGTTTGAAGTTACATTTTTTGAATAAAATACAAAAAATTTGATTTGGTTTAAAAAAAATAGTTTCTATTTTTTAATTTTTTTAATCATCATTCATAAATAATGTACAAACTTATAGCTGTGAAGATAAAGTTGCTCCAACAAAATGTTTGAAAGGGTCTTATGCATCAGAAAATCACATGTCATGTACTGATTGTCCTATTGGTCATGGATGTCCAGTAGATGGATTAGATGTACCATCTATGTGTGTTAATGGAACTTATCAAAATGCAACAAAACAAATACAGTGTCTCCCTTGTCCTGCTGGCCATATGTGTGCAAGTATTGAAATGACACCTATACCTTGTGCTGATGGTTTTTATAGTTTTGGTGGTGGTATGAGTTGCATTGAGTGTCCTCCTGGTTACAGGTAAAACTTTTTTTGTCTCTTTTATAAAAACCCCATATTTCTTCTCTTTGTTTGGTGTTGTTGATGTTGTTGAAACCTAGCTTTAATTTAATACATTTCAATCTTTTTTTTAATGCATTTCAAATCTTTTCAAATCTTTCTATAAAATCTTAAGTTATCATTTTCGTTGAGATTAGAAAGATTAAGCATTAGGTTACTCAGCTATGAACATTTGTTCCATGTATATATATTAATGAAATAACTGAGTAACCTAGCAACTATTTGTTGTAATTATATTAATGATGAAGTGTAAATCTAGATCCGAATATGATTTTGGAAAAATTAACTAAAATTCTAAAATTAAAATCAAAATTGATAAAACTAAAGAGTCAGGTAAAATTTAGGTTAGATTACCTCGTTTTCCTTTTTTTTTTCTGTTTATTTCTTTTTTTTTATTAGCTAAAGAGATGTCAACATATGTCACGAAAAAGTTTGTTTATAACAACAGTATTTCAACTTTAGAACTTGTTTTTTAAAGTCTTTTACCTTGAATCTAATATAAGAAGTCATTAACTTGGTCCTTGGTGGTATTCAAATTCTGATAGTTGTCACTAAAAAGCTTGATTTGCAATCTATCAAACACTTATCACATTTTGCTTTCTTTTTTTGCAGTTTTAAAAATAGTTTATTGTAATAACACTTTAGACATTTAGACTTTAGGCACATGATAATATTTGAAATATTGAACTTCATTATTATTATTTTGAAAATAAATTTAATTTTTTACTGTAACCAACTGCTATTCAACTATTATTTGAGTCTTTACATAAAAATGCTGTATTTAGTGTCACAATGATCAAGTAAGTCTGGTGAACTTGGCAACATGTATAACATGACAAAAAATTGCTTCAAGAACCATAAATATTTTTAAAAGATTAAAACAATTTGTTTTAATCTTTTAAAAATGATTGGTTTTTTTTATAGAAAATATTTTTGCTACTATCGTTGAAATTATTAAAGAGAACTAAACTCAAAGATAGGTATTACTTGGTACCCAAAGTAATATGTCATACAGTTGTCTCATCTTTGTTTAGAAATACAATAACAAGGGCCTCTTTATATGGCTTTATTAATGCAAACCAAAAGCATCATAATAAGCATATATAATAGGGACACCATGCATTAACAACATGGCACTGTTAATAATTTAATTTTTTATAGATGTTTATAGAATCAGTCTTTCCCATTTTAAAAACACATACAATTTCGACAAAGACTTCTGTTTTTAAACTTAAAATTCATATCAAATTTATATGTTATCTCTGAATTATAAATAATAAAATTATATTAGATTATGTTTTAGAAATTATTGACTATAACAAACTGCAACTTCTACACCAAAAATTGACTCCATTATTATAATCTTTTGTTGGTTTTCATAAATCCATATAAACATTTTTATAAAGGAAATAAAAGTAATACTAGTAATCTAAGATATGAAATCTAAGAAAATTTTATTTTAATTTAAAAATGGCTGATGTTTTAACTTGTTTTAAGAAAAATGTCACAATGGATAAATCAAAAGTTTTTGAGCAAATACTAGTTGAGCTTATTATTTGAACATTTTCTTATGACTCAGCATGAAGTTTGTGGTATGACTCAGCATGAAGTTTGTGGTATGACTCAGCATGAAGTTTGTGGTATGACTCAGCATGAAGTTTGTGGTATGACTCAACTTGAAGTTTGTGGTATGACTCAGCATGAAGTTTATGGCACTCAGCATATGCTTTTTTTTTTACTGAAAAAAAAGGACAGGATTACTTGCATAAAGATTCCATGCTTATGGATCGCTCAAAAGCTGACAACATCATTAATCATGATTTATTAATAGCTAAACTGTAAGCTTATGGTTTTTTACATGAAAGTCTTAACTTTTACTATCATATCTTAGCAATTGCGAATGAAGGATTAAATTAGGTTCATCATTTTTTGAATGGTTAGGAGTTTCTTTGGGGGTGCTTTAAAGATCAATCATTGGGCCATCTTTTTTTTATTTATTATAGACATTTAGATTCGCAGTTTTGCTGACAATAATACTCTCTATGTTTGTGATAATACCTTAGAGAATGTTATTTTTTGATTGCAAAACGAAACACTTAATACCATTGAATAGTTTAGATTTAATTATATGATCGTAAATCCTAAAAAATTTTAATTACTTGTAGTTGTTCAAAAGTATTTAAAAAACAAAATTTTAATGGGGATAAAAATATTTTTGTTTTGGATAAAGTTAAGCTACTTGAGGTTAAAATTTATTTTAACCCAAAGTAGCTAAAGTTTGGTGATCACACTAAAGCTCTATGTGGAACAGCTAATAGTAAGCGCTTTGGCTTTTCTTGTATAAGAATTTAACACTATTATATTTTTAACTTTTAATGGTACCTTACATAGTTCTGTCAAAGTCTTCAAATAATTCTTGAATATAGCGTACTTTCTAGTAAAAAAGCAATAAACCAACTTTCTATTCAAACTTTTTTGAAGCTTTCTTTATGAAAATTTCTTTATAGTTTTTATGACTATCAAAAAATCTCAATTGCAACTATGTACTTCTCAACCTCATCTGTGATGATTCTTTCCTCTGTATTTGTAGCTTTACTTACTTTTTTCTAAAAGAAGGGTTTAATGACTTTACTGTTGCAAAGCATATTTCCTACTTGAAAGTTTGCTATAAGATGTTTAACATTAGATTTTTAGCATCAAAGACTTTTTTAAAATAAATTTATTGTATATAAAATAATAAATACTAGCTGACCAAACCCATAAAAATACGGGTCTTTGTAAGTCTATGCCACACCAACCTTTTCTATATTTTCCTTTTATATATATCCTAGTTTTCCGGACTTATAAAATGCGGGTCTTTACCAAACCTATCATTTCTATACTTATCTATTCCATACCAATCATTTCTATACCTATTCCTTTTTTACTTTAATTTTTTAGTAAAATAATTCCTAAACACATATCATTGATAGCTCAGTAGTTTCGTGCGCTGTCATTTTATAGTTTCGTGCGCTGTTTCATATTATAATTTTTTTTCAGACCTATCCACAGCTTAGTAGGACTAATTACCTGAACAATTTAATTAACAATTTCTTACAACAAAAGTGCTGCAACTCTTTCTTGCCATTACCTTGGTCAAGGGTTCCGTGTCAAACACGCTTGAGGGGGAACTACTAACACTAACAGCACTATTAAGTTTGGCAATAATATATAGAGATTATAAATATATGATTATAATAATTATAAACAAAATATTATTTTATATATTGTATAAAATGTATATAATACATTTTAGTTTATAATAAAAAATTGTAAAATGAAAATAAAATAAACAAATTTTTTTTTATAAATTTTAAGCATAACCATTTAAAATTAAAATTAAATTAAACTTTTAAAATTGCTTTAAAAATATTTTTTTCTTTAATGTTCATTTTTTATGATTTATTAAGAAAAAGAAAAATAATAAACAGAAAAAAAGAGTTTTTCCTGATTGTTCTTCAGATTTTATATCTTTTTTTTTCTTACTTAATGTCCTTTATATGTAGACTGCAAACACCATAGTGATATAACTATTTGGAAGGTTTCATTAATTAGATTGACAAAGGGATTGAACTTGTGTAGGCAAAACCTACGTTTGGGGATATTTAATTCAAATAGGTTTTTTTAATTATTATTATTTTTTAAAAAAAGTGTTTTTTAAGTGGACTTTTATGCAGACTGCTTTTATAAAAGTTAGACTTTTATGCAGACTGCTCACAAAAACCATTCATTATTGTTATTAAGCCTTGCAGTTTTAAATGGTTTTAGAATTTTGAGAGTCATCTTAACATTGACTTCTAGGTCTTATATTACATTGGGTCAGACTTAGACTTTGGGTGTAAAAAATATTATCAAACTGGCTGTTTTCTATAATAAAGTCATTGCCCCACAATCATTGTCAAATTCACATAATGAGAGTTTGTATTTAAAACCAAGTAAATAAAAACTTAACACCATATATTTTATGTTGACTATTATTAAGTTTCTATTAATGATTTAGATTGTTATATAAAGTAAATGTTTGTTGGTATATAAAGTAAAGATTGTTATATATAGTAAATGTTAAATACATATTTTTTGAATGGCATAAATATTTATATTTTGCAATCAAAAAAATAAATTTTATTAAAATTTAAAATCTTTTGATAAAGATTTGAAAAAAATTTTTTAACAAATTTAAAATTTTTTATTTTAAAGTTTGTTAAAAACAATGTTCAATTTTTATTTTAGTTGTCAAATAAAAAGTGAGTCACCTGTAGAATGCGACATTGGTACTTATTCAACAGGTGGTATTTTAAAATGTTTAAATTGCACTGTTGGACACTATTGTCCATCAAAGTCAACCATCAGTCCAATACCTTGCCCTTCAGGTTTGTATTCTACTATAGAAGGACTTGGTAGATGTACTCAGTGTCCTCTAGGTAAAGATTTATTTAAGATTTATTGTTTCTTAATTAAACTTTTTTTTAATATAAATTTTTTTTAACCTTTATAAACATTTAGGTCATAGGTGTGTATCTATAAGTGATAATCCAGAAGAATGTCCCCTAGGATACCACTCATCTACATTGGGATCATCATACTGCTCTCCTGTAAATTTTTAATTGTTTTTTTTAAATCTTTGCAGTATACTTATTTTAAATATTTGTTTTTAAATGGTAAATTTTTGTATTTTTATATTAATTTAAAATTATTAAAAGTTGAATTTGTTAAAATTCTATTTATATTATAAATTTATGTTTATAAAAAAAAAAAAAAATCTAACACAATTAACACTTAATTAAACACTTAATTAAACTTCTAAAACACTTGTTTCATCGAACAGCTGAATTTTTATTTTTTAAACTAATTTTATTTCAATATGACTGCAAGCGACAATACCCTTTAATGTTTTTCATCAGTTAGAAAAACATTACCCTGTAATGTTTTTCATGAGTTGGAAAAACATTACAGAGTAATGTTTTTCCAGTCAAAAATATCCAGCTTTCTGGCAGGAATTATTGTAACACAGGTTGTTAATAATATGAGAGATAAACAATTAAGCAACTAATGTATGTTCATGAAAATAATTTAAATGTTTTTGATAACTGGTTCTAAAGGAAAAAAAGTATGGTGGAGCCATCCAATCGATCATTCTTGTTAAAGGAGAAGTGAGAACCTAATTGAGTTTTAATGCAGTTTTCAAAACTAACTTGAAGCAAAAGATTAAAAAAAAATAATTTTGTAAAAAACTAATCAGCAACTATGTTTATAGTTGCATAAAATGGAATATTTCAAAATGGTAATAAACAATCAACCTCATAGATAACTATTAATTTAATTACAAAGTTTATTTCAATTCATTTTAATTTCTTGACTACAGGATAAATTTTACTGGAAATATTTTTCAAAATGCTAGAGTTTTTAGAGTAATCTCTTGATACCACAAAAAATAAATTTAAAAAAATTTCAAAATAAAAATAAGTAGCTATAGGAGAACTTTTTTGAAATTTTTTGTTTTAATAATCTGTATTTTATTGTTATAAAAGTTTATGATGTAAATATTATGTAATGATATAAATATTATTTATCTTATTATTATAATGTTATAATAATAAGTAAGTTTTGTGAAATTCTACAATAACACTTTTTAAATATTTTTTTCCTTGTTCATTTTTAATATCACAATCTTTTTGAATAGATATTTACATAGCCCTTTTGCTTAAACTTAGAACTTTATTTTGCTTGAAACTTAAAAATTCAAAGCAAATTGTTTTTCTCTACACCACTGAAAGAAAGCATTATTTGGTTCTTAAGGTATCCAGAGATACCATAATAATCAATGTTTTGAAAAAAAATGAAAAAATACAAGGTTAAAAAAATTTATCTAAAATAGGCCAGATTCGATTATAAATGATAATTTACTATTATGTCAATTTGCAAGTGAAGTTAATAGTTTATAACTAAATATATAACTTTTTTTTCTGTGTTTTTTATACAATAACTTTTTATTACTAAAATGAAATACTGTTGAATTCTTATTTAAAAATGTTAAGACTAAGTACTCACAAGAATTCTCTATAAATTTTCTGTTATACACTTTACCATTTTCTAAGCTTTCATAGACTTTTGTGAGCTTTCTTCATAGACTTTTGTAAGCTTTCTTCATAGACTTTTGTAAGCTTTCTTGATAGACTTTTGTAAGCTTTCTTCATAGACTTTTGTAAGCTTTCTTCATAGAATTTTGTAAGCTTTCTTCATAGACTTTTGTAAGCTTTCTTCATAGAAATTTGGAAATTTTGGAGTTGATGCTTAAAAATAAAAATTACTATTTTTACTGAGGCAATGTTTGATATAATACATTTTCTAAACCATTTTTTTGTTTGTTGTATTATGTTTGCTTCTTTATTAAAGTAAATTCATATAATAAAAATTAAAATTTTGAATTAAAAAAAAATTAAAGAATAAAATTTTTTTAATTAATCATTACACAAATCAACTGAAAAGTAAAAAAAAAAAGTAAAATATAAGTAACAACAAACCAAGAACCAAGAAGAACCAAGAACAACTTTTAATTGCTTTTAAGTTTAATATAAGTTACTGTCAATAAGACTTTATTTCTAGTTTTTTATTTTAATTATTTTTTGTTCATAATGTCATGCAGATAACACTTTTTTCTTTTTTACTTTTTATTAATTATTTTTATTTACGCTATAATATCTGACATATAAGTAGAGTATTTTTTTAGTGTTCACTGGGATATTACACAGCAGTAACTGGGACTACTAATTGCCTACCATGTCCTGTTGGATATATGTGTCCAAATGCAAGCATGGAACCTCAAAAGTGTGGAATCAATGAGGTAACAATATTTATTATTGCAATATTAATAATAATAATATTAATAATAATGGTAATAATAATATTGATAATAATAAAAATAATTTTTATTACTATTATTGTTATGTTTGGTTTATTAATAACAAAATTTGAATTTTAAAAGTTACATTGCTTACAATAATGAGATGAAAAAAAAAAAAGATGAAAAACATTTTATTTAATCATTTTAAAGAGTGATCTATGAAGTATTTATGAGTAGACGCAAAAATGTGCAACAAAAATGTGCAACAAAAAATGAGTAGTTTGCAAAATGTGCAACTGTGCCATTACTGTAATTTTTGTGAAATCTCTAAATTTGTTAGGCCCCTCCTCCTCTTATGATGCGTGTGGGGTACCCCACTAGCCCCACAGGCATGACTCTGATATGATACTTTTTATGATAAAACAAAGAAACTTTATGATAAAACAAAGGCATGTTTAGAAAAAAACTATTAGCCTAAATTTTAAACCTTCCTTACATTACACCAATATAATATAATAAAGAAAAATAGAGAAACCAGCCAGGCAGACTGTTTTTCAACATGTAATGGAAAAATTTTTACTTTGAATTATATGGTAACTATAAAAAAATGCAATTTCTATGAAACCAAAAGTTGGTGAAATTTAGATTAATAAATTGTTAATCAATATCTCTTTGCCAGCTTTATGTCAACAAATATGTTCATATTTAGTTTAGGCTAACTTAATGGACAAAGCTCTTCCGAAAATTCTGGAGCAGTTGTTAAGTTTTTTTTCAAAATTTTCAAAGTTTCTTATCCAAAGTTAGTTGACATTTTTAAAAAGTTAAGAATCTAGCAAGAATGAATAAAATTGAGCCTAAGTCAATTATATTTCTCCTAACCTTTTGTTAATATTAGTTAAGACTTTTTTTTAGGAAAATAGGCGGCTTAGCGAGAAATAGGTGGCTTAGCAGAAACTTAGTGGCACAAAAAATCTAAATGCAGCAGTAAATGAAAAAATGATCCTGAAGTAGCAGCTCTTGAATGTGTTTACTTGTCTATATGAACAATTTTGTTTTATTTTACGCTATTTGTGCTTAACATATATTTATTTTTACCTGATAATTTTATTTCAGGTAAAAATAAATATATGTAAAATTTAGTTGTCAGTACAAACTTGGAATTAATAGGTGCTTTTACTGGTTATTATGGTTTGTTTTAAAATGAAAGGTGATGTGAGATAATTTTACTATAATGACTTTTCCTCAAATTTTTCTCAACCATATTAAAAAGTTATTTTTTATCATAATTTAATTAAAACAGTTTTAAAGCAGTATATGTAACTTTACATGAAACTGGACCAAGTTCATACTGCAAATAAAAAAGTTATTTTAATTCCATTCTATAGCTGTTGTAAAAAGTTTTTTTCCTTGTAAAAGCTATGGTTTTTTTGATAACATTTTACATGATTTAGTTCAAATCTGAAAGTATAGTTATTTTTAATATTGACGCTATTTCAATTACTAATTTTTCAAAGTATTGTCAATGAGTATACAGTAATGAGTGTAAACAATAGACAAGTAGATAAACAATACAATACAATGCTTTCTAAATTAAATTGTTTTATCAACTAAGAGTTCATTAAGAACAATTCCTTATTTTTAGTTTCATATTTTCATTGTTTTAAAAGTATAAAAGAAGAGAAACTACCTAAGAAGTATACTAAATTATAATTTATTTTTATTTTAAAATAAGTTAATGAAGTTACTTCATTAACTTACAGACAAAGTAGTTCTCAATATTCACATTACTGGCATTGTTGAATTAACACACAAGGTAAGTTAAGATAAACATGTTATACATTCTATGAAGGTATTCAACAGCTAACACACAATGAAACAAAAGCTTGTGTAGATCATTTAACACTATATGCACTTTTTCTATAATTTTTTTGGATTAAAAAAAAAATCATAGAAGGCTACTTTAATTGTGATTACCCTCTCTCAACTCTATAACTCCAAAACATAAATCTTGACATACAAGGCCATTGCATGGAGAAGTTGTGGGGATTGTGGTACTACCAGAGACATGGTAGCGATCGAATTAGGAACTTGTCGCTTCTGAAATAAGAGATAATCTGCCACTACACCACTACCGCATTTGTCTATAGTAACTATAGTAACAAAAGTCGTTAGACTATTTACAAAATATTTACAAAATTTTTATATTAATTTAAGTATAATAAAAATCATAACTTTTTTTTCCTTTTTTTTCTGTTAATCAATTAAAATGAAATAATTTTTTTTTGAATAATTCAGTCAAATTAAAATACTTTTTTTTTTCCAGTATCAGCCCAATCAAGGTAGAGATTTTTGTTTAATGCTTCCATCTGGTATGGTTGTATCTCCTGAGGGTTTACTCATTGATTGCTCAACTATGGTAAGTTTTGAATTTAATTTTTAACATAATTTGGTGTAGTTTATGTTTAATTTGTATTTATACAGTTTATGCATTTGTACAATACTTGTGCCTCGTGTTTTTTAGCACACATTTTTCCACAGTACAATTTGATAAAGTATTTTGTTTATAGTTTAGCGAATTAATTCAAGTAATTTATTGAGATTGATATAAATATGTTAATTGACAAAAATGTATAAGTTATATTTAAATTGTATTTAATGCATTACTTAATAAACTTTCAGTATTATTGTATCTCTCTTTTACATTTGGATATCAACATAAAGTATGGTTTTTTAGCCCAGCAGTATTTTTTTCTTTTAGCCTGGTACCTATTCAAATGGTACAGCTTGTGTACCCTGTCATAAAGGTTTTTACTGTCCCTCATCTATGCTTCCACCAATACCGTGTCCAAATGGAACATATTCAGATTATCAAGGTGCTGTTAGATGCATTGTTTGCCCTTCTGGTTTTCACTGTTTATATCCTGAAGATTCACCTCAGAAATGTATTCAAGGTACTTATAGCACTGCTGGCCAAACAACTTGTCAGGTTAATAAAGTTTTTTTTTTAAGTATTTACCTATTATTTTATTTATTTTTCATATTATTATATTTTTATTACTATATTACCTATATTTATTTATTTATTTAATAATATTTATTTGTCTAATACATTTTTATATAAATTATTTTTACATTGGCAGATATGTCCTAGTGGTCAATATAGTTACAATGCTTCCTCTTTTTGCTCTCAATGTCCTGGTGGTTATATGTGTGCAAATGGAACTGCTGTTGTTATTCCTCCTGTTTTATGTCCTCAAGGTACTTTTAGTCCGGAAGGATTTGGAAAATGTTTGCAATGCCCTTCAAGTAATTTGATTTTTTTAATATTTTCTATATAGTTAGTTATTTTTATTAATCTTTATAATATATATATATATATATACATATATATATATATATATATATATATATATATATATATATATATATATATATATATATATATATACACATATCTCCTTATAGTGTAGTTGAAAGAAACTTTTAAAGTTAAAAAAGTCTCTTTCGACTACACTATAAGGTGTAGTTAAAAGAGACTTTTTAAAAATTTTTAACTACAATTTTTTTACCTCGTCTCAAGCTATATTTTATTGTCGTCAAAATGTCAAAGCAATTAAATTAATGCCGAAGTACATTAAATTTTATTGTTTTTTAAAAAAACCCCAATGACTAGATAGTTTATTTTTTTAATTAATGGTGTTTTTGTTGTTGTTATGTTAAAATATATTTTTAAAACATGCGCGGAGTGTTGCTACATCGACTATCTTTTAGTCTGACTTGCAACGGAGTGTTGCTACATCAACTATCTTATAGCCTGACTTGCAAGGGAGTGCTACTACATCAACTGACAAATAGCCTGATTTGCAAGGGAGTTTTGCTACATTGACTGAGGGTTTGATTTGGGCAGGCAGTCTATCATTTAAGAAAAAAAAAAATTATTTAAGTTTTTAAACTTTTTTGGTCTGGTTTATTAACACGCTCTTTAAAACTACAGTTTATGGGAAAAACTTTCTGACTACCATGCAAGAGTATATATATATATATATATATATATATATATATATATATATATATATATATATATATATATATATATATATATATATATATATATATATATATATATATATATATATAATATTTCACAGGAAGTTGGGAATTGATGTAATTAATTTTATAATAACTGTAGTTATATTGCAACTAGAAAGTTGCATTAATTTTCAAAACATTTGTAAAAAAGTAATAAATTATCTTTTTTCTTTTTATGTTCAATTTCTGAAAATGTTTTGAAAAAAAAAATAAAAATTATGGTTTGACCCTAGGGTCTGAAAACATGAAATTTTTTTAAATAAGCATAACCATGTATGTTACAATAAACTTAAGTTGATGACATATGTAGGTTTTGTATGTTTATAAATGAGATAATATAAATTCTCTCTTTTTTAAACTAACACAAAATGCTACCTAAACTTATATGTGTCATATCAGGGCGGCCACTGGTCATGGAAATCATAAAATGTCATGGAATTTTATTTAGTCATGGAAAAAGTCATGGATTTCTTAAAATTTTATTGAAAGTCATGGAAAATTATTATTATCTTATTATTTTTTATTTTATTTAAAGTTATCTTATTATTATTATTAATTTTTTTCTACTTGTGATATTTTTAAGATGCAAAGAAAAGTACTAGTATGTCTAGTCTAAGTCCATTTTGAAAAAGATTTTTTTGCAGTGTAAGTTATCAGAGTAAAAGAAAAAAGAGTTTTTTTCAGACATTTTAGAACTTTCTACCAATAATTTGGTTATTATAAGCATGGTTTGCAAGCTTATAATGACCAAGTTGCAAATGCTTAGTGCATGGCAAGTACTGAATATTTTACTCAAGTGAAATTTATCATAAAAGTTTATGAAGAGTCATGGAAAAGTCATGGAATTTCATTTTCAAATTTAAGGTGCCACCCTGTATTTACTACTATGGGCTTTTTAAGTATAAATAAATGCTCAATGCTTTTGAAAAAAGCATTGAAAAAGCCAGAACATGGATTGTTTGGCTGCCATTATAACAACTATTTTAATAACACAACTGTTTGTTGGATAGATAACCTGGCAGTTGCTTTAATTTTATCTTTTATTAGTATTGAACCATATAACAATATGTATTTGTGTATATTAATTTTTTTATTTGATTAGAAGAGAGTTTGTCAATTGAAAGCGATAGCAAAGTTTTATTTTCCTGTAGATTTCTTTAATTTTTTCTTCTAACAGTTTTAATTTTGAAAAGAATGCATTTTTTTTAAACAAACTATACTTATAATTTTATTCATAATATTCTGATTGTAGCAGATAAATAATTGCTTCAAATAAATAATTGGCTTTGCTAGTGGGATGTTTTATTTTTTTATTTTTATTTATAATCTAGTCCCTAAAATAATTGCTTTTTGAAGTTTTTAAAATCTTTTTAAAAGTCAAGCTTTGGTTAGCGCTAAAAGGATAATGCCTATATTATATGCAACAGTTTTTTCAAGAATAAATTTTAATTTAAAAATATAAATTTTATAATAAGTTTAATATAAAATATTTATTAAAGTTTTTATTTAGTTTTGGTTTAACATATATATATTTTTTACAGCAACATACAGCAACAGTGGTGCTCATTTTTGTTTGCCTTGTCCTGTTGGCTTTATATGCAATGATCCCTCAGCATCTCCGGTTGCATGTTTGTTAGGAACTTACTGGAGCAATTCAGATGGAGTAATAATTTTTTTTTAATCAACTTGCAGTTTATTTGTTGATTTTGGATGATTTTCTATACTTATGATTTTTAATGAACTTATTTTTGTTGTTGTTGTTCATCTTTGAATCATGTTGATGTTACATGATTCATTGATTATGAATATATATATATATATATATATATATATATATATATATATATATATATATATATATATATATATATATATATATATATATATATATATATATTTATGTATGTATGTATGTATATATGTATGTATGTATGTATGTATGTATGTATGTATGTATGTATGTATGTATGTATGTATGTATGTATGTATGTATGTATGTATGTATGTATGTATGTATGTATGTATGTATGTATGTATTTATATATGTATGTATGTATTTATATATGTATGTATGTTTAGTAGGCGCCAAAATTATTCATTCCTTTACAAATAAAATGAATATTCATAATAAAAATGCTCAGTACATTTTATAATTGTAATTATTTGTTAATTATCTGAAAATGTAATAAAATATGTTGAGAAAAGTATTCATACCCAAAAATTTGAATTTGGAAGATGAATGAGTCTTCAAGCCCCATTTTCTCTACAGATTGTTGTAGATTGTTCTCTAAAACTTCAACATACTTTATTCCAGTTAATTTTTAATTGATTAGCACCAAATTTCCTACTCCATTGTAGCCAAAACAACCTTATAGCATAATGTCACCACTGCTGTGTTTTATTGTGGTTTGGATATTTTTTATATCTAACAGTTTGCCTTAGCGTTTCCAAACTTTTGGTTTTTTTTTGAGATTTTTCAATTTAAATTTTGTTTCATCGCTCCAGAATATTTTTTTCCAGAAATTCATAGGCTTGGAAATATATTTTTTTGCAAACTGCAATCTAAGGAAACTGTCTATTCCGAGATGTAGGGCTTTCTAGTCGTGTGAGACCCATAGAATCCAGCTAATTTTATTCTCTTTTGTATAGTTTCTTGGAAACATTGATATCAAGGATTTCTTTAATATTCCTAGATAAAGTTCTATTTTTGAATAAAATACTAAACAGAAAGAATGCTAAAAATTTAATTTCATTGTTAAATTCTATAAGTTAATGATGTAAATTAATGGTATATTATAGTTAATGTATAAGAATGTTTCTTTAAATACTGTTTATTGCTAAAATCTATAAGAATTTAACAATGGTTAAAGTCTTATAAATTATAATTTTCAAGCATTCTTTCTGAATCAGTTCAGAAAGAATGCTTGAAAATTCATTTTTAAAATTGTTCTTTCCTAAAATCTAAAATACGTCTTCTTCTTGCTCCGACGATTTAATATGTATGAACAATCTTTCTTATTGTAAATTTTATAAAACAGCAAAAAAAAAAAAAAATTAATAAATAAATAATAATAATAAAAAAATGACCCGTTCAATTAATAAGCACTTTATAATTATAAATTAGTAAGTTTTTCTAAATTTCACAATTAATAAGTTTTATAATATTTATAAATTTTGCGATATTTTGTTATTATTGAAAAATATAATTCTATTATATTAATATTATTAAAAAAAATATAGTTCTTCTAATTACTATTAGAATAATTACTAAAGAATGTTTGTGGGACTGTTTAAAATCTATAAGAATGTTTGTGAAACTGTTTAGAGCAAATGATTTTTTTAATGAGATATTAGAGTTTTCAACATTTTAATAGTTTCTTTTTTTACTAAGTTTAATGAATGTAGCTATCATTTGTTTTTATAGCTTAAAAAAAGTTTTAAATGTGTTTATATTTATAATTTCTTTCTATTTTAACATTTTTTGAGTAGAAAAAATTGCATATTTGAATAGATCACTCATTATATTAGGTTATTTACTATATTAACTTATTATATAAATCCCCTGCCAACCATAATGAATTGATAATCAATTTCAAATTAGTATATCATTTTTTAACTAGAATAGTACAAGTATCATTTTCAAGTGTCTTGCGATTTCAAAAATTTTAGTTTTTCCATTTCAATTTAAATTAGTTTTGAAAAACTTTTTTTTATTATCATTGGTGTCATATCATATCATATCAGTAACATATCATAAGTGTTAGTATACATGTTTTTTCCTTTTTGTTTATAACTTTTATTTAAATAACTTTACATTTTCAACGCAATCTAGCTCCCATTTTCCACTAGCTCAACACAAAACTTTTCAACACAATCTAGCTCCCCTTTTACAATGAAAGTTGTAAAATATTTTTCAAACATTTTATTTTTTAACTGTTTTTGATAACTTACGCAAGATGGCTTGATTAAGCATTTATATTGTGTATTTATTTTTAATAATTTCGCTTAATCTTTTTTTGTCATAATTTTTCTAAGTTCTTACTTTTGAATTATGTGTTTAAAATAGTTTATTAATTAAATTTTGTATTAAAATAAAAATTTATCTCATGTTTTTGTTCTCATGGTCAAATGTTGAGATTTTATATCAAAATAAAAATTTATCTTATGTTGTTGTTCCCAAGATCAAATGTTGAAATTATATTGCTTATCATAGAAATCTAACATTAAAAATGTTCTAATGTTTCTTTTATTTAATTTTAAATTTGTTTGAAATAAAAACTTTTTAAAAATAATTTTAATTTTTTTACTCACAGTTTTCCAAATGTCTTTCTTGTCCATTTGGCTATAGCTGTCTCAATCCGACTCAACCTCCAGTACCATGTGTCTCAGGCACTTATTCAACTGGAGGAAATTCTACTTGTCTTCCTTGCCCAGCTGGTAAATCTTGTATTGATCCATCACAAATCCCAATTAACTGCCCTGTAGGAACATATAGCCCAAGTGTAAGTACTGTTCATATTTTATTTATTTTGTATATGTGAATATAATTTTTACTGAACATTTTTTACTATACTGGCTTAGGAGGCAACTAAAAGATGATTATTTTTGAGTGCATCAATCTAAAAATTTAAGAATTTTTTTCTTCAGTCAAAAAAAGATTTAGAGTAGTCTTGGTAGTTTATACTGTTTGTAAGCAACACACAAGAGATGTAACGGCTTAATAGGAAGCTAAAAGATGGTTGTTTTTGAGTGTATCAATTGTGCTGAGGGTAAAGAGAGAGAAAAATAAAGATAAAAAAATAAAAAGATGAATGTTTTAGATGGAAGTTTTAGGGAAGTTTTTTTTAGAAGTTTTATTATAACTGTATTAAGATGTAAAAACTTATATAATTGTCTTCAATTTTAACAGCAAAAGGTGGATTTTAAAAGAATTAAGAAAGACTGTACAGTACATCCGTCCAGTTGGTTATGAAATATAGCATTAAATATTAAGTCTTTAGTCTATGGAAATAAACAATGCTCCCTTGTATAGCTAGTGTTCCCCTTTGGACAGAAAAACAAGCAAACAACTTAGTTAGTTAGAGACTTTCTTATGAGATCTAGCAAAAAAGGTTAAAGTTGATTGGGATTAATAAAGAAAGATTGGGTGCTAAGTGGTTAGATAATTGTCAGAACATAGAGAAAAAAGTTCAGAAAAAAAAAAAGAATTATTTAGATTGAGGATTTGAGGTAAAGGTAAAACTTTAAATTAAAAAATATCTGAAAGAAATCTAATATTAAAAAAGACTGTACTGAATATATGGTATTAATAGGATTAATGGAAAAACTAAAAAACACACAAATAACACACAGGTTTATAACTTTTGCATTAGAGTTATTATAGAAGGTGGTATTGTAATTGTGTTGATTTTTTATTTTGGTATAGATTTAAAAAAATGATATTCTATTATGTTATTTCTTCATACTAAATCTAGTCTGGATATTATTGATTCAGAAAAATGCTGTACAAGGCTTTGGTCAACTTTCTTAAAGTGATTCACCGTTTTTCCTTTGAGCTATTAAAGATTTTTTGCTAATTATTCATCTTTTTAATGTAATTCTTAAATAATTGACCAAAATCCTTAATTGGTCTTGATTCTCGAACATTGACATGGTTATCTTTTTTAGTTATAAAAGTTTCATTTTCTTTTTTCAAGTAATTTTAAACAGATTTAGAATAATGAGAAAATCCAGCTGAAATAAAGATGGATTGTGGGAATGATTTTCTTTTATAAAAGTCATCAATCTTTTTTTAATATAATCTTTTAAGTAAATTTTTTGATTGTTTCTATAGTTTCTTCAGGATTTTCTATATACCTTACAAGAAAAAGTTTTGATTTGTACTTTGTTTTTTACAGTATTTAACATTAGAAAGACACCCTTTAATGTTTTGTTGTACAAAAATTATTTTTTTTATTTTTGAATTAGAAAAGTAATACTGATCATCAACAACCCAAAAAAAATCAATCAACAATCATGTCTTCAGAAATTTTAATAAAACCTTCCACATATAGTTTTTGGTTATCAGTTTAAATCTTCAATTTCTTTTTTTTTTTAATATTTGACTTTCATTTTGTGACTTCATGAGCATATGAAGCTTAAATTCTCAATTTACTAGCTGATTTATGAAAGAATATTAAAATATGCTGATTTATGAAAGAATATTAAAATATGCTGATTTATGAAAGAATATTAAAATATGCTGATTTATGAAAGAATATTAAAATATGCTGATTTATGAAAGAATATTAAAATATGCTGATTTATGAAAGAATATTAAAATATGCTGATTTATGAAAGAATATTAAAATATGCTGATTTATGAAAGAATATTAAAAATCAAACAATAGTTTTAAAGATTCAAATTTTTACTCTTTCTTGCTTAATTCGTGGCTTCTAAGATAGCTTCAAAGATTCTTAATTTTCACGTTAAATTATACTGTATATAGTTGATTTTGCCATTTTCTCTGCTATACTTTAAAGTGCATTTTTTGCTTTAATGTTTATTTCCCAAATATAACTTGTACACACACACACACACTTGAATAGTAACTTGCTTTGCTTTCTTTTTCTAAAATAAAATAAAAGGCAATCTATCTATCAATCTATCAATCAATATATATATATATATATATATATATATATATATATATATATATATATATATATATATATATATATATATATGTATGTATTTTTAACTTCCAACAAGGCTGCAAGTCTTAACCATTATTAGAGTTTACTGGAAGAGGAAAGATGAAGTTTATAAAGCAAGATAACTATAAACAGATGGCTTAAAATATTTCAAATTATATAAATTGGGAAAACAAGAAGAATGGAGCGAATTCAAAAGAACTGTATTTGAGGAAAAAAGCTAGATAAATCAAAATTTTAGAGCACTTAGGAACAGTCACAGTAAAAGGATGAATTAATTGAATGACGGGTAACAGGAGATTGAATTTTAGTAGATGGCACACGAGATGCTAGCTCTTTAGAGCAGTGCTTATTATTTATTTCTAGAAAAGAGAAAGGGACGCAACATTACAACAATATGGCAATGGTTGAAGGTTGGCTGCAAGAGCAGTTCCAACTATGTATACAATGTGTTTTTGCACCTTATCTAAAAGAGGATAGGTATGATTTGAAAATTTGCTCCAGATATGGTAACAGTATTTCACGCAAGGACAAATTTGAGATTTATAGAGATAAAGAATAGAATCCGGAGTAAGAAAGTAGCAAGCACAATAAAGAGATGCAACCTTAGATGCTAGTTTTGCAATCGATTTGGTATATGGTTTCCAAGAAAGATTGGAAGTAATCCTAGTTTTTTTTTTTCCAAGAAAGATTGGAGTTAATCCTAGAAGACAAAGGGTAGATGATTCAATGAGGACATTACAGTTCATAAATATAGGAAGATATAGATTGTTGCGATAACGGTTAGCTGAAAAAAGTTGAGTTTTATCTGAGTTAAAGTTCACCAGCTACTAAGAGCCCCATTCTGTAGCAGAAGTGAGATACTTTTCAAGCTCAAATGTCCCCTCCAAGCAATCAGAGAGTGTTGGCTTCTTATCAAGACAAAAATAATTGGTAGTATCATTAGCGAACAATGCCACAATTTGTGTAAGAATATCTGGAAAATTGTTAATGTTAATTAAAAAAAGTATAGAGCCAAGGATAGAACTTTGAGGAACCCCTGAAGTTACAAGAAATAAAGAAGAGTGCTGTTCATTGAAGGCAAATTTTTACCTTCTTTAAGACTGATTTTTTTACCATCTTTAAGACTATTGAGTTCTTCCATTTGGCTATAGCAGTCTCAATAATATTCTCCATATGGAGAAGACCCTCATGCCAAACTTTATCAAAGGCTTCAAATTTGTTAGGATCAAGGCCCTTAACCTCTCTACACTTATCTAATGCATGATAAAATCTATCAGTTGTTACCATTAAGAAATCAGCAGTAGAACAAGAAGATAGAAATCCTTATTGATTATCAGAAAGTAAGTTACTAGATTCAAGATGAGAGATTAAGTGTTTGTTAATTAAAGACTCAAAAACCTTTCTTATGATAGGAAGAAGATTAATGGGGTAATAGTTAGACAAGTCAGATCACTCTCCATAATTTTTGAAAATAGGGATAACAGAAACAAGACTCGATAAGCATTTGTTAAATAGTTTTGAAAATATAGATGACAGCTCCGGAGAACACTTCTGCAAGACTATAAAAGGTATGTTTTTCAGATCACAAGCTTTAGAAGAGTCTAAGCAGGAAATCACTTTAGATACAGAAGCTGAAATGATGCGAATATTAAGCAATGGATCAACTTGTTTGGTGGTATATATACCTATATCAGGTAGGATGTGATTAGTGGAATCAAAAGATGAGATTGATGAAAAGTTCTTAGCAAACAATTCAGCTTTGTCATTAGGTGAGGTAACAAAATCTGAACCATGTAAGAGAGGTGGAATAACAGATTTGCCTTTATTATAGATACTGTTAAAGATTATTCAGAAGTCTATGGAGCCTAATTTTTGAGATGAAATACAAGATTCTGTGATCTGAGAATATCTCTTCGGCATTAGACAAAACCTTTTTAGAATGGTTTCTTACGATAGTAAGCAGCTATCTATGTTTTAAAAAATTATTTTAGCTATAGATATAGAAGAATGGTTACAATTAGATGTTGGAGCAGCACAATGAGAGAAAAACCATGGAGTTGGAATTGTCAAGAGGGAATAAAAGATTCCATGCCAGCCTGAATCCAAGAAGTTCCATAAGAGGCAGATTTGTCAGCTGGAAGATGAAAGATTTCTATGCAAGGGCCATCACAAAGAAAATCATGGAATATGTCTCGGTCAGCTCTAAGGTAGTGTAAGAGGTACAATGAAAAGGGGATTCTGGTGATGTAGAATGAGATAATAGTTTTAGAGAGATCAAACCATGACTATGGGTGAATGTGGAGAAACGGATTAGGATCAGAAACAAGAGTAGAGAAGGTAAATGATTCAGGTTGTCTGGAAAACAATTTGGAAAGTTGATTATTTGTGATAGAGATTGAAAAAGGCAAACGTTGTATGCTTTAATGTCTGCAGAGTCACTGACACTAGAACCAAGCCGTTTAGTGTGATGAAAATTAAAGTCACCAACAACAACAATATTGGCTGAAGGATAAAGAGGCTTGGTCAATTCGATCAGAAATAACTTTGAAAAGAGTGCTGTCTTGAGATAAAGGAGAGCAGTATAGAACAAAGGGAAGGGTTGTAGAGTGAAGTGGTGCTAAACAAATGCAAATCAAAGAATAGTGTATCCCTGTATGCTCTAAAAACTTTAATTTGTCTATCTTCTTTTCCTGCACTTGAATTTTTAATTTTCTCTCATCGTCATGTTATCCTGACTCTGAAAATTTTTCAATTCTCCTGTCAACCATTTCCTTTGTCTTTAACTTTATTTTTTGTTTTCTATTAACTTCCAACTTAATAATGGTTGTTTAAAGTTTTTTTGGGAGTGAATCAGAAAAAAATAAATAAATAAAAAGACTGGCTGAAAAATAACTTAAGCAACGGAAGCTAAAGTGATTTTGATGTCTAACAATTGGTTAACCTGCTTAACTAGAATGGTAGGAAAAGTATAGCTATTAGATTCAAGAGATAAATTAGAGGAAAAGTTCTTTAAAAATAGTTCTTCTTTAGCCTGGGGAGAGGTTATAAGATCTGATCCATGTATCAACAATCGTTCATTTTACTTAGCTTTGTTAAAAACACTGTTGAAGGTTTTCCAAAAGTTTTTAGAGCCTAACTTCTGGGATAAGATAAAAGATTTAATAAGCTGAGAATAATGGAGCTTACCATCAGACAGCAATTTTTTACATTGATTTCTTGCAATCATAAAAGTTTTGTACTTAAGTGAGTTGTTCTTGTGAAAAAGATGAAATGATTAGATATAGCAACTGCACAGGAAGTAGTCTTATTTAGTCTTATACTTTATCACTTCAGTGCTTATTTTTAAAATGAATTAAACTTCACTGAATGTGTCACATGTTATTTCATTTGTTAATAAATGTATTTACTTGGGAAATTTTGAAGACAATAATCTTTTACTTTTTCTTCAAATACTTTTTTTTTTTAGTTATGCATCCACATGGGTGTCATTATTGTCAGGGAGGCTATTTTTTTGTTGTTGTCATTTATAACAAAGCTGGTGCACAGAAAAACAGAATGTGTTGCTTTCAAGGGTGTGGTGGTTTTAAACTTACCTCTTGCTTACAAAACAAACTACTACTTATACCTCTTGCTTACTAATCTATCTACTGCTGCACTACTACTACATTAAGATATATACATTCAGGACATTAGTACTGTATTAGGATATGCATTAAACAGGGCACACACTTTCAAGACAGTAGTGTTTGCATTGTATTTATTTAAGACAGAGGAAGTTATCCTATATAAAGATTTATAACTAATAAATAAGATTTGAAATTTAATCAAAAAAGTAGCTTCTGTGGCTCAAAAATATGAAATATACTTTAGGAAGCAACAGGAAAGTAAACTTTAAATCCTATTCTACTGTCCAATAGACAGGATACAATACTTCAATCAGTTATCCATTCTTAGCTAGCTTTTTCATCTGCTGGATTATTTTTTCCAAAATTTGAGCAGAAATTAGTTACAACTTTGATACATTATGCTACCTTGAAGCTCATTTTTAATAAAAATTATTTTGACAAAGTTTTTTTTTTTTCTTGTAAATTTTTTTTCTCTATCTTTTATTTATATTTATTTTAATTTTTTACTGAGATTACTGGTAAGTTTTTTTTATCATTTTGTTGACAAATTTAAAGCTTGCATGCAAATCTTTTATATGCAATACTATTGCATAATTTTATTATACAATATAAAAATGTTAAATGAACTTTAATTAAATAAATAGTAATTTTTAACTTAAAAGTTCAAAGTTGTTTAAAAATCAATGTTTTTTTAAAGAATGTTTCATATTGTTATCCATGTCCAGCTGGTAGTTATTGTGAAACTAATGAGTACATAAGTGGATTATGTTCAGTTGGAACATATTCATTGAAAGGAGATTCAACTTGTAACAACTGCCCGGCTGGCTCAATGTGTCCTAGCACAAAAAATATACCGATTCCTTGTAGATTGGGTCAGACCACTGGAGGTTTCATTAATCAAACAAGTTGTGTAACTTGCCCTGCAGGGTATGAATGCCCTACCACAGCGTAAGTTTTAAAAGTAAAAGTTAGTATACTAAGTGCTATAATATTTTTTTTGAATATGCATATTCATAAATTAAAACTTTTATACTTTCAGAAGTCCAATGATACAATGTGCATTAGGCACATTCAGTTTGGGGGGAGCAACAATTTGCACATTATGTCCAGCTGGATATAAATGCCCTGATACCTCTGTAAGCATTTATGACATTTAAAGTATGTTTCATGTTAAGGTAAGATAAAATTATTAAAGCCAAGTTAACTGGTAGTTATTCTTTGGTAACCTCTTGTTGTAAAGTATGACATTTAAAAATATATAATAAATTGTAAATACAAAAAAGTTAAATGAAACACAATTTACTCATGTACACATTTTATTGTAACTAGAAGCGGCCAGTAATTTGTGCAGATGGAGAGTATTCTTCAGGGGGTCAACAAACCTGCTCTGTATGCCCTGCTGGCTATTCTTGTCCATCAAAAGCAACTTATCCACCTGTAATCTGTCCTTTAGGTACAAATTTATGTTTGATGTTTAGCTTATACCAATAAGTATAAACTTATCTGAGTTTTTACTATTTTTATATTTCTTTAAAAACTTAATTGATTTTTCTTTCTTTTTTGTGGAGCGTTTTTTTATCAAGCGTTTTTTTTTTTTTTTTTTTTTTTATTTGTGAAAACTTTTTATGAAAACTTTTTTTTGTAAACCTCTCTTTCATCCAAATACAAATCTTGATAGATTTGTATTTGGAAAGAAAACTGCTCTGTACAAGATGAGGTTAATATTTAATATTTTTCTATATTTTAACACATGTTGAACTATTTTTGCTAGCTAAATTCCCACATTCTCTTAAAATTGAAGTTTTCTATTCTTTTTGATATCATTTTAATTTATAATAGGTAGTTATTCTCCTGCTGGAATCTCATATTGTATTGTTTGCCCTGCTGGTTATATGTGTGAAAACCAAACTGTATTAAGTCCAACTTTATGTAAAGATGGAGAATATACAGATGGAAACAGTATTGAATGTAAAGTTTGTCCACCTGGTTGGCAATGCCCTTTAAAAAATGGGATTAAAAATAGTCAGTGTGTTTATGTAAGTCAGTGATGTTACTCTTTTTTTTTTTAATTAATTTTTTTTAAATTTGCTTCTTATTTTATTTATTAATATCTTTTTTTACATCTAATAAAACAAAGGGAACATATTCTCCTGGAGGTTTGACATCATGCATTGTTTGTCCTGCTGGTATGGAATGCCCTAGCACTACAATACTAAATGCTACTCAATGCAACCCAGGATCTTTTTCAACGGGTGGGCAAGTGGTAAATTTATTTTCATTCTAAAATTTTTAATTTAGTTGACTTTTTGTTAGTTCAAATTAGTTAAAAAAAAATTTGATTCTATTTTAGAGATGTACCCCATGTCCTGCTGGAAATTATTGTCCTTCAATTATAGCAGCCACCATAAATGCTTGCCCTACAGGTTTTTATAGTGTAGGCGGACAAGATGTATGTTCAGAGTGTCCAGCTGGATTTTCATGTCCTAGTAACTATGAACCTTTACTAATTGCTTGTCCATTAGGATATTATTCACTTTCAGGAAGCTCAGTTAGTTTCAGTTTTTTTTGATTTGATTTTGTTTTTTAATTAGTTTTTAATTATGTTTTATTTTTGTATAGTTTTTAAAAGTTTTATGGAACAAAAATTTTATATATATTTTAGAGTTGCACTGCATGCCCTGCTGGAATGTACTGTCCGAATACAACATCTCCTGGTTTAGACTGTCCTACTTCATATTTCAGTTATGGTGCTGCATATATATGTAATCCATGTCCAAAAGGATTTTATTGTCCCAAAAAAGACGCATCTCCTATTATTTGCCCCACAGGTCAATACACAAACACATCTAGCGAGGTTTGTTTTAATTGTGCACAAGGATATATTTGCATTAAAGGAAGTATTTCATCACATCCTGAATCGGGATTATGCCCTATAGGTTATTACTGTCCTGATTCAAAACAGATGCAGCCTTGTCCACTTGGAACTTATGGTAATAAGTTCGGAGCAATAAGTCAAAATGATGGATGTTTTCCTTGTCCTGTTGGATACTTTTGTAACCAGCTACCAACTATAGGTTATCCTGGTGAATCTAATAGGTGTCCTCGTGGGCACTATTGTTTAGCATCAACATCAAGCATGTATCAGTATCCATGTTTAGATGGGACATGGAACAATAAACTTGGTCTAGAGAGTCAAAATGGGTGTTTAGAGTGTAAAGCTGGATATTATTGCAGTGGTGGCGATGGTAATGGTGACAGTTTATGTCCTGCTGGTCACTATTGTCCTCATGGAACAAATTCTTCTTCACAATATAAATGTCCTGATGGAACTTACACTGAACAACAGGGTTCTACAAGTAAAATATATATTTTAACTAGCATATTTAAAACTAATAAATTCTGAAAAAAGTTCAGAAACTGAATAATAAATAAAATAGTTTTAAATAATTTAATAAAAAGTTAATTAGTTGAAAAAAAAACAGATCGGTAGAAATAAATATGTCAATATAGTAAATTACCATCTATTTTTGGCGCTATAAATTTATTTTATATTTGTAGCAATTACTGATTGCAAAACATGTCCTGCTGGTTTTTACTGTCCTTCTGGATCAGAAGCTCCAGTTGCATGCCCTGCAGGAACTTACAATCCTTTAAGTAACCAGGAAGATATTTCCAAGTGTAGACTATGTATTTCTGGAATGGCATGTCCAGAAACTGGTCTAACATACCCAACTGAGAGTTGCTATGCTGGGTATTATTGTCCACTTGGTTCAGCTATTCCATATGCAAATCCTTGCCCTGCTGGCACTTACTCAGACTATAGAAATCTTACTTCAGCAGTTGAATGTACAGTTTGTCCTCAAGGCCAAGCTTGTAGTACAGGAACAGGTGGTTTTGAAAAACCCCCTCAAGCATGTGGAAAAGGTGACATTTTTGTATGTTATTGCACGCATTTTTACATTTCTGAAATGCATAAATTGTTAAACAGCTCATAAAAAAAGAATTTATACTAAAAAATAGATTGGGTAATAATATTTTTTGAGAAATTTTATTTAGACCATTAATCCACTATTAAATTTAATATTTTTCAAATTTGTGAAAATATTCCTAAAATCATTTGCTTTAATCTTTTAACAAATGTTGTGTTTTATGTTTAAAGAAATGTTTTTTTCTTGATTTGTAAACGTTTAATTCTCTTAAAGTTGATTTTTTTGTGGCTATACTGTAATAAATTTTGAAATTTATTTGAAAAACTGGATTAGTATAAAATTTGTTAATGAATTTTGGTGCTAAAATTAACTTTCATTTTGAAAATAAATAAAAAAATAAGATTTATTTATGACATTTAAGAATTAATATGAAGTGTTACAAAAATATAAACTATTTTCCATATTTTATTATTAAAGAGTCACATATAAATTCACATGAAATGTAAACAGGTTAACTAGCCACAACAGTATCAAAGTTTAGATAAAAATTTAAATTATATTCTGTTCAGTATCTTCTGTCAAAATATGTTCATTAAGATATTTCTAATTGCTATGAAATATTTATTTTAGGCTACTGGTGTCCCCTTGGTACACAATATCCAACACAATATCCTTGTCCAGCAGGTTCTTGGTCAAACTTAACTAATCTGTACACTCAAAGTGCTTGTTATGTTTGTCCTAAAGGCTGGTTTTGTTTGCAAAATGCTTCTTCACCCACTGGAATTTGTCCCACTGGTCATTATTGTCCCTCTGGTAATAAATTTTTATTTTGTATACAGCATTTTAGTATTTTTTAAACAAAGTTTAAATTTTAATTAAATATATATATATTCAAATTATATTTAAGTATACACACACACAGGCATATACATAATTTAAAATTATTTGGAAATATTTTTAAGGTACACAAAGTGCAACTCAATTTCCTTGTGCAGCAGGTACTTACTCAAATAGAACTGGAAATACCAGATGGGAAGTGTGCGAACAATGCCTGGAAGGCAATTATTGCCCTCAAGGGTCATCAAACCCTACTCCTTGTCCTCAAGGAAAATATAGACCAATGCTCAAAGGCAAATCACTTGGTAAACTTTTTTATAAATTTATAATTATACTGTGTTTCCTAACATCTCATGTAACCTTAAATCTCATATAACCTCACATTTGTCTCAACATGGCAGTTTTGCAAATGAGAACAAATGGAAAGTTGCAGTATTCATCAATATTGTATTGTGAATTGAAAATCAAATTTTTTACAAATAAAAATACTCTTAAACAAAAGCTTTTGGTAATACTGAGTTGTTAGAATCTTTCCTTGTGTAAAACTTGTGTGAAAGATATTGCACAATTAATCAACACTTTATGATTGAAGACAAATTTTAAAAGACAATTTGTACTTTACTTTCATTATTATATATTTTATATATCTACACAGTTGAACTCGTGTAATTGGAATCCACATGGGGTCTCAAAATATGAGCTACAAGAGGTTTTAAATTATAAGAGCTTAATATTAAAGCAAGTTATTTGAGGATTAACTTAATCAGAGAACTTTATTAATAATTAGTCAGACGATTTCATGGGACCAAAGAAAACAGGTTGAGATAATAGTTAATCAGTTCACTGATGTTTAACAGGATGTTAAACATCAGTGATCTTGAGTGATATTGAATGGATCTTTTCCGCTTACTTTTTTATAATTTTCAAAGCGATTAAACTATATGAGCTTTAACTTTTTCATTTCAAATAACAGTAAAATTGTATTAAAAATATTTTAAATAATAAAATAAATAAAAGTTTTTAAAACATAATAAAGTTATAATAATCATGTCAAAAAACTTGATTTTAAAAGTAAGAAAAGAACAAGAAAAAAAAGTTATTAATTTTTGATGACTTAACAGGATTTATCTGTAATATGTTGTTACTGAAATAATTTTAGTGTAATATACAGATAGTTTTAATACCAAGTAATAACATGCGGTAGATTGAATCTAAACTAGAAACTCATTCAAATTTGTAATTTAAAGTTTATATTTGCATCTCTCAGGGAGATAAAAGTTAATAGCAGTACTTCCAGTGGCATAGGATGGATTTGATAAGGTAGGTTCGAGGGTGCAGGGTTGGTTTGACCCTCGTACATCTTGATTGTAAGCTGAGTATTCTATTACTAGTCTAATAATATGCATTAAATGTAAATAATATTTAGGTTCCAGGGTAGAACATTTTAGTTCCAGGCTATTTATACTTGTATAGTTAATTTAGGTAAAGAAAGGATATTGGGATTGGGAAAGGATATTTAGGATTGGATAGAGTTACACATGATGCCACATGCAACCACCAACCCATGCTGATGCTTGCATGTGACATCTATTTGAAGTGATTATAAAACATTTTTAAATTGGTATAAGTATGAAACAGACCATAAAATATTTTAAATCAATCATAAAATATTAAAATAAAACTTAAAAGGTCTACATTTTAATGGTGATGTTTGATAACAAATGTCAAAAACTTTTCATATAACTTGTCATATAAATTGCTGCGACATTGCTAAAAAAAATACTGGTTTCTGACTGCATTGAAATAAATGGAGATTGAAATAAATAAAAGTCATTATAAAAATGAAAAAAACTATTTAAAAAAAAATGACAATAGTTACATTAGTTGTAATGAAAACTATTTTTAAGATTTATAGAATATTATTGGACATTAATGTTTCATTATAAATTTTATTTAAAATAAAATATAAATGTGTTATGGTAGATGCATCCCTTTGCACAAAAATCTGCATTTCTTAATAATTGATTGAACTTGATTTTTTGGTCTAAATTTAAAAATTATATAGTGTATGGTAATTCAATAGAGACTGGAACTCAATTTCTTCTACACATTACAATGACATAAGACATGATATCATGTAATAACAATAGAGACCGGAACTTAATAATTACCTATCAAATATATGAAATACATGACTGTAGCATGATCAGTTTTCCAGATCTTCAGATTGACACTCCAGATAAGCAGATGTGTGATAAGCAGTAAGATTGTTAAATTTTGTAAAAAATTGTGTCTATTAGTGCAAAGAAAAAAATTTTTTTCTAATAAATCAATACTATACTTTCAAATAACATATATTTTAGCCTTGAAATTTGTTAAAATATGAAAAAATTTTGTGTTTAGTAATTCATGTAATACCAAGGCAGAAGTTTTTTTTTTGTAAAACTTGTCATGTTGATCCTTCGTTAGACTTTCTAAAAGTTATATTGTGAGGCTTGTTTTTAAATGGAATGGTATTTATTTCAGTAGCTTCAAAAGTATTTGTTCAAAAACCTTTGAAGTCTTGATACATGTTTTCATATTTTCTAGTGTGTTTAGGGTTTGTATATGTTTTTTGATTGTGGCATCTGTCATTAAAGTTTTGTAAAAGTTATAGTTAAGAAGTCATGAGTCTTTTTATGACATCAGTCTCTGGAATCTTTTGGTATCTTAGAATCTTTTTTAAATAATTTAGATTGAAATCTTTTTGTTGTAATTCTAATTTAATAATCTAAATATAAATTATTCATTAGATTTTGACATTCAACTTTTTACACACATGAGTTATAAAAAAATTGAGAATTTTGAAAATGATTAATGATCCATGTTAATGATCTTTTTGGCATTTTTGGCATTAACATAGTTTTGATTTCTTTTTTGTTTCATTATGTTTTGAAGCTAATTACTTGAAAAAGTTTTATTTTCTTTTTTATATTTATATTCCTTTTTGACTGTGAATTCAAAATAACTTTTTTTATCTAATTATTTTAAATTTTTCTAAAGTGTAATTTGATTGAGGGAGCTACCACAAGTCTCAATTTTGCATGTTGCAAATGATGTCCTAAATGCCAAAAAAAAATTTTTATAAGTTGTCATGTCGAGTTTTAAAATAAAGCACAATTTTACAAATAATTTTGACTCAATCTACCATTCATATATCTAATAATGTTAACATTGTATATGATATATATAAAATATGAAATATGTATATGATAATAGGTAATAATAGTAATAAATACAAATCTCTTTCAAATCTATAATAAAATATCATGATTTGTATGAGCATATAATTATGGTTTTGTAAAAAAAAGTATACAAGTATTTTTTATATAGTTATTTTTTTATATAATTTTTTTTAAGGTGATTGTACTATATGCACTGGTGGTTTTTACTGTCCCATTAAAGGTACTGTTGATCCATTACCTTGTGATGCTGGTTATTTTTCACCTCCTGGTGCATCAAGTTGTACTAGTTGTCAAGTGGGATATTACTGTATGTTAAATACAACAAGTTATGAGTTGATGAGTACGCAATTTATATGTCCTGCTGGAATGCACTGTCCTAGTGGGTTGTCTTATCAGCCGTTTCCTTCGAGCAACCCTTGTTTGGCGGGTTATTATTGCGTGCAAGGAGACAAAGTTAATATTAATTTTTTTTTTTTTAGTAAGAAATTTAATCAGAACAAATTTTTCCATTATTTTTTATAAAAAATAAAAAGCAATTAAGTTACAATTTAAATATAATTTATAACATATATTATAATATTAATGATTTATTTAATTTAAATTAACTTTTTGATGGCAATGGCCATTTTGATGTTCATACTTAGAATGCATCCATTATTTGTGGCAGTTGTATCCCAGCAAGTTTCAATAATGTTTTGTTCAACATTGGCAAAAAACTAATGCGTTTGTTACTCTTGATTTAAAGTTTTAAATTTCAAGAATTTTTCCTTGTAGATATTAATGGGTATTTTCTAAAAGAATAATTATACCTGCAATTACAACTATAAACTTTAAATTTACCTTTAAGAAATGATAATCTACATATTTGTATTTAAAAAAAATTCCCAGGAATTTCTTGAAAAAAAAACAGGAACAGGAATTGAACAACAAGATTCCTGGAAATTACCGTTCCCGGAATTCCCTTGAGAATCACTACGTATAAGTCTATTCAATAGTTCATTTACATGAAAATATTTCTTTCTTTAACACTCCAGCTTTTGCAATCATACTCCCAAGAAGTAGATTTAGTTGATTGCTTGTAATATTATAACAATCTACTACTTGATTATCATTGAAAATGTGTTAAGGTGTTTTAAAGAAGATATTTTAGAGTTATATCTTTTGGATCTTGTGCACTGGGAAGATTGAAATCTGAACTTTTTGCATGTGTTTCTTTTTTAGAATTTACATTTTCCTTTTTTTGATATTCAAGGTTAACAGTTTGGTTATCAATCTTTGTTTTTACTTTTAAGATTGTCATTCTGAATTTAAAACTGTTTCTTTGTAATGTTTTTTCTGTAGACTAAAGGAATGTATATTTCTCTGCATACTTTTTTTTCTGTCGCTATCATCAAGCACATTTTTAGTTGATGGAAAAGTAGCCAATAACTTTATTCTTGCAGAACAACAGCCACTTTTTTAAATTGTTTTAACAATTATTTTTATTTTGGTAGTCATGTAGTTGTAGAGCGCTCGTTTCAAAAGCAAGAAGTTGCACCGCGCTAAACTTGTTTCAGCTCGTTTCAAAAGCAAGAAGTTGCACCGCGCTAAACTTGTTTCAAAAGTAGCCTAGTAACTAAAAAAAATAACATTTAAAAGAAAAAAAAAACTATTTTCACATCTTTTATTTGAAAGGATAATGCTATTTCACTTGGAGATTTTCTTTGAGAATAATTTTTCAATGAGCATCTCTTGTGAAAATGCGTAGCTTTATTTTGAGCATTCTTTCTTGTCACTACTTTCAGTGGAACTTTGTCGTAAAATATAAAAAAACTGAAGAAAAGTGTTATTACATTTGACCTTTTGTTAAAGGTAAATTAGATGTGTGTAAAAAATAATCTTTATTTATATGTTTGAAAAGGTTCAAAGAGGTTACAGAAGCCACCTTAAAGTTCTGGAAACTTCTAGATTTTAAAAAGTGCTTTAGAAGGTACTTGAGAAGGTACCAAAATTCTGAAATCAGAACAATTCCAAAATTTTGAAAAATTCCAGAACATTATGGGAATTAGAATATTCTGAATCATAACAGCTAATACACCTATTTTCAGAAAATACTTGTTGCAGAAAATACTTGTGTGTGTAAAAAACTTTTTTTTTTACATTAAAACAATACAGTTTTGAGTGAGTTATGTTTTGTCAATTAGATGTGAAATGCATAAACTTCTATGAGAGAGAATAGATTGATCTTAGTGACTATTGATTACTTGTATGCAGTATTTTGTATTCAGTATGTACAAAAGTGTGTAATAACCTAGTAATCAAATTTAATTTAACATAATCAAATTTATATTAAGTTTATAAAAAATTAATTTTATATAAAGTTTAACTTTTAAAAGTTTGAAATAACTTTTTATATAACATGCTTTAAAAATGAAAAATATTAAAATATATATTTTATATATAAGTTTAAACAGTTTAAGTTTATTTTATATTAGGTAAATACAGTTTAAACTAAATTACACAAATTACATAATTAACATTCAAAGAACAATAGTTATAATTCAATAGCTTTTTATTTACTATTTTATTGCTATATTACTATTTTTTTAGACTATTTTTTAAGTTTTGTCAAATTTTTTAAAAATATTTTAAAAAGTTATTAAGTTATAAAAGTTATAAATTTTAAAAGTTAAGGAAAAGTACAGTGGCCTAACATGTTACCAGCAAATCAAGAAAAAGTACAGTGGTCTAACATGTTACCAGCAACAACAGAAGAAAGACAATTATATTTTTAGTTATTACCTTATTACTCATATTTATGTTACTTTTTAAAAACTAAAATAATATCATTTATGTATTTTGGTTTACATTTTTTATTTTTTTATTTATTAAATAAATACTAGTTAAATATTTTTTATTTTTGTTGCCTAGTATCCTAGTCCTCAAAAATGCCCCAATGGCACATACAGTTCATTTACTAATCTAAAAGATATTAGTGAGTGTCAGCCATGTTTACCTGGTTACTACTGCGAATCAGAAGGTCAAACTCAACCAACTGCTCCATGTTTGCCAGGTTACTATTGTCCGGTTGGCACATCATCTAGGTATGCTTATCCATGTCCCGTTGGTTTTTATAGAAATGCTTCAGCTGCTTTATCTAGCATGGACTGTAGCAGTTGTTTTGCTGGAATGTATTGTGACATAGAAGGATTAGCATTTCCAAAATTATGTCCACAGGTTTGCTTGTTTTTAAAAGTTGTTTTTATTTACTGATATATTTTCAAGGTAATGTTTAATTTTCTTTTGTATTCTTTTAGGGATACTTTTGTCCTTCAAAATCAACTATTCCACAGCCATGCCCTGCTGGTTACTATGGAAATGTAACTGGTTTAAAAAGAAGTAAAGATTGCACACCATGTGAAAAAGGTTTATATTGTGCTGGTCCTGGAAAAAAGAAGCCAACAGGTGAATGTGATGCTGGTTATTACTGTATTGGAGCTGCTACTGTTTCAGTAAGATATATTTAAAGTATATTTATTTAATTCGTGAATAAAAGCATAAAAAGTGTAAAACACTGTCAAAATCACTATTAAAGCTTTGGGAAATTTTTTAACTTTAACTTTAAATCAAGTATATAATTTTTTTGAGCTGTGCAGCTGTGAGTATTTTTTAGTGCAGATGAGAGTATTTAAAGTCAAATAGTGTTCTAGAATTTATTGATTTTAAATTTAATTACTGTTCAACAATTTAGGCCCCCCCTGGAGACATTACAGGTGGGCTTTGTCCAAAAGGAGGATTTTGTCCCCAAGGTGCAACATATCCACAAGCTTGTCCAATTGGTTTGTATAACAGTGATTATGGAGCTAAATCAGCAAATGACTGTTTGCCTTGTACCCATGGGTTTGTTTTTTTATTTTTTATTTTTTTATTGATTTGTTTTGTTTTTTTTGTTTTTTTTTTTATTGATTTGTTTTTTATTGATTTTTTTTTTTTTTTATTGATTTGTTTTTTTTTTTATTTTTATGTTTTTTTTGTTTAGATTTTATTGTGCTGGTACTTTTATGAATGGCCCTACTGGTCCATGTAATCCAGGATTTTACTGTAATGGCAGTGCTACAAATCCAAACCAATATTCAACTCCTGCTGGATACTATTCATTAAAACAAGCATCTTTTCCTGTTCCATGTGATCGTGGTTATTATCAATCTTCTGATCGTGCCTCAAGTTGTAATTTATGTAGCAAAGGTTCTTTTTGTAACAGAACTGGGTTAAGTATTCCTGAGAACTGTTTAATAGGTCATTACTGTCCAGATGGAACTAAAGATCCATATCCATGTCCTAAAGGAACATTTAATCCTGAATTATCAAAAGTAAATGAAACAGATTGTAATCCATGTCCCGCTGGAAAGTATTGTGGTTCTACAGGTTTGGTTGCACCAACTGGTGATTGTTTTTCTGGTTATTATTGTTTGCTTGGATCACCAGAGCCTAATCCTGCATTTAACATATCTAATCCTGTAACAATTTTATCTTTTGGAAAATAATAATTATTTTTTATTCTTAAAATACTTTTTTTTTTAATTATTTTTACATTGTTAACTGTTTTTTGTCTTTATTGCTATTGATTATATTATTATTGCTATTATAAAATAACAATGTGTGACATATGTTATTACTATTACTACTAATAATATTTGTTATTATTAATATTATATCATAATAAGTATTATGATTTATTAATTTTCAAGGTTCAAACCCCATCAGGTTTCTATTAGTACTGTTCTCAATTTGTTTCTTTGCACAACAGTTTTGATCAGCAAAGTTTATGTTTCAAAGGCATATCGCTAAAAGATAATTGTATACACATTTTTAAAAATTGTCTAATATTGTTGTCCTTGCATATTTATATTGGCACTGTCCAAATATTTTGTGTACACTTAAAGTTTAAAAGGTTGACATATAAAAACAGTTTTTTCAAAAAAAGTGGAAAAAAAAAGAACAAAAAAAACTTTTTTTTTTTCTCACAATATATTTACCTAAATCAGTATGGTGTTAGATTGCTTATCTAAATGCAATTTTACATTTGTGTGCATATATATATATATATATATATATATATATATATATATATATATATATATATATATACCCTGTTATATATATATATATATATATATATATATATATATATATATATATATATATATATATATATATATATATATATATATATATATATATATATATATATTTATATATGTGTATGTATGTACATATATAGGTATGTATGTATGTATGTATGTATGTATGTATGTATGTATGTATGTATGTATGTATGTATGTGTTTGTATATATATATATATATATATATATATATGTATGTATGTGTTTGTATATATATATATATATATATATATATATATATATATATCACACTACATGTATATAAAAATGTGTGTTCATTATTTGTGTGATTATTATTTTATCATTATTATAATGTCTATATATTATTACATAGCTATTGATCTTTTTTTTAATTTTTATCTCATTCACTAGTTTTGGTTTATAAAAATATTTTCATCTAGGGAAACATTTCCAACTTTATAAGCAATGGAAAATTATATGGAGGCATTTGTCCTCCAGGTTATTACTGTGAAACTGGCACTAAACAACCTTTTCAGTTTCCATGTCCAATAGGAACTTATAACCCAATAATTGGAGCCACTAATATCTCATTTTGCTTGCTGTGCCCAGGAGGAAAATATTGTGAAACACCAGGTTTGTCTGTCCCTACAGGCAATTGTTTTGCTGGTTATTATTGTAATGAAGGAGCTAAGCAAGGAGGACCATTAGACAATGTTCAGGGAAATATATGTCCAGTGGGATTTTATTGCCCATCTGGGGTGAATACACCATTACCATGCCTTCCAGGGACTTACAGGTATTCTATATGTTTTAAAAATATCAAATATAAATAATATTTAATATATAATGTTATTATAAAAGTTTTACATAAACTTTATAGTTATATATCAAGTTAAAATTTTTTCAAACATTGAATTTTATATAGTTTAAAAAAATCTATGGTATAGGTAAAAAAGAACCCATTTAAGGTTTTTATAGTGTCTAATAGTGGCTGCTAACATGGTGAAGATTAGTGTAGCATGGTGTTGGAGACAAAATGTAGTAGTTTTTTTTTCAAACTTTTCGGTCAATATTTTTCAAATTAGTTTTCATAGTTAAATTTTAATTAAAATAAACCAAGTTGTGTATTATCAAATAACAAGTAAAAAAAACTTGTAGTTTAAGAACTCTTATGATTATTGCAGCAGTAGGTACATATGTATGTACTTAAGTATTCAGAGGTTTGCTACAATACCATCAGCAAACAATTGGTATTGTAATGGGTGGTACAAATCGAAAGCAAGAAGCAGAAAGACTACAAAGAGGAAATAATATTCTAATAGCAACTCCAGGGTACTTGTTAGATCATTTGCAGGTTTATTTTTTAAGAACTATAAAATTTTTTATATTAGTGTCACATGTTTTTAATTTAAATACTGTTATTATTAAATTTTTTGGTGAGGTGAGTACTATTTCCAGAAAACAAGAAGACACAAGATACAAGATGACTTGTCATTTTATAAAATACTAATTACTGAAATATAAAAATTAAATATATATTTTTCTTTCAACACTTAAAACTTTGTTACAAAAAAAATTTTAATTGTCTTTTTATTTGTCTTTTTTAATTTTACTTAAAAAGTAAAAAAACTCAAAATTTAAGAACTCTTATGATTACCATAGTAGAAGGTACATAGTATGTACTTAAGTATAGTAGAAGGTACATAGTATGTACTTAAGTATTAATAGATTTGCTACAACACCATCAACAATATTATCTACTATAGTAGAGGGTACATAGTATGTACTTAAGTATTAATAGATTTGCTACAACACCATCAGCAATATTATCTGTTATGTATCTATGTTAAATATATTATATATAATTATGAATTACCATAGCAGAAGTGATTTGAATGATCACAGTTGAGGTGATTATGAATTACCATAGCAGAGGTGATTATGAATTACCACAGCTGTGGTAAAGTTTGTAATGATATCAAAAAACTTATTTTTTTTACTTTAAGTTGCTTAATTTTAGATCTCTTCAGAATTCAGGATTGCAGATTTCATTTATTTTAGATTTAAAAAAAAATTCTCACAACTTTTTAGAAGTTATGACAGAATTATAAGAAACTACCTATTAAATATATTTAAAAATTTTCTTTGCACCTCAATGTCTGCATCAATGAGTTATTCTACAATATGAATAAATATTCCTGGATGAGCTGAAATGATTTGTTTATAGCGAGAGAAGTTGCTTTATATTTCTCAAGTTTCTGACAAGAAGTTTTGGTGAAATTTGGGGATCACAAGGTTAAAAAAAAAAAAAAAAAAAAAAAGAAAACTAAAAGAATCTACAAATCTTGCATGCCATTAACTTTATATTGTTGCTACCATGGTTACTTTTTAACTTTAGATATTGCTTCACTCCTTAGTTTCATTTTCTGTTATTTTTAGAGGCAAATAAAATGCAAAAATTATCTATCATTAATTAGGCTTTATTTTTTATAGTAGGATTAAATTGCTAAAATTGATTAAATTAAAGCAAGACTCATGATGAAAAAAAAAAGAGTTTAAAATACATTAATTTGTAAAAACTTGATATAATTAATAACACAAATAAAAAAACAAAAAAAGATTTAATTCATTTTTTATGTATAAAAAAATAAACAAAATCCTGGGAGATTGGGGAGGGGAGGAGAGTTAGTCAAAGACCCCATTGTTATAAAACCTAGATATACAAAAAGTTCATAAATATAACTTTTTCACAAAATAAACCTCATTCAATTTTTAATGACCTTAATTATAAAATTAATTGTTTAATTGAATCTCATGATTTTAATTGAACTCAATTGAACCTTATTTTGTTTAGTTTAGTAATAAAACTGTGACAATATATATACAGTGAGTGGGATTAACACACTGAAGCAGCCATTTGCAAAAATTACTGTTTTTGAACAATGATTAGTTGTTTTTGAACTGGTTTAAGCAAGATTACTTTATCTGGAAATTCAATCCACGCAGTTGTGGTTTGATTAGGGAGAATTTTGTTTAAAAAGATTTTTAACGAATTTAGCTTAGTATCTAAATTTTTTTTCATGTGTTTGAGTCAGATTTTCTTGAATATTTAATTGCTTTTAAAATCTGTATCTGTTTATGGCTATTTTGTTGACTTTTTTAAGAATTTGTATCAAGTTTATTCTTAATTGCCAACATGAAGTTGTGTTAAATTCATTTAAATTCATGAGTTTTTCTTCATATATCATATTTTTAAGAGAGAGAAAATTATCTTAGCTGCTTGTCTCTGTACTTGTTCCAATATAGATGTATCTCCTTTAATGTAAGGAGTCCATACAGCCATAGCATATTCAATATGTGGACAGACAATTGTAGTATAAAGAACATTAAACATCTGTTTATCAATATAACTAAAGGTTCGCTTTAGCATACTAAAATGTGTTCACTTTATGTTATAATTTTTGTTACTAACACTTTACAAATGCCTAAATTTGTTATATTTAAAGTTACTGATCGCAGTGCATTCCTGAGGAGGGAGATGACATTAGAACCCATTTATCATTGTTTTATACTTTTATACTAATTTGTTATATTTAAAGTTACAAGTTCTGTATTAAAAAAATATGTTATGTATTCTGTATAACATATTATTTTATATATTATTATATAATAGTATTTTACTTTTGAGTAAAAAATAGAACATCTGTAAAATATGGACATAAGTTTGTGTTCTTAAAAATGGAGGAAAAAATGTTTTTAATAAACTCTCATTTTTATTAGCAATATCACACAGCTTGCGCAATGTCTCGGTTGTCCTCAACGGTACTTCTGCAACAACAGAGTGTATCCAGAAATATGTCCACCTGGTTATTTTTGCAAACTAAACACATCATTTGAAACAAAAATGCCATGCCCACCTGGAACATATAATACTGTTGTAAGTTTTAAAATTAAAATCATTGTATCAGATATTAAGTTAGTTATATAAACTATTATATAAATTAAAATAATTAGTCTTTGAATTATTAAAATCAGTAATGATAAATATATTATTGTATTGTGTTAATTCCATTTAATTATATATTGATAATATACTGATGTTAATATATTAATAGTATAAATCAAATTATAAGTCAAAGTTTTTAAAAATGACTCAAACTGTTAACAAGGTATTATAACAAGATGGCTTCTGTATTGAAGATAAAACTACAATGTTGCAGCCAAACAATAGAATAAATAGACAAAACTCATCTTGTACTTTTATTTTTAAATATATAACTATACTGTTGTTTTAAGTTGTTTTACTTGTTGTTAGTTTTTAGCAATATGGGTTTTAGTCATTTTCATATATAATTTTTGTAAAAAAAAAAATTCTTAACAATTGATTCCAATGGGGCTGTATCATAAGACATTAGTCTTCTGTCATCTGTTGAAAATTTTCTTTCTTTACATTTTTATGCATAACAAAACATAAAATTCATATAAAATTTACAAAATAAAATTTTAAATTTATAAATAAAGTTATAAAAAATTAAGAATTGAAGGTGTAAGAACTTGACTGAAGTATAACCACTTTTAATATTGGTCTGATTCCAACCACATTAAAAAAAACGCTTAATTTTTTTTTTCACTATTTTAAACTAAATTTATATTAATTGCAAAAATTTATTTCTTAGTGTTGTAAAGGTTATGACCATGTTAAATTTATAACCCCTTATATTTTGCCATATAATTCTTCAATTTGAAGAATCATAGTATCGTACAATTAACAATGATTGTAATCTAGAAATTTTAAAAATTTTTAATTTTAACAATGTTGTTTTACATTTATCATTTAATGTTAGACATTTTTCATACCATCATACATTTTTCATATTATTGTTAGGTCAATACATCTTTTTATACCATTGTTGGGTCGATACATTTTTCAATCCATTGTTGGGTTGATAGGATCTGCTTGATAAAATACTTAATAATTCTTCAGAGTTGTTTACTAAAAAATAACAATTGAAGAAAAATATCAAATTGTAATAACCTATTGATTTTCTATTAAAAATTAAATATCTTTAAGAAATTATATTGTATATTGTACTTTTGAGTAAAATATACTGCTAATTTTATGAAAATCTGCATAACTAAGTAACTAAGTAACTAAGTAACAAACACACTTTATATGTAAGAAAATCATCTTAAAAAGAAGAAAATGGTCCTAGTGTCAGAAATAATTTTTCTCTAGTAGATTTATTACTTGTTATATTAATAAAAATGTCTAAATCATTTATTATAATTATTACTGTTAGTTTTAATCTTGTTGTAATATTATTATTATTGCTATGTAATTTTTTATAATTTTTTACATAGGGAGGTTTAGCAAGCATTGCTGAATGCAGTGCCTGTCCTCCAGGAAAATTTTGTGGTGAATATGCCGTAACTGAATTTACAACAGGGAACAATTCTGGTTCCTGTAAAGCTGGATATTATTGCAGAAGTGGGGTTAACTCAAGCCAGCCTCATCCTCCTTTATCAACTGGGGTTGGTAATATATGTCCTGCTGGGTACTACTGTAAAGAAGGTACTAGCGATTATATAGCAACCCCTTGCCCACCTGGAAAATATTCTGCTGTCTCTGGATTAACTAAAGTGGAAGACTGCACAGATTGTGATAATGGTTATTATTGTAATGGAACAGGATTAACTGTCCCATCAGGTATCTAGGATATTTAGTCATACAACACAATTACAAGAATTTTTAATATAATATAAATATTAAATATATAATAATATAAATATTAGTATGGACAAATTAGTGTTAACATATTACAAAGATATTTACATAATTACATTTAAGATAACTTACATATAAAATAATATCATCATTTATGAAATAATAATTACTTTAATACTTAATGTATTACTTACATTTAAAATAATATCATCATTTATAAAATAATAATTACTTTAATACTTAATGTACAACTATAATTATTTAAGTTTGTTCATAATCAGTTAAGCTATGTACTTTATTTAACAATTCTTTAAAGGTCTATGTGATCCAGGATTTTACTGTTACAGAGGATCTGTATCAAAAAACAATCCTATTGATAATGGAGTAAGTGGACCATGCCCTGTTGGTCATTACTGTACTGCAGGAACATCAACACCGATGGGGTGTTCTTCTGGAACTTACATGCCTGTAACAGGATCATCAAAATGTTGGTCATGTCCTGCTGGGTATTATTGTTCTTCGAATATATCAAGTTATATTGACTATGAATGTCCTATGGGTTATTATTGTCCCAATGGAACAAAATATGCCAAACAGTACTCTTGTCCGTTAGGCACTTTTAGAAATGCAACACTTGGAAAATCAATATCAGACTGTTTTCTATGCCCTCCAGGTTATTATTGTGCTAGTAATGGACTTTTCCAGCCTTCAGGACTATGTGATGATGGATTTTACTGTGTTGGTGGTGCTACCATTTCTAATCCAATTTTTAGTTATAACTACAACACTAGTTTAAATTTTGTTTGTCCTTCCAATATGACAGGTAATAATTAAAATTTACTTTTTAAATATTTTTTTAATTTAAGTCAATACTTTAACTAATAATTTAAAAATAATCAACTAAAATTTTTTTTATTAAACAAAAAACTAACAGTTTTTAATTGGATAATTTTGAAATTTTTGTTGGTTAAAGCATTTTTTCTTCCAAAATATTGAAAATTAAATTATTAAAAACTAAATTATTACATTGTTTCTAAGTTATTTGTTATCTGAAATGTTTGTTATCTGAAATTATTATCGTTCATTATCTCAAATAAATAGATTGAAAACATTTATTTTATCTTTGTTGCATCTCTTTCAAACCTAATTGCTGTTACAACCCTCAATCAGCTGTTACTACCCTCAATCAGCTATTACAACCTTCAATCAGTTGTTACAACAATTTTTTCTCTCTGTTGTTAACTCTTTTTTTTACGACTGTTTTTATAATTTATTGTCATTTATATATATTTTTAAATTTAATATACTTGTAAATTTTACATCTTTAAATATTATATTGTAATTTTTAATTGCTCTGAAATTAATGCACTCACAACTTTTTTTTTTGTGTCAACACAAAAACAGGTTTAAATTTTTACAATGCGTTGTGGGATAGTTGTTCAACAGAGCCTCAAAAATTTTACAATTGTAATTTTTTAATTGTACAACAATTGTAATGCTTTATTTCTATTGTACAACATTGTTTGAATAGTATTTTATAAATTAATTACTAATAATTATTTACAGTTATAATTTATTAAAGCTAAGACTGATTACAATAATAAGTAATTACTATGATTATAGGCCTAAAATTATTATGCCTTCAAGGTAAATATAATAAAATAGGAAAATAAAAGGCAAAAAATTAAAAAATAAAAAAATTTAGTAGCATTTTTTTTATTTGATAAAAAAACAGTCTTTAAAAATGAATAATTTTTGAAAATTTGAATTAGAAAAAAAATTGAATTTTAAAAAATATAAAGGAATACTTTTTAAAAACTTGAGTTTGATAAAATGTTTATCAAATCATTTGTTAAAAAAATTGTTTAAAAGTTTGAGATGACAAGAGCAAACTGAGATAACAAGAGCTGGGGACAGAAAATTTTGTTTAAAATATTGAGAGAATTAAGGGTCAATCATTAACAAAGTGCATAATTAATAAGGGATTGGGAAAGTGTTTAATCAATAAGGGACTGGGAAAAAAAGTTGAAGATGTACAAAAGTTTGAAGTATTGAGTATTTGAGACATTAAAAGTTAATTGTAATAATGGTTACAAACCACAGTGAGCCATAATGACAGTCAGGTTCAAATTCTCACATCCTCTAGTTTTTTCTTTCTTTCTTTTAAACAATATTAGTTTGTATAAATGTTTTTTTAAATGCAAAACAAATCTAAAGTTAATAAGAAGAGTTTTCAACTTAAGTTTAAAAAAAGTATAAAAGTATAAAAATTTAGCCTTAAAAATAATGAGGTGGGGAGAAGTTCAACCAGGCGGTCTTTATGGCGCATTGTGAAATTAAAGAAAATTTAACTTTATTAAATTTGAATGTGTTAAATATTTTTTCAAAATCTTTTGACAACACATAAAAATGAAGAATTTGTTAAATCCATCATGGATTTTTTAAATAGTTTTTATAAACAATTTTTGTATGAGTAATGCTCACACAAATGTTAGCAGCTTTTTGCACATCTTTCATAACAACAGTAAAAGTTTTAGATTTTATTTAAAGTGTTTGAGTTTTTTTTGCAACTTTTTTTGGATTATGGGTTAAGCAATATTATTTATTTTATTTTTAGTTTTTAATTACCCAAAACTTGGTGGTCCTAAACCTCCATAGTATCAGTTCATAATTAGTAATGGGTATGTTCCTGCATTACGCTAATTAATAAAACATTCACAGATATATTAGTCTATGTTAAAATTTCAATGTTTTTGAATGTTTTAATATTTAGTATAATACAATAATATTTATGATAAAAGAACAGTTACTATATAATTAAGGTTACCATAGTTACTATATAATCCTAACAATCAAATAATCTATTTTACAATTAAGTTTACTCTATGGATATTTAATATTGAAGTTTAAATACTAATATTTATAAATAAAATAAAATTTTATTTCTGTTATCTTTATAAGTTTATCTTTTCATTTAGGTGATGTATGCCAACCTGGTTTTTTTTGCCCTAAAGGATCAGCATTTCCACAAATCTGCCCTGGAGGTTTTTACTGTTCTGGGAAACAGAATTTTAATTACACTGGTCCATGTGAAGCAGGATACTTTTGCATTAATGGATCATCAACTTCTCGTCCTGTAAATCTTATATCAGGAAATATCTGCCCGCAAGGTTTTTATTGCCCGCAACAAACTCAGGTGCCTGTGCCATGTCCTGCTGGAACATACTCTAACTCTACTGGTATTTTATATTACTATTAATTTAGATATAGTACTGTTTATTGCCAATGATATTCTTTTTTTATTTGAGCACTAGCAAATAAAAAAATTGTTTCTGTTCAAAATTACTTATTGACTATTGTGTTATGCTTTGATTAGCACATGTTTTTGTAAAATGTTTTTGTGAAATGTTTTTGTAAAATGTTTTTGTAAAATGTTTTTGTAAAATGTTTTTGTAAAATGTTTTTGTAAAATGTTTTTGTAAAATGTTTTTGTAAAATGTTTTTGTAAAATGCTTTTGTAAAATGTTGGGTATTTTAAAAATAAGAATTGTTTTTGATAAAAAGTTTACATCAAATAAGGCTGTCTCTAATATTGTTAGGGACAGCCTAATTTGATGTAAATTTTTTAGCCTCTGTCTTCTTTTTCTGGTAAGTAAACATTTTATTTAAATTAATTTCAGGATACAAGAAAGAAGAAGATTGTTTATTATGTCAAGCTGGTCAGTATTGCCAAGGGGTTGGAAATACAAAGCCTACTGGCCCATGTGATGCAGGATTTTATTGTCCAAAGAATCAATCAGAACCTAATCCTATACTTTATGCATGTATCCCAGGTTATTATTGCACAAAAGGATCATCAGAACCAAAACTATGTAATCCTGGTACATGGACAAACCTTTCTCAACAGTCACAGTGTCAAATATGTCTTGAGGGTTATTATTGCAGTCTTGAAGATGCCAAAAAATCACCAATTACTGATTATTCTTTATACCCATGTCCGCAAGGGTTTTATTGTCCAAATGGCACTACATTTGCTACCCAATATGGTTGTCCTAATGGCACATATGGTAATCAAGAAAGGTTTACTCAATCTAGTCAATGTTTATCTTGCCCTCCTGGGAAATACTGTTTAGGTATGTTTAACTTGTTTTGTCTCGCTAAGTTAATAATAATTGCTTAAAAATATTTTTGTGCCATTGCTATGAGATATTATTTTAGTATATTGAATGATTAGCATCATTATATAACAATCAGCATATGTTATGTATTGTTATCACCATAACATCAAAATAGTTATTATTCTTACATTAATAGTTAATTGTTATAGTAAATATAAAATTTAACTCATATTAAAATAATATAATTTTTAAACTAAAAAAAAATCTAACATCTCAAATTTTAAAACGATCTTTAATTTTTTACTTGATTAACTTGATTTTATAGGCTCTTCATCATCATGGACAGGAAATTGCACTAGTGGTTACTATTGTACAGGTGGTTCATCGGCTCCAATCCCAACAAAATCTTTTGGCAGTATTTGTCCTGCAGGTTTTTACTGTCCGGAGGGCACTCCATCTCCACTCCCTTGTCCTGTTGGTACATTCAATAATATGACAGGTCTTAGCTCTTTAAATCAATGTCAACAATGTTTGTGTGGAATGTATTGCATGAGTCCTGGAATTGTTTATCCTAGTGGTTTTTGCGATGCTTCTTTTTTTTGCACGCTGGCTGCAACTGATAGTAAATCAAGTAATTTATCAACTGGTGGATACTGCACTTTAGGACATTACTGTCCAAAGGGTACATGTGCACCTTTGCCATGCAAAGTAAGACTATATTATATAGCTACAACTAATATAAATAAATTTAAAAACTATGTGTTATTTTTACATATATATAAAAAATATATTAATATATATATATAAGTTAGTTAAATATATAATACTTAATACTTCTAACCTGAGTTTATTGGTTTTGTTGAATGAATGAATGAGGAATGAATGATAGCTCATTTAATTAAGTAGTTTTAGCAATATTTCTATTTTAGTGCGAGGATTATTCATATATAAAGATTTATTATCAACTATTATAAGGATGTAACTGCCAGTTGTCAATAGTTAGTTGTCAAGATAAGTGTAGAGGTTTTGGTCTGTAGTGTCTCTAAAATAAGTCAGTTGATGAAGGTTATTAGTATGTCACAACTGAAAACAATTGGTCTAAAGAGAGCATTAGACTTTTGAATTTTGGGAAGACCATAAAATATGGAATTTGATGGGATATTTTTGGACATAGAAGTTTTAATGTTTTTTTATTTGTTATTTGAAAAAATAACTTTGAGAAAAATATGGCTCTAGCCACACTTTTTGTTGGGTCTTCTGAGAGTGCTTTGTATGTGCATTTATCTGGTATTTTAAAAATAGTTAATAAATTTTCTTTTCAGTTTTATCTGAAGTTAAATGTCACATCCTTTGTCTTTTTATGGTGATCACGATAAAACGACAGACAAACATAATAGAGTTTAGTACATTAATAAGTTTTCAAAATGATTTGCTCATTCCTCTTAATCTTGTTTATTTATTTACACTATTTGAAGGTGGCTAGTTTGAGCAATGTTCAATGGTGGCAAGTTTGAACTAAATTTGTAACAGTGTCAGGATTTATTAAAACCTTGTTTACTTTCTGATTTTGCATGTTTCTTTTCTATTTTATTGTCTTAGGTTCATTAATTCAAAAGTCACTTTGGTAGTAATATAATTTTTTATAGAAATGTATTTTTAGTATTCTGTTTGCTTAGTTTGGTAGTTTGGTTTGGTTTTCAATAGGAATTATTGTTTTTATTTGTTTTGTTTTTCTCTAACCTAAATAATTTTACAAAACAGGCATTAATTGTGGGGTAAAGCATAAATGGTAACAAGATTTATCTAAAAAGATAAAATTATCTAAAAACTAATTGTTGTTGCTAAGCCTCTTCAAAGTACCAATAATAATTTTTTTTTTTGAATTAATTTTTATTATATATGTTTTGTTTTGGTTTGTAATACTTGTTTTATATTTTTGTTCATCTGTACTTTATGATGAATTTTGTGTTGTATTCGTTATATTGTTTATGTGTTTTGTCTATTTTTATATTTGTCATCAATCTTATTTTTATTTTATTTTGTCTATTTTTATATTTGTCATCAATCTTATTTTATCTTATTTCATTAATTTAGTGTAATTAATGCTGCTTTTCTATTATTCGTTATATTCACTGCTTGTCTGTGATCATTCAACAAATTAACATACAAAAATTTTTAATTAATTAAAAAACCTTTTTTGATGAGTTTTATTTTTTTCTTTATAATTATTATGAAAAATAAATAAAAAGTAAATTAAAATATACTTAAAAAACAAGTTAATAAAATTTAAAGAAATAATTTTTTAAGTTTTATTTTGCAATTTTATGAAGGATGGTACTTATATGCCGAATGTTCTTGCAAGCAGTTGTTGGTCCTGTCCTGCAGGTTCTTACTGTGTTGGTGATCATATTTTACCAATTCCGTGTCCAGCTGGATTTTACTGCCCTAATGGTACAGGTTATGATTGGAAACCATGTCCGGCTGGGACATTCAGTAGTCAAGTAGGATTGCAAAATATATCTTGTAAGAAATTTGTCATATATTTGTTGTGTAAAGTTTATTTAAAAAACCTAAAAAATGAAAATTAGCATAAATAATAGGTCAATATAGCAATATAAAAAATTGCATTTAATTGTATAGTAAATGCATTTTTGCATTTACTATACAATTAAACATTAATTTTTCATTATGATAAACATTTCTTAATTACAATAAATTATTCTTAAACATGATAAATTATTCTTAAACATGATAAATTATTCTTAAACATGATAAATTATTCTTAAACATGATAAATTATTCTTAAACATGATAAATTATTCTTAAACATGATAAATTATTCTTAAACATTCTTAAAATTAATTTTGTTGGAAATTAAAATCCTAAGAATAAATTTTGTAAATTCATTCTTTTAATATTTTTATTGTTAAACATTAATATTTATTATTGTTATATATTTTTACTGATAAAACTTTTGATAAAATTCTTTTGATAAATTTGTAGTTTGTCAGCCATGTATAGGAGGAATGTACTGTCCATTCCCCAATGCTACGTCACCTGCTGGTTTTTGTGCAGCTGGTTATTATTGCAGTTATGGCTCTGACACTGATAAACCAGAGAAAAATTATAACGGAGTGGCAGGACCGTGTACTCCAGGTCATTACTGTCCAATAAATACTACAACTCCATATTTATGTCCTAGAGGGCGATACGGAAATTTAACTCACCTAACTAAAGCAGCAGATTGCACTCTTTGTGAACCTGGTTTTTACTGTGGTAGTGATGGGTTAGTGAATGTTTCTGGACTTTGTGATGAGGGATTTTTTTGTTTATATGGCTCAGATGTAAAAAACCCTTTCACAACAACTCCATCAGGTGGACCTTGTCCAATTGGTCATTTTTGCCCTTTAGGCACTTCGTATCCACAGCCTTGTCCAAAAGGCACATATAATAACAAGACAGGACAAAGCAAATGTGAAGATTGTTGCAGTGGATATTATTGTATTGAAAACTCAATATCTTGTAACTTAGAATGTCCTGCTGGGTACTATTGTCCAAGTGGAGCTGGGGACCCCTATAAATATCCATGTCCACCAGGTACCTATAATAGTTTAACTCGAAAATTTAGCATAAATGATTGTTTGCCATGTGATCCTGGAAAATACTGTCCCAATTATGGATTAGTCAATTCTTTTGATGATTGTGCAGAAGGTTGGTATTGTCGAAAGGCTTCAACATCACCAAAACCCATTGATTTTAATGGGTCTTGTTTGTGTTCTAACCAATCAACTGGTGGAATGTGCAGACCAGGACAATTTTGTAAAAAAGGTTCTGCAGAACCAACTCAATGTTTGCCAGGTATTTTAAACTTAGTTTTTTACTTGTATTAAAATTTTTAAAAAGGTGATTTTAAATTTTTCATAATCAAAAAAATTTATCAAAATTTATTTTTAACAGTTAGCTGATTATTATGAGAATTCATAATTATTAGCTTATATTCATGAAAATTAATTGAACAAAATTATATAAACATAATTATGAAATTTAATTGATGCTAGGTTAAATAAAACTTCCATTACTTCTAAAATGTATAGTTTATGAGATAATAGCAAAGTGGTGTTAGCTAAAGTAGCTGATGTTAACTTAATTTTGATATAATTAGTAATCTTAATGACTTAATAATAACCTAATTAAAGATTTCATAACAACCTTTATAATAAAAACTCTTTTTTTTTGTTTTGTTTGTAACTGATTAAATAAACCATTTACTAAGTTAAAGTATAAATCAGATAAGTTGTAATCCTTGACTCAACGTTTTGTAGATTCAACAAGAGTTACTTCTTGATAATATTTTACCTTGCTGTTCAAAAAAAAGATTAGTCAAATAAATTAGATATTATGCTAGAAATATTATAATTAAATAAATTATAATAATAATAAATTTATTAAAATTAAAAATAAATTAGATATTATGCTAGAGTTTTCAAATAAAAAAAGAGTTTTTAGGTAAAAAAAAAAAAAAAAGTAAAAGGAAGGTAAAATTTACTTTTTTAAATGCTGAAATACCTATTCTATTAAAAAAAAAGAATTTGTGTAAATTATGTTTAGAATGTGTTAGTTTATTGTTTAAAAAGGTAATAAGCTTTGGAATTGTAATTTAAATATTAGGAAATCTGAATTATTTGTTTTTTTATTTACGCTACATGGAGAAAAACCTATTGGGACAGAACATGAGTATAAATTATGCTATTAGTAGCTATGGCATATAATGTTGGCTTTTGTAAATTGCAATATTAATGTCTATTGTTCTTTTTGTCAAAGTTGTTCTTGAAACTACTTAAACTTTTTTGAATTATTGTCGAATCATTTAAATTATTTTGTTGATTGACAACTCTTGTGAAAAAGCTGAAATCTCTGAATGTAGTTTTTGACAGTTTTGTTGCGTAGGTGTTTACTATCTTGTTATTGCGGAACAATAATTTTTAGTTAAGCATACCAGTTAGCGTGATCTAAATTATTTTTAAATTTATACTGTTGTATAAAGTCTGCACACGCTCATCCTTCTGAGAAGTTAGTTTGGGAAGTCTTTTTTCATTGCTTTAGTGAGTGCACGATTTTTGTGACTCGATGTTGGACACGTTCAATTCATTCAATATATATTTTTTGAATAAACATTACATGCAGTTGGAGCCAACTCTAGATTTGGTCGTACATAGGTTGTGTAAAAATTCCAGAGGTTTATATCCTTACTCATGAAAGCAAAATAATGTTGGATTTTGGAAGGACATACCATTGCATGTGTGTGCCAATTGAAATTATAAGTAATTGTTACACAAAAGTCACTTTCAGAGTCTGTTGGTATTAACACATAAATATTCTCAGTTGTTAGGTAGGATATATTGTAATTATATTTAGGATTACCATAGTCATGACTTTACATTTATCAACATTTGGTTTCATTAGCCGTATTTATGTCCAGTTGACAATTACATTTATTTCTCTTTGTGAGTCTATATTTTGGCTATTAATTTTTCGTTATCAGCATAAAGCTTATAAAAATAGTAATTTTAGACCTCTGAAAATCATTTATGTAAATGATAAACAGCAGGGGGCTAAGAATGCTACCATGTGATATGCCACTAGTAACCTTGGTCCAATTTAAAACTTTTTAGAGAGTATTGTTACTTTTTAGAGAGTAAATTATATTTCAATTATATTTCAATTCTAACACAACTTTTATGGAGAACAAATCCATCTTGTACTTTGGCTATGAATTTCCTTAAGCAAAGATGATTCATTATGCTGTCTTTGAAAAATTAATCTAAAACTTTACATGGAATTGAAGTCAAGGACACTTGGTGATAGTTTGCTTGGTTGCTGAAATTACCACTCTTATGGTTGCCACATTACTGATGCCACTCTTTGTAATTTCAAAATAATTTGTAGTTTAATATCCATTTAATAGATTTATCATCCAAAATTAGAGTGTAATTTTATTTTTCACAAGTCTTTTTTTAAACTAATTATTTATTTTAATCATAAGTTAAAAATATTTACTTTTCATTATTTGTTAGAATAACTTAAATAATTTGTTTTAATATTTTGTTAAAATTATTTGTTAAAATTATTTGTTAACTTTTTCCACAATGGATCTAACTTTAGCTCGACTTCTGATAGTTAACAAATAATTTTAACAAATAATTTTAACAAAATATTAAAACTAAAAGTTTACTAATTAATCATCTATAAATGCAACCCTCGGAAATAGGAAAAATCTTTTTCCTAATTCCGAGGGTTGCATTAAAAGATACTGGCCTCAATCTATTTGAGGTCGGCATCAGATCGGCAAAAATTATTTGATACAAAGCTCTGACCATAAAACATTGAAACAAGGTTGGCAATTTTTTGCCAACCTCAAGCACTTTCAGGTCGGCGTTGCCGAATGCCGACCCTAATTCTGAGGTTAATTGACATTAATGTCATACTCAACTACTATGCAGAAGTTCATTCAAGTCCTAGAATTCATTTCTCTCACACTAAGTTATTATTAAGTATCATTATTCTAGCATTTTATACAGTTTACAACAACTATTGAAAATGATAAATAAGATGTAAGTTAAATTAAGATCCATGAAAAAGTGGACACTATGAAAAACGACATTGTTACACAAAAATATTCCACCTTCAATTTTCAGACAAATTATTTCAAAATGTTATGGAAAAAAAAAAGAAAATAGTGTAATGCCCTCAAAGAAGAAATTGTGCAAGTAAAAATAAAAATATTTTATTGCAGGAAAATAGGAAAAATCAAATGGCAAAAAAAATTGAGATATTTACATGCTTAGAACTTGCCGAAATACATAAAACCAGTTATCACAACTGGTTTTATGTATTTATTTGTTATATTTTATGTATTTAACTGGTTTTATGTATTTACTTTGTATGATATTTATGATATAAATAATAAAACATTTTTCTTGAAAGAATGTTTAATTGAAAGAATGAATAATTATAAACATTATTGTATATTTTAAAGTAGTTATAACATACAACTTTTTTTTACTTTTTTTAATTTTTTTTAAGTTATATCAACTTTATTAAAAGTTAAAAGTTTATTGATGATACAATGGTATCATCAATCACCTTTTGATTAATGGTATGGTTTTAAGCAACTTGTATTGGGTTGCTTAAAACACTTGTTTTCTTAGTAAATTGTGAGCATGTTTATAGATTGGTTGAAACCTGATAACAATAAACAGGTTAACCATGTCCAAATGAAACTTTATATTTAGCTATTTTTTCTGTATATATTCTGTATCTTTTTAATTCTTTTAACATTTATTATTTATATTTAATTTAACAAGTTTAAAATATTTAGTTATTACTAAAGGTGACTAGTTGTAATTGAAACAGTTTTTTTATTAATAAAATGCTTTTAGTAATTATAAATTTGTGATTGTATATATATATATATATATATATATATATATATATATATATATATATATATATATATATATATATATATATATATATATATATATATATATATATATATATATATATATATATATATATATACATATATCAGGTTGTCAGTGATTAAACTTTTTATTGTATAGGTTATTACTGTGCTTCATCTGGCCTTTCTAATTACACTGGAATGTGTGATGCAGGTTTTTATTGTATCAGTGGTGCAAAGGAGAGCGCACCCACTGATAATATTACTGGAGCTTGGTGTCCACCAGGTAGTTATTGTCCTCAGGGTTCATCATTACCAAAAAGTTGCCCACCAGGAACATATTCTAATGCTTCAAAAAATCAAAAACTTGCAGATTGCCTTTTATGTGATTCTGGAATGTATTGTAGTAGTTGGGGTCTAACAAAGCCTACAGGAAATTGTTCTCAAGGCTATTATTGTCCAAGTGGTCAAAATACAAGTAAGCCAGATCAATATAGGTATGAACATTAAAAAACTTTTTATCTAATTAGAATGTAATAAATGATATAAAATTAGTATATAATTCTCATAGCATTATTAACAACATAGTAGTAATTAAGATAAACATTGATAATAATGATAAAAGTAATGTGTTTTCACCAAGTACAAAGATTTTAAGAGAAAATGGGTCTTGTTACAGATTACTAATACAAAAGTGCGTAATAATTTTTACAAAATATCAAACATTTACAAAACTTACATATATTTACATGGATTGCTAAATATATATGTATATATCAGGCTTGGTCAGGAAGCGCGAGCGATTGCTCTCGATTGCTGACCATGGAAATAATATTTAGTTGCAAAAAACTGGCCAGATTTTTTAGTTGTTTTGAGAACATTTCAAAAAGCAAAAATAAATGCGCAAAAGATTAATTGGACCTATGAGAAATAATTACAAAAAAAAAAAAAAAATTAGGAAAATAAAATATCTTTAAAAAACGCGAAAAAACTTAAAGCTAAATAAATTACATTTAGAACAAATATTTTCGAAACATCTTTTATAATTTTTTAATAAAATTAAGCAACATTTTTTATATAAAGTAACATCTTACGATTGTTTAAAAATGAAAAAAATATTATTAAATATTATTAACAAACTTTGCTAGTTTTAGTTTTGTCTAAGCTAAATTAATTTATAAATAGAAAAGTTAATTTTTTTAATACCTATTTTATGTTTCGCGTAGTTTGAAAAGTTTAAGATATTTGAAACAATTCTTCTTAGTAAGATAAACAAATGAAATAATTAAAGCATTGAATTACTATAGAATTTAAATTAACTAGATAGAAATCAACTAAAAAGGTTAAAAATATTTTATGGCGAGGAAACGAAACTGCTTCACAATATCGCTGATGATGTTTAGTGAGTGGGCTTCTTAATTTTAATTAGTATTTAAAGCAGAAAAATTTATAAAAAGTTTTTAAGAATGGCAACTTAAGCGAAAATAATTATAGTTAGTAAACCAATACCTAGAAACTTTTCTTTATATCTAATAAATTGCTATATATATTTATGTTCTGTCTTGACCTCAGGCGCGGTGCTTGTTCATCCATAAGTTACTTTGTATGAATTGTTTTTGTTTAGTAACCAGAAACTTCTTATATGTTTGTTAAATAATTAGTTTTATTAACTTTAATGATTATTAATAACTTCATTAAAAATGCAATTATTTTTGTAAGTCTTTGTTTACAAATTAAATCATAAAAATTGCTTTAAAAGATTACATTACAATAAAAAACAGATACACAAAATTACATTTACATAAAAAATACATACTTTTTAAATAAAAAATAAGAATATACTAACAGGCTTGGTCAGGAAGGCGTGCGATTTCATGGCTTTATATGACCATGCAAAAAATATTTTGTTTTGACAATTTGACCACAGTTTTAACATTTTAGTAAAGCGCTGAAAACTTAACTTAGTTATAAAGAAACTAAAAATACAAACTAATTTTAAAAAAAGAAAAAAAATCTCCTTAAAAAAATAATGAAAAATAAAATAAAAATAGCTTAGTAATAAATAACTAAAACAAAAATAAAAAAAATAAAGACAAACTTAACTAAAATAAATAATAAACAATAAGATAATTACGTTTGAAATAAATAACTGTAAACAAATGAATCTTTACTAATGTTTTTATAATGTAAAACTAGTAGTGTCCCGTCAGCTTTGTTAATGCACCATAACAAATTATATTAGTAGGGAAAAAAAAAAAAAAAATACTAATCGACAAAAAAACGTTAATAAACACTTTTGTTATAATGAAAAACTTCATTGTGTATTAGTGGTATTTTTTAAAAAAATGATTACACTTAACGAGAAAACTATTTTTAGTCACTTTTTTTTGGGGGGGGCGGGGGGAACACGTTTTACAAAAATGGCAACTGACTTTGGAACAAAAAAAACATGTTTTTTCTTTATTATATAAACGTAGCGAAACCCTTTTAAACAAAGTAACAACTTGCAACAATTTTTTAATAAATACATTAATTTTTTAATAATCTAATTTTTTTTATTTAAAGATAAAAGAAAAATAAATTAATACTAATAATAAAATAATACAAATAAAAAATAAAATAATACTAATAAAAAATAAAATAATACTAGAATAAAAATAAAAATAAAATAATACTAACAAAAAAAAAATAATAATAATAAATAACGTAAAAAAATCATTAGCAGTTAATTGTTACTTTATTTGAAAGCGTTTTAACAACATAAAAATATTAGTTAAGCTCAAAGTTTAATTCAAACGTCTTTAATTCAAAACTTTGTCTTTTTTTCTTCTCAACAAAGTCTTTTCAAGTGTATTAACTTTAATGACTCTTTATTAAAGTTTATTAAAGAGACAATCGTCTCTTTATAGTTGAAGTCATAACTTCCAATAACTATATAAATAACTATCCAATATGTCTAAATATCTCAGAGAATCAAACCTTTCATCAAATATTTTGAAACTTCTTTTTCAGCATTACTTGGTTTTTTCTTAAATCAACTTCAACGTTTATTTCATCTCTGAAAAGATTGTTGTGCCACATGCTCATAGACCAAATTTTATGAGCTAAACATCAGTTTTTTCTTGTTTTCTGATGTTTTATCAACAGACGAGGCTTTTTTGCAAGCTAAGCATCACTATATGTAATTGTGTTTTTGTACTACTCTTTTAATTGTTTGAGCACTAGCAACAACACCAGAAGCTTTTTGTCCATGTTGACTGAGATCAGTAGATGATAAACTTCTATTTTTTTTCACTATAGGATTAAGTGAACATTCATTTCTTTTATTTATAAAGATCAGTCTTCTAGGATATAGAAGATTTTAAATTGTATTGTATCTTTAATATTGTTCTGATAAAAATGGCATGTGTTGTGTTAAAATGTTTTGCAGTTTCTCTCATTAGGATGTTTTGTTCATTCATTAATATGATTTTACATTTTGTTATATTATCAACGATTTTTCCAGTCAATTTGATGGTTTTATTGCTGAAATATTGTAGTTAATAAGATAGTGATTTTTCATTTCATTTTTCAAATATTGGTAACAATTTAAATAAAAATTCTCAAATAATCATAAATAGTTTGCAAATAAGTGCAAAGTTTTAATCAAAGACAAATGAAATTTTGAAGGATGTTTGAAATAATACAGTGGATTGTTAATTTTGGCCATAACTATTACTTTAGATTATGAGATATGTTCTAAAAACAACATTTTTTGAAAATGTCTGATGGGACCCCTAAATGTATTCTATGTAATAAATTACAGGGTTATTCATTTTTATATGCGCATCTATTCATTTTTATATGAGTCAACTACCCATCTCTAATATAATTTAATATAAACAGTAAATAGGCTTTTAAATTTTTATATATATATATTTAAAATACAAATTAGCTTATTGCCACTGCTATTTATTTAAAAAATGGTTGCTAAACCAGCGCTAGACTTAAGTAACTACGCATATGGTTGTAAAATTGAGTTATGTTAAAGTCTGTAGTGTCCATAACATTTTTAATTTTCCTGATTACCCCATCTGTATTTCGAGGCCCTTCTCCCTGTTTATAAGTATGCTTTAAAGAAGAAAAAAAGTTTTTTTCATCTTTAAAACAGTTTTTTCAAAACAAATTGTTCTTGTTTCCTGGTGAACGAGGTTAAAAATACTTAAGACGAAAACATTTTACATTTGATGATGGTTTATTTAAACAGAGGAGAATTTGACAACATGACTGCATTCAAGTCGTTTTTATATAAAAAACAAGATAGAAGACCTATAAACGCTCAGATAAAAAATATTATTGAATTATGCATACAAGAAAACAATCTTTGTACACAAGAAGTAATAAAAGAAAATCTTTCTGCAGCAGGCTTCAATATGTCACAGCCTACTATTTCAAGAAAACTCAAACACTCAGATTTATCAAGAAAGCCTGTTGTGCATGTGCCAGAAGAACAAAACTCAACACAAGTTATTGATGCACGCTATGCATTTGCAAGCAAAATTAAAGGAATTTAAAATGAAAAACTTATTTATTTGGATGAAACTGGATTGAATGTGCACACTAACAGCACATACGGTTATTTGCTAAGAGGTGCGCTAGCAATTTTACAGTGCAAATTGTGACAAGAATGTTAGTTTGATTCATACTGTTTCAACAATGGGACTGCTGGCTTATGAAATTAAAACTGGAGGCTGGAATGCAGATTCATTTTTTACTTTCATTACTACAATGTTGGCACTAGCGATTAGGAATGCAGATGGGGAAGCGCCAGTGTTTATTATGGACACTTGTAAATTCTACTAGGGTATTTCTGTAAGGCAAACACTAGCCACTCATGGCAAGCTATTAAGTATCTGCCAGCATACAAGCATACAGCATACATCCATTAGCAACATACAGCATACAGCATACATCCAATAGCGGAATTTTTTTTCTTCTTTAAAGCATAATTACAAACAGGGTTTGTAATTATGCTTTAAAGAAAAAAAGTATGCTTTAAAGAATGGCCTCAAATTATGGATTTGGTAATTAGGAATAAAATTAAAAATATTATGGATAATACAGTTTAACTTAATTCCAATTAACAACCATATGCGTAGTTGAATAAATCCAGTGCTGGCTCGGCAACCATATTTTAAATAAATAGCAGTCGCATTAGCTTAATTTATACTTTAATATATCTATTTAAAACATAAAAGCTGATTTATTGTTTATATAAAATTATTTTAAAGATTTTATGGGAGGTTGACTTGCATATAAACCAGCAGTGGCGTAGTGGAAGCGCACTTGCCTCATACACAAAGGATCTGTGGTTCAAACCCCTAAATGCTCATCTACGGTGCTCTGTGATAAGACTGTAAGTACTTCTTGGGGCACCTAAATAACATTTTCAAAAAAAAAAAAAAATTAAATATATATATTTATATATATATATATATATATATATATATATATATATATATATATATATATATATATATATATATATATATATATATATATATATATATATATATATATATATAGTATTTGCTATTAATAACAATTCAGCATGTTTTTTTTTGGTATCATTGGACTTTGATTGATATTAAATCAATGATTGCTTGACTCTTAATTTATATTAAAAATGTATGTTGATAAGCATTCTTTTTTTTTTTCAAATAAATATAGATATTCATAAAAATATTATTTGATGTGCTAGTTATATTGCTTTTTTTGACATCTCTAAAATAATAATTATGTCATAATCATTTTATATAAAGATTATGAGTTTAAATTTTCATTTTTTGACAAAAAATAAAAAGTACATATTTTCAAAATTATTTTTAAAAGAAACTTTTTCAATTTGTGATTCCATAAATTGTTTTTAAAATTTTTATAAAATTTCACTTCTTTTGACACCCAACATGATATACCTTTAAAGATTTTTTTTTTTTCAAAATATTAGGGATTAATATTATTAGAGCCATTTGATGTTTAAGGGTCTTGAGCGACCCCTAAAATTTTTTTTTATTCAAAATTTTTTTTATTCTAGTGTTAATTTATTACATAGAACACATTTAGGGGGTGGCAGCAGAGAATTTCAAAAAAAATTGATTTTAGAGGCACTCATATATATATATATATATATATATATATATATATATATATATATATATATATATATATATATATATATATATATATATATATATATATATATATATATATATATATATGGTCTTGTTTTGTTTCTTGTTTATATTAATGATTTACTGATAATCCTATTTCATAAATAATGACTCGAAAAAATGCTGATGACAACTATTTACTCTATTCTTCTATATCAAAAAGACAAAAAAGTCATCAAAAAGTCATCAAAAAGACAAAAAAGTCATCAAAAAGACAAAAAGTCATCACTTATTGATAGCTTAGAACAGCTAATCTTGAAAAGAATCTCTCTTTTCTTTGAAGCTCTGTCAACAAATTGAAACTCTGAAACTTGCGACAGTAGTTATTGAGTTTTGTTGGACTCCAGCTGATAATTTTGAGCCACTCTCCCATCATTATAAACATCTTTTTTTTAAAGAAAGGAACTTAAACAAATCGACTTAACAAATGTCAACTTGAACACACTTTTAAACAGACAGTGCTTGCAGACAACAATTGAAACTTGTGATAATATTTTTGTTATTGTTCAGCTCATCTGCTCAATCTAGAATTTCAAAGTATTGATATGCGAGGAAAAACTAGATAAATATAAGTTTTTAGAGCATGTAGGGACTGTAAATTGATATTTTAATAAGTATTTGAAGGATGAATTCGCGCAGAACATAATATGATGAGTGATGCAAAAAAGATTTAATAAAGTTAATGAGATATTTGCAAAACCTAATTTGAAATATGTCACAAGTTGATGATGCCTTCAAATACATATTAAATAAGCAATAATTCAATATGTCAAAAATATGCTAAAAAACAAAATTTAACCAAGGTGTTGGATATTATTAATGATTGGATGAAAAAGTTGCTGAGGAAGTCAATAATAATATGCTGTCAGCAGCTCAAACAAGCTCAATCATCTTTTTTAGAAGAATTTATTCTTGTTCCATCATTCTGTTCTGTGGTTCTGTGGTATATCTTGTGATTATTCCTTTATGCTATATAAATATATATATATATATATATATATTTTTTTTCTAAGAAAGCTCAGCCCTTCAAAATTCTCTCCTCTTGTTGTATTTTCATTATTTATAAAATTTACAACTCCTGAACCTTTTATCAACTACTTTCCTGCTTTTTATTTATCTTTACAACTTTTTTAATAACTCTAAACTTGAACAGAAAAATACGTTTGAATTTATTTGTATGAAAGTCTAAATTTGTGTTTTAATTGATTTTTTATATTCTCAATCAAAAATTTGTAATCAAATCAAGTCAAGGTTTATGAAAAGTACATAAAATGATTTTTTTAAATTTACCTCAATTAGTATAAAGAAGCTTTCGAGTAACTCCTTACAAATTGAGCAATCAAACACTGTACCACTATTGCTTTAGGGCTACAGGAAAAGTTAAAAGATATTTTATATTTATAGATGTACACCTGGTCATTATTGTCCATATGGAAGCTCAATGCAAATACCATGCATGTCGGGTACCTATCAAGACCAATATTACAGTGTTTCATGTAATTTATGTCCAGAAGGATACTTTTGTAATGGGATTATTTTAAATAGTACTGATTGTTTGGTAGGAGTACAATTGCCTGAAGTTTGTCCAAGGGGTTATTATTGTCCCCCTGGTATGAAAACAGGAAATGAACATGGTTGTCCTGCTGGTATGTCTTTTTTAAAAAAAAAAGAAATGTAACACTGTTATGTTACAATTTTAATGCCTTACAGAAAGTGTTTACTTAAAATGTATTTAATTTTTTTGTTTTAAGCAAATTATGTGTAATGCGTATAGCTTTTTCAAACACAACTGCATTTTAATATTTATTTCTTAGGTGCCTATGGAGATCGCAGTGGCCTTACTAATGCAAGTGAATGTGTACCTTGCCCTAGAGGTAAATATTGTGGAAAATCTTCCCTAGATATGTGGAGCGGTGATTGTGCAGCAGGGTATTTATGCATTCAATCTGCACAAAGCTCAACTCCTACAGATGGTGTCACTGGAGTTATTTGTCCTAAAGGTACACTCCTTTTAAGAACACTTATAAATATTTTAATATAAATATAAATATTAAATACTTATAAAAATTCCAAGATAAACTTAATTATTTATTATTTTATTTAAGTTTTAACAATTGCATTAAGAATGCAATTGTTAGACAGTGACTAATTTTAATTTTAAAAACATTTAATTATGACACAAAATTGTTTAAAGTTGTATAAACAGTTATACAAAGTAGTTATAAGTAATAAATACTTATAATTATGTATTTAATGGCTGTATTAATTTTTAAATATATTTTATAGGATTTTACTGCCCTTCAGGATCAAATCAATCTCTTCCTTGCCCACCAGGTACATATAATCCAACTTTGGGACTTAAAAATATTAATGAATGCTTAGGTTGTCCACCTGGGCAATTTTGCAGCGATTATGGAATGAACATAACATCTGGAAACTGCAGTGAGGGTTACTACTGCACTATGAATAGTTCATTATTTAAACCTCTGAATGATTTTACAGGTGATTTTTTAATCTTTTTTTTCTTAATATTTAAATTTACTTTTTTTTTTAGTTACTTTTTAATTAATAAAAATATTAATTAATAAAAACTTATTTTTAAAAATATTCATGTTTATCTTTGATTTATTTTTTCTTATTATTTTAAGTTGTATAATTAGCTAGAGCATGAGATTAAAAAAAAATGAAAAAAAAAAAATTAATGAGTATAAAAACACTTGTAGTTTCAAAACTTTTTTTTTATTTCTAAAAAATATTCGTCTCCGTTGAAATTCAGCACCCTTAAATATTTATGTACTCAAAAACCACTTTACAAATTTTTTTGTTTTTTCTGCAGACAGAAGCTAATGTGTTGTTGTTTGACTGCAATGGTAATAAGTTATCAGATTATCAGATATTAAAATTAAATATTGTTATCAGATTAAATGAGCAAACAAATAATTTAGCAAATTACATTTACATATAAATCTAAAAATCTTTTTTTTTTCAAAAATTCTGCACTGAAATGATGATTCCAAGTTGCAGGTGTTTCTCAATCCTCAGATCGATTTATCGATTGAGGATTGAGAAACACCGCGACTTAATCTGTTGAAAGAGAAGTTGGAAAAGTAATATAAGAAGTGTTAAAAATAAATACAAAGCAATATCTATCATTTGTTCCATAAAGGGAAAGTCATGTTTTTCTTTATGGATCAAATGATAGATATTGCCTTACAAGAAAATTTAAATGAAGCCAATTTTTGATTGGAAAAGTACTTAGATTACAAGAATATTTTGCATATCATAAAAAAAACTTACTCACAAAGTATATAAACGAATTCCTAAAGAAACGTCTTTGCCATATACTAAAAAGCAAGACATCCACTACTCCAAGAAGTCTCTAGAACGTTAAAAAAAAAAGGAATTTATAGCAAAAGAAGCAAACCCTCCATATTATCCTGAGCAGCGAGTGAAATTTATTGTTCAATTATAAAAGCAATCTTATTAAAAAGCAAGAAATTAGCTTCACCTAAAAAAATTAGCTTCACATAAGGAAAAATGAAAGAATGCTTTAGAAAAAACTGGCTCGAAGCAAGATATCAAGCAGATGATATCAAGTGCTCGCAAAAATACTTGGTTCTTATCTAAGCAAATGTAAAATATTATTGAAATAAATAATTTTCAAATAAGCTTTAAAATGTCAAAAAAAAAAAATCTGTTACATCTGTTTTTGAGTAATTAAAGGGATCCCAAAGTGCCAAGACAAGTTGTGTTCATATTAAAAAGAATGATAAAAAAAAATGTTTGGGCTGAATTTTTTTTAATAAAATAAAATAATAAACAAATAACAAGAAAAACTAGCTTTGTTGTTTTACTCGAAGCTGTCTCCATGTTAGCCAATTGCTTTAAGTCTTTAAAATATACACGACAATCTACAGATTTAGTAACTTATTTAAGTGCGTTTAATTGCACATAAAAGTGTTTTAGTATTTGACATCATTGTGGAATTTCAATAAGAAATCTAAAAAAATTTTTTTTATTAGGTTATAGAATTTATTTTTTCATTACAGGTTACTGAGGAATTTGTTAATTATGATTATAATAAAGTTTGTTTTTTTCATCATAATAGAATTTCTTAAGTTATTTTATTTTCTAAATTTCTCGAAATTCACATTAAAAATATGAATAAAATATTTAGATACTTTAAGCTTGTCTATTTCTATAAATTATTTTTGTGTTATATTTATTGTTATTTTATTTATTTTATATTATTGATTCTCCTTGTTAAGATTCTGTTAAAAAAATTATTTTATATTATTTAATGTTTATATAATGTAAGTTTAATTAACAGCATTTATTTGCTAAACTTTTCATTGGGTACTAATATTCTTGAAAATCTTATTTAATCATGCAAGATTATATTTAAAGATATTTATTATGTAAAACATGTATTGCTTATTTTATTTTATTTTTAAAATTAAATAATTATTGGTCCAGATTGCAAAAAAGTGTAGCATTATCGAGTCAATTTTAAAATTGCAATTGTTTGATGAAAAACTTTTTATTGTCAATTTGGTTAGTTTTTTGATTTGTAATGTTAAGAGACAGGTTTTAATCTAAAGTACTTGCCAAATACCACATTTAAATTAGGAATATTAAATATGTTTTCTAATGCGCACTGCAACACATTGACAATTTTAATTGCTATCTGTCTTGAATTATAAAATGTTAAGTATTGCTCTAGTTAATAAATAGCTGTTTTAAAATTTGTTAAGTGTATACATATTATAAACTATAAATTTTTTCTAACTAAATATTAAATATTTTGGCAAATATCTCTTAATATAAATGATGTCATTTACCATAATTGTTTATTAATCAAAAATTTAAGAATTTGTAAAATGTCATTTCGATAAGAGAACAAAAATGTCATAACGATAAACGGCTTGGATAAACTAGGAAAAAGATTTACATTATTTACATAAAAAGGTTCAGAATATATTATAAGGGGATCAACGTCTTTTTTTTTTTTTGTATATTTTTAAAAACTTTTTAAAACTTGAAATATTTTATCAGAAAGTTGACTAAAGTTGCATTTTAGTCTCGTCACATAAAAATGGAGCTATTTAGTTTTGTCAAAATCTGGTATGTAAAGTTTTAACGCACACATTTTGAGTGTATTTAAGAGTGTATCATAAAAAGTATTAATTTCGTTTGGCTCCTTATGGTTCTCATGCTCTATAAAAAAACTTTTTTTTCTTTAGCTTCCTATAAAATTTATAGGAAACTCATACAATTGATGGTAAACAATTATTTTGAACAGTTAAAACAAAAACAAATCATATTTATTCAAAAAAAAGTTTTATTTCAAAAAAAAAATTTTACAATGACACCATATACTAAAACTCTTTGGAATTAAATGCGCTTGAATAAATTATTAAGTCTGTAGATTGCGGCGTATATTTTAAAGACTTAAAGCAACTGAACTTTGAGTAAAACACAGAACTTTGAGTAAAACAATGTTTTTTAGGATGGGGGGGGGGGCAGAGATGTAGGGGGCCTATATTTTTTGAAAGAACTGCAGTTTTTAAAAATTATTATCAATTTTAACGTATTAAATTTAAAGTTTAAGTATTTAATTGCTCATAAACTCTTTTAATTTTTATATTAACTTCTTCACTTTCCTTAACAAAAAGTCAGAAACTTTGTATTTTTCTCTATTAGTCAAACCTGGATTTCTTTCAAAAGAATAATAATTTTTATTTACCGCTAATTTATTGTTTAAAAAAAATATTCTAGTTCTTTAGCTCATTTGATGAATGTTTCAAATTTTTATTTCCAACAGTAGATTCCAGCATCTTTTGAGACATGTTTGTAGTTTCATGATTTTGTTTCTATTTTCAACAAGCTTTAATGACATTTTAATAAATTTTAATTTTAATTTCTTTTTTTTTTCGTGTTTTTTGAAAACTACTATCATTATTTTATTAAAATATTGTCATTGATTTTTAATGTGTTAATAATTTATTTTAAAATTTTTTGTTTCTCTTTTATTTTTGATCTCATGCTTATTATTAAAGTTCAGAAAAAATAAAAAGGGGGGTTTTCTCTTATTTATTTAAAAACCTTTATTTATATATTAAGGTGGTGTTTGTCCAATTGCACATTATTGTCCATCTGGCACAAGTGTTCCTTATTCCTGTCTGCCTGGTTATTACATGAATACAACACAAGCAAGTAAATGTAATAATTGTCCAGAAGGGTTTTTTTGTGTGAATCAAGTTAAACCTGAATTATGTTTACCTGGTATCTTTTTAATTTAATTTTGTCCTATAATATTTAATAATAGTTATATAATTATTTTATACTATGCATGTCATGTTTCATACCATCTTTTTACAAATATCTATTTTCTTTATTAAGGATTTTATTGCGAGTCTACAACCGGATACAATTTGCTTCCTTGTCCAACAGGTACATATAGTGGAGATTATGGTCTCAGTTCAAAGTCACAGTGCAAATTTTGTGATCCTGGAAAATATTGTAGCTACTTAAATTCAACATCTCCAACAGGGTATTGTGCTAATGGATTTTACTGTTTAAATGGAAGTGATACTTCAACACCATCAGGTGGTAATAAAGGAGTTGCTGGTATTTGCCCACCAGGTTCGTATTGCCCAGCAGGAAATGCATCATCTCCTATCTTATGTCCCATTGGAACATTTAAAAATACTACATATGGGGGTGATTTATCTGCATGCTCTCCTTGTTTGCCTGGATATTACTGTGCACAAGCTGGACTTTCATTTCCTACTGGTTTTTGTCACGCAGGATTTTATTGTAAACAAGGTGCTCAAGTTGCAAATCCTCTGACCCTTGATCCTAACTATGGACCATGTCCTATGGGCTATTTTTGTCCTAATGGGACATCTTCTCCATTTAAATGCAAAGCTGGGACTTATAATAATTTACTGCAGCAAGATTCTTGCTTTTCTTGTCCTCCTGGCTATTTTTGTGGTAATGGTTCTATTATTTACTCAGATTGTCCAGCAGGTTATTATTGTCCAAATAGGTATACATAAATGTGTAGCTTTTGTTTTCTAAATTTGTAATGTTTAAAGTGTATATGCTATAGATTTTCTCACGTTTATATTATTATATTAGCACATTAGATCCATTTCAATATCCATGTCCTAAAGGAACTTATAAAAATTTTACACGCGGGTCATCAATAGATGATTGCAAACCTTGTCTGTCAGGTATGTACTGCCATGGACTTGGTTTAGACAAACCTTCTGGATTCTGTGATGGTGGTTGGTTTTGTAGCGGTGGTTCATGGTCGAATCAACCTTTTGGAAATGAATTATATAACAACACTTGGAACTGTCCACTTTTCAACATTGGTAAATTTTCTGTTTTCTTAAAGTTATTTAGAAAAAATACAATTTTCTAAATAGATTTATTAAAGTTATAAAATTATTTAGAAAAATTATAATTATTATATTTACTAAAGTTATAAAAAGTTAAATTATAATAGTTAAATAGTCAAAAAGTTAAATAATATTAGTTTTTAAGCTCCATATAATAAATTGATGTCTGTTTAGGTGGAATGTGCAAGAAAGGTAGTTACTGTCCTACTGGATCTTCTTTCCCTATTCCATGTGATCCTGGCTATTATTGCAAAGATGATAATTTGTCTAAAGTATCTGGAATTTGCTCAGCAGGATACTACTGTAATGGTAGCTCTATAGATGAACAACCTGTTAATAAATCATATGGTGATATTTGTTCACCTGGTTATTACTGTGAAATTGGTAGTCGTGCACCTAAACCATGCGATGCTGGGTACTTTGCTCCTGGGTTTGCAAATAAAAATAGCAGCAGTTGTTTACCATGTATGAATTATAGCTTTTTAAATTTGATTTCTCCTTGAATTTAAATTAATATAGATAGAACTCATCAATTTTGTGGGCATACTGAGTTCAGTAATCTATCTTGTGAACAGTTGCTCTCTATAGAAAAGGTCTAAATAGAGAACTGAGAAGTTTTGTGTTCATGGATAATTTATTATAAAAAATTATATGCTTTATTGTAAATATATGCAGTCTACAAATCAGAATATTTTCCTAGTGTGCTCAAAAGTAGTCATTTTCATCCAAAGCTTAACATAGGTTACATCTGAAATAGGCTCATGTGCTCAACTTAAATATTGTTCTTGAGCTCTTTGGTTAAAAGGTTGGCACACAACTGATTATGAAAATGTTGTCATGACTACTGATCATGAAAATGTTGTCAACACCATTGTTTAATTAAATTTTTTGTTACTTAGTTGATTTATTTCTGTTATATGTACTTATATATTATATTTTGTTTATACATTATTTGATTAAATATGATAGCTCTTTTTTTAACATTAATTGTTAGCAAATATATTTTTAGGCCTTGCTGGAATGTACTGTTTACAACCAGGTTTACCGTATCCTACAGGAAACTGTTTTAAAGGGTACTACTGTCCCCCCGGAGAAATTTATCCAAATCCTTTTGGTAAGCTTTGTCAACCAGGTCATTATTGTCCAATTGCAAGCAAGCAACAAAATGTTTGTAAACCTGGATTTTATCAGCCACATGCTGGTATGGAAGAATGCATAGAATGTCCTCCTGGATTCTACTGTGATCCTACATTATTAAACATAGGAGAAAATAATTCCAGTCAAGGTGTTGTAACTCCAACCGTTTGTCCTCCAGGTTATTTTTGCCCCAATGGAACTATTACTTTTAAGGCTTTTCCATGCACAAAAGGTTATTTTAGCAACCAATCTCAACTATCTAGTCAAGATCAATGCTACCCTTGTACTCCTGGCTATTATTGTGATAAAGAAGCATTAACATCACCTGCAGGAAAATGCTTTGCAGGTTTTTATTGTAACATTAAAGCAATTGTTCCAAATCCGAATAATGTTTCTGAAGGTGGTGGGCCATGTGATAAAGGTTTTTACTGTGAATCTGGCTTTTCCATTCAGCTTCCTTGTCCAACAGGAACTTATGGAAATAGAACCCAACTTACTAATTTAACTGAATGCATAGATTGTGATGTAGGAATGTATTGTGATGTACCAGGAATGACATCTCCAAAAGGAGCTTGTTCGTCTGGCTATTTTTGTTGGAGAAGATCAACTGAATATGCACCAATGAATAAGTATTATGGGAATGTATGTCCTCAAGGATACTACTGTCCTCTTGGTACATCTGTTCCTTATGCTTGTCCTCCTGGAACATACAATAATAAAACTGGTGCTTCTCAGTCAGCAGATTGTCAACCTTGTGATGGTGGATTTTACTGTAGTGGAATCGCAAATGTGCTTCCTGATGGATTATGTAACAAAGGTTATTATTGCAGTCAAGCATCCTATAGTTCAACTCCATTGAGGCTTGCAAATGAGACATACAACTACTCTACTTGTCCAATATATAGTATTAATCAAACAGGTGGGTTATGTAAAAAAGGAAAATATTGTCCAGAAGGATCTATATACCCTAAAGATTGTGATAGAGGTAAGTATTGTGATTTAGACGGCTTGGCATTACCTGCTGGAAATTGCTCTTCTGGTTATTACTGTGATTTAAACTCTTTATCACCAAATTCTAGTGAATGTCAAACAGGACATTACTGTCCTGAAGGAACACCATTTGAAATTCAATGTCCTATTGGTACATTTAATCCTTTTACAAAACAATCCGAATTAGTAAACTGCCTAAACTGCACAGCTGGCTTTTTTTGTCCTTATCCTGGTATGTCAAACACTTTATTTCTCTGTTCTCAAGGTTTTTATTGTCCATCAGGATCAGTTACTAATAATACTTTTGAATGCCCTCTTGGTTGTTATTGTCCGACAGGAAGTGGGCAACCATTACACTGTCCTGCAGGTAATAGTGTGTGTTCTATATATTAATGTATTTTATATTAATCTAATATTTTTTTTTTTAATGGGCACTATTAAGTTTTTTTACTTGGAAACAAAAATTTAAAACAAATTTTTGAAATAAAGACAAATATTTTGAACTGGTCAGAATATTTTCTATGCTTTTAGGCTTTTTCAGTGTTTTTGTTTTTCTTGTTTTTAAATAATTAAAATGTATATTAGGTCAATTTCAAAATATGACTGGTATGTATGAATGTCAAGATTGCCCAGAAGGCTATGCATGTGATCCAACTTCTCAAAATGTTAATGGAGTAATTAAGCCTTCCTTGTGTATTCCTGGCTATTACTGCCCTCCTAAAACACAGCATATACAACAATACCCTTGTCCGCCAGGAACTTACAGTAACACAATGGGTTTAACATCAATAAATAGTTGTTTTCCATGTACTCCTGGTTTTTACTGCTATGGGTATGGTAATACAAATGTTACAGGAGAATGCAGTCCAGGTAGTTTATTTTATTTTGTTCAATTTATTATCTTAACTAGAATTTTTAACTATTATCATTAGTTTAATTAGTAATTTAAAGTAGTTATAAATTATTATAGCATAAAAGTTATGGTTAATTGTATAATTATGTTATAATTAAATTTTATTTACATATATATATATATATTTATATCATTTTTAATTCTTTCAGGATATTATTGTATAATTAAGTCAAATACTTCAATGCCTATTGATGGCACTATGGGTGATGTGTGCCCTCTTGGAATGTTTTGCCCTAAGGGTTCAATTCAAGGACAGCCTTGTCCAATTGGTAATAATTAAGTTTATTTTTATGTCTTTATGAATGTTTATTAATTTTGAGTTTCATATTGTGATATTATTGTGAAATCAAAGGTGAAAATAACAAAGTTATTTTTTTTGAGCTTTCTTCAAATTTCTTTCAAAAGAATAATAATTCTTATTTACCACTAATTTATTGTTAAAAAATTATTCTAATTCTTTAGCTCATTTGATGAATAAATGCTTCTAATATCTTTTTATAACCCTTCTAAAAGTATATAGGAATTCCAGTTTCTTTTGAGACATGTTTGTAGTTTCATGATTTTTTTCTATTTTTAACAAGTTTCAATGACATTTTAATAAATCATAATTTAAATTTTTTATTCAAAAATTTCAAAATAATAAAATTATAAAAATGAGCATTTAATTGAAAAACTTTTTTAAATCTTTTAACAACAGGTTTTGTGTGCCAGTTTTGAAGATAAGACTCAGGTTTTTATAAATGAGCATTAAAATACTTGAAGCCTTTTATACTAAAGTTATAGATATCCCCTCAATGTATCTATACAACAACCCTGATGAGAATCTGGTCTAAAGAATATTATATTACTTAATTTATTAATTTTGTTTTAACTTTTTTAATTCCTCTAGTTTTTTTTTCCTCGAACATCAGTTCTTTGGAATTTGCTTTCTTTATCTTGCTTTCCTGATTTATATAAATTGCAATCTTTTAACTTGTCTGTCAATCATTATCTTGCTCTACAATCTTTATTTTTTCTCTTCCAGTAACTTTTAACTCTAATTAGGGGTTGCTTGCAGCCTTGTTAGAAATGGTGTTAAAAAAAATTTACATATTTTTCAATATTTATGCACATTCCCTCCACATTATGTGTTACATCATTTTAGGAGTTTTAGATTGTAGTACACTTAGCTCTTAAGACAATTTTATGTTATTATTATTTTATATTCTTAATTTATTTATATTATCATTTTTATATTCTTAAGTTTTTTCTGCAGAGTATTTATAATTCCCCGTTTTTTCTACACAAATTTATTAAGCTATTTTTTCTTAACCCCTTTTAAGTCTTTATGAAATACTAATCTCTTGAGCCTATTTCACCTCAGCTCAGTTTTTAAGTTCGTTATAAAATACTGTTCCTGGTAATAATATTCCACACTTAAGTTCTTAATGCCAAACAAATCTCTTAAGGTAAGTTCACCTTATGCCTAATTTACACTAAGGTTTTAGTCAAATTTTCACTAAGATTTTTGGTTTATTTAAACTATTTTATATACTACTTGAACCTATTTTACACTATTTTACACTATTTATGAATATTTTTGTTTTATGATTTTAATTTATGAGAAATTCACAGTAAATGCAAAAATTTAAAGTAATAAAACTTTATAAAACTTTTTGTTATATTATTATATTTTTTATTATCATAATTATCATTAAATATCAAGTTCTTTTAGTATCGCATATTAAATCATCTCATCTAGGTCACATATTAAATATCTCATCTAGGTCTCCATATTAAATATCTCATCTAGGTCTCCATATTAAATATCTCATCTAGGTCGCATATTAAATATCTCATCTAGGTCTCCATATTAAATATCTCATCTAGGTCTCCATATGAGTTTTTATCTTATAACAATATCTAACCGCCTTACAAAATATTCCTATTGAGATTTGAAATTTTCTATTGATTTCTATTACACAAAATTTTTATTGAGTATCTTACACTAAAATATAAGTTATTTTTGGAATAATTTGTCAAAAAATTGAACAAGATTATTAGTTTTAGTTATTATTTTGAATCATTTTTATGAATATCACCACGCTCAACATATACTTACACATTTTAGTTATAATCACCACACTTTTTTACACAAACACCCATTCGATTTTAAGGACAACACTGTTTATCTTATCATTTTAATACAACTATAGTTTTATCTTAAAAAATTTCTGAAAATTTTTTTGAAAATCTCTATATATTATTGCTTAACTTAAAATTGTTAGTATCCCTTCGATACCGAATGCTTGGCATTCATTGCAACTGAGGTAGTGGCAAGAAAGAGTCTCAGCACTTCGTTTTAAAACTTGAATGAACGTGTATGTAAATATCTAATGTACGTAAACTTCAAATTATGTAATGTTAAAACATTTTAAAATGCGAAAAATGCGAAGTCTGAAAATTTTGAAACTTCGATTTTAGATTTGCCTCTCTCTCTTGATAATTCCTGATTGTTAAAACTGCGTTATCTTCTTTTTAGCACAGTTATTTAGATATTAGAAAAAAAGCAGAGAGTTTTTGTTTAAAATGTTTTAGTTTAATTGGACCATTAGACGCAGCTTTTTTGTAAATAGTTGAAGCCAAAATTTTATGTGATGTCACTTTGTGGCAAAAAACTAACTAGAAGTAAGATTTTGTTTACATTTTCTAGGAAAGTTCTTTTTATTAAAAATATGTAGTATATAATTTTGTGGGATATATTCTAATAAAGACTAAATATAGTAATTACTATGTCATTTCTAGAAAACTATTTATTTATTACTATTGTAATAAAAACAAACTCTTATCCATGAAATGATATATCTGTAACAGTTTTATATCTTTTAGTGCAATTGTATGTTCAATAATTAAAATTAATCGAAAAATGTGAGATAAATGCAAAAGCAAACTTGACATATAAATTTTTTTTTGCTACAAACTGACATCACTGAGCAAAATTTTTTTGGCTTAACTTTTAGATAAGCATTTTATAGGTAAGACCATGGCTATAGTTTTTAACAATCAAAAATTAGTTTTGCTATGTTATTATTTTTTGCTATAAATATATAAGCAAGATTAAAAGAATTTCAAAATTTTTAACACTAAAGGTCTTAAAACCCCAAAACGACTCTGATGACAGCGCCCTAAACCACTGAGCTATCAATGAAATGCATTTAGGAGAAAACCAAACCTAATTACAAATCTCTTGTAAGATCTATGTATGCGGAAAAGGTGCGCAAGTTAACTTTATTGCTCTTAAAGCAGTTTTTCAAAATAAGCTATTTTACTAAAAAGTATTGTATTAAATAAAAAATAGGTATAGAAATGATCAGTGTGGAATAGATAAGTATGAAAATCGTAGGTTTTGTAAAAAAAACGTATTTTACAGGTCCAAAAGGCTAGGATATATATATAAGGAAAGTATAAAAGAGGTCATTGTGGATTACACTTACAAAGACCTGCATTTTTACAGGTCTGGTCAGCTAGTAAAACTATGAATTTTACATAATCTTATTGATTTACTTATTTAAGTTTTTCTGAGTTATAATTGTTTGATGATATTAGAGCTTTTCACTTTTCACAACATTTTCAGAGCTTTTTAGAGCTCTCTGAATAATGAATTTGTACATATAGGACTCACAAAATAAAATAAAAACCCATTTTTAGAAATATAAAAACGAATATTTTTAGAAATATAAAAACAAATAAAAGTTCACCCATACTTGAGGTTTAAATGGCCCATAAATAAATGTCAATAAAAAGATGGAGAAATGAACAGGGTTATTAGCATTCTTGAAATGTTCTACACTGAGGTGCTTAATACGGAAGGGGACATTTATTAAATTTCAGAAAATTTTCCCACTCACTCCATGCTTATTAAGCCCCGAAACCACCCCCATCCTTTGATTAATAATTTTTACTTGTTATCAACAACAACAAAAAAACTTCAAAACTTCAAAACTAAAAAAAAGTCAGAAAAAATATATTTCAGTCATTGATATGAATAAAAACTTTCAGTATAAAAATTGTTGACCTTTAAAAAATTTTGTATGCTTCAATTTGTCAAAATTTAGATTTTGTTTTTTTTTTGTTTTTTTTGATTTTTCTCACCATATATAAAACTTACTTGAGCATATTAAATCCTATTGAATTATATTGAAACAGCTTTTTTAAAATGTGCATTTAACCACACTAGAATTAAATTCTTTGTTTTTGTTCTGTAAAGAATTTCTACCCAGTCTTTCACAGGAAGGCGTGCGAACGACGCATGTCATTATATGACCAGAAAAATCACATTTTGCTTTGACGATTTGACTGCAGCTTTTTCAAAAAACATTTTAAAAACGCCTGAATGAAAAACATATTAAAAACAAGCTAAATGAAAAAGAATATAAAAAAGAATTATACCTTAGGTGAAATAAATTATGTCAAAACTAATTAACAAACATTTTTAAGTTAGTGAAACACTTTTATATAAAGTAAATATTTACTGATATTGATTTTTTTTTAAAGTATAGTTGACAGTTGTATATAATTTAAATTATAGTTGACAGTTGTATATAATTTAAAGTATAGTTGACAGTTGTATATAATTTAAAGTATATTTGACAGTTGTGTAAAATGTTTTTTAATTTATATTATATTAATTGTCAAAGTATGCATTTTTTATAATAAACATTAAAAAATAAAAATTTATTTTGATTTTATAAAAGATGGCTTTCTACAACAACAAAAGAATAAATTTTAAACAAATTTTAATATAAGAATAATTAAAGTTAATATATTTTAAAAGATAAACAAAATTTTTTTGAAAAAAAAAAAATTTTTTTGTATGAAGCGGTTACAATTTAATAAGTTTGATCTTTAATGCTTTTATGTTATCAAAACACTTTTTAATGAAGTGATAAAACACTTCTAACGAATTTTTATAATAAGTATTAATAACAACTGGTTTTTATTTATATAATTATGTATTTTTTATGATAAATGTTAATCTTTTGAAACAAATTAAAAAAAAAAAAAATAATAAAGTACAAATGTTAAAACATAGAACGAAGTAGTTTTTTAATGTGTAATTATTTACTTATTTATGTTTACATAGAAACTGATATTTTTAAATTAGTAAAAAAAACATTCATTAAAACAATTGTTAAAATTAGTTTGTTCTTTGTTTATTAATGTTTGCCACCAACCCTTTTTTAACCCCTCCACCTCTTTTTTTCATTTTAGGACTAAAATTTCCAACCCCCAGATATCATAAAGAGAAAAAGGATGCATCCCCTAACAATCAATTTATTCTTTAGTCTAATACTTTAGTATATACTACAATTAGCATTGAACTAGTAATCTGTAAGCTCAACCTCAACTGCTGGAAACATATAACAATATTATATGCTTTACTATTGTGTCTTGATTTTGTTCTGAACATCTGTTCAACATTTCTTTTAAATTTTTTTTTATCTTTTTACTTTTCTTAATATTTTTCTTTTAGCTCTTGTTCCTGACAACTTGGTCTAGTCCTTTAATGCATATTTTTGCATTTTTTTAAAAATATTTATGTTGAGACTAGGGAGGTATAACTATTTTCAATACTATACTATTGCTGTACTTTAGTTAGGTTAGTTAGTTTAGGTTATTCTTTTTATCAGAAATGTATAACTAGAAAATCATTTTTTGGTTAATTTTGCAGTTTTTCTATATTTAACATTTATCATTATAGATTTTTCTTACATATACTGGTACAGATAAATCTTTAGGTGTTTTTTTCTAGTTGGTTATTTTTTTTGGATTGACATCTTTTTTCATTTTATGAGAATTAGCGGTTGTCTTTTTTTTCTGATGAGTAATTAATCAGGACTGTGCTCAAGTTTGCAAACTAGTAACTGCTAGTAATTGCTAGTCAATTAATTAGTAATTGCTAGTAATTGATAGCTAGTTGTGCAGCTTAATACAGGGTGAGTTTTTAGTTAATAATAAATTGTACAGTCGAATTCAAAGTAAACTGTTTATCTCACTTTTTACCAACTCCTTAGCAGTGTACAGTAATAAGTAACATAGAAAACTAGTTGTTTATTATAGATGTATCATAAATTTCATAAACATTTTATTTTGTTTTTTAACGCTTTGCTTTTTTTTAATCATTGTCTTTTAATCGTTGTATTTTAATCATTTAGTTTAACATTTTACATGCGGTATGCGGTAGTGGTGTAGTGGTAGAGCTTTATTTCTCAGCACAGCAGTCTTGTTTGTCAAGGTTTGTGTTTCGGAGTCATAGAGTTGAGAGAGGGTTATAACTACAACTAAGTAGCTTCCTTGTCTGAAATGGCTTTCTTGGCCTTGGGGAGGTGAAAATTTTTAATAACAAGACAAAAAAAATTTTTTTTTGTCTTGTTATTGATAACTGCTGTATCAAGCTATAATGATAAAGTATTAGATTTTTATAAATACTTCTATTCCATCTAATATGATATATTTTTGATGATTGAGTGTGCTAAAATGACATCATTCCATGTACATTAAATAGGTTAAAATAACACTAACTTTATACACTTCAATCCATAGAACGTTAATATAAAGCGTTGTTAAAAATACAGTTGTAAACCTTTACTATTGGAAATATTATTACAATACAAAAAATAATTTATTTTTCATGAACATTTTTTTTTTCAGGAACATTCAGCAATACAACTAAACTTCAGCAATCTACGGACTGTGCTCCTTGCTTAGCTGGTTGGTATTGCCCATTTACAGGTTTAAAGAACCCATTTCAGCCATGTCAACCTGGTTATTGGTGCATTAAGGGTTCAATTACATCAACGCCAGAAAATGAAACTTATGGTATAGGATGTCCAAAAGGAGCGTATTGTCCAGAGGGTACTCCTTCACCAATAAGTTGTCCATTAGGAACTTATCAACCAAACTACAAAATGTCTACTATTAACAACTGTTTATGTAATTTTATGAATTTTAACAATATTATTATTTTTATACTATGTGTTTGTTAACTTGCTTATGAATTATTTTTTTACTTTTTTTTAAGTTTTTACTAAAAGAAAGTTTAAAAATTAAACAAAATTAAAAATATTTAATTTTTAATACCAAGTTCCTTGTATTGATTTTTAGCTTGTGAACCTGGTTATTATTGTGGTAGCCCTGGTCTTTACAATATGTCGGGTAAATGTATGGATGGATATTTTTGCTCTGGTGGAGCTATGTCGCCAAACCCATTAAACGTTAATGGTAATGTTTGTCCTATTGGTTCATTTTGTTTGGAAGGTTCAGCTTTTCCTACTCCTTGTCCTAATGGAACATACACAAACTTTACTGGTAAGTATTTTTGTATGCAAAAGGTTCTACTTTTTGAGATATAAATCAGCCATGAGCAGCCGTGGCGCAGTGATTAGCGCGCTTGCCTCAGAAGCTAGAGGTCTGTGGTTCAACACCATCTTTGGGCAAGTTTTATAACATTGGTTAGGAAGGAGGCGTGAACTTCCTTTTAAATTTTCTTCTGCTGTGCTTTGTGATATGACCATAAGGACTTCTTGAGGCACCTAATATATATAAAAATAAATTTAAAAACTATTTAGCGAGAAATTTTTAATGGTTTTATCAAATGTAAAATAAATGCATATATGTGTATGTGTGTATGCATATATGTGTATACAAAAATGTATACATATAAGTGTGTACACGCAAGGTAATATTTTTTCGCTTTGCTTCCAACAAGGCTGCAAGCAACCACTAATTAGTGTTGGAAGTTACTGGAAGACAAAAGATAAAGATTGTAGAGCAAGATAACGATTGACAGACGACTTAAAAGATTGTAAATTATATGAATTAGGAAAGCAAGATGAAGGAATCGAGTTCCAAAGAAATGATGTTCAAGGAAAAAAACTAGACGAATAAAAGTTTTTGGAGCACTTAGGAACAGTAACAGAAAAAGGATGAGAATTAATTGAATGACGAGTAACACGAGAATGAGTTTTAGTAGATGACACTAGAGATGCTTGCTCTTTGGGGCAGTGCCCATTATAGTATTTGTAGAGAAAGAGAAGCAAGATTACGGCGATGTAATAAAAGTTGAAGGTTGGCTGCAAGAGCAGGTCCAGCTATGTTTACAATGCGTTTTTTCACCTTGTCTAAAAGAGAAAGAGCATCATTAGAAGATCCGCCCCAGATATGGCAACAGTATTCTATACAAGGCCGGATTTGAAATTTATAGAGATAGAGAATAGAATCCAGAGTGAGAAAGTGACAAGCTCGATAAAGAGATGCAACTTTAGCAGATGCTAATTTTGCAACGGATTTGATAAATTTTTTCCAAGAAAGATCAGAAGTAAGAGTTAATACTAGAAGATGAAGGGTAGATGACTTAAAGTTCATTAGCCACTGTGAGCCCCATGCTGCAACAGAAGTGAGATCCTTTTCAAGCTTAAATGCCCCCTCCAAGCAATCAGAGAGAGTTGGCTTCTTATCATGACAAGAATAAATGGTAGCATCACCAGCAAACAATGCCACCTTAGATGTGAGAATATCTGGAAGATCGTTAATGTGAGTTAAAAAGAGTATAGGGCCAAGGATTGAACCTTGGGGAACCCCTGAGGTTACAGAATAAGAAGAAGAGTGCTGTCTATCAAGGACAACTTTTATACTATGATTGGAAAGGAAGGATTCAATAATCTTAAAGATGTTATCAGATACAGCGTAAGAAGAAAGCTTATGGAGAAGACCAACATGCCAAACTTTATCAAACGCTTTAGAAATGTCAAGAGCCATGGCCTTAACTTTTCCACCTTTATCTAATGCACGATAAAACCTATTGGTTATTATTATTAGCAAATCAGCCGTAGAACAAGAAGATCGAAATCCATATTGATGATCAGAAAGTAAGTTAATAGATTCAAGATGAGAGATTAAGTGTTTGTTAATTAAAGATTCAATAACCTTGCTTATGATAGGAAAAAAACTAATGTGACAGTAGTTAGATAAATCAGATCGCTCTCCAGAATTTTTAAAAATGGGGATAACAGATGCTGCTTTCCAGCAGGCTGGAAAACAAGATTTTGATAAGCACTTGTTAAATAGTTTTGAAAGGATAGAGGACAGCTCCGGAGAACACTTCTGCAAGACTATAGCAGGTATGTTGTCCAAGCCACAAGCTGTAGAAGATTTTAAGCAGGAAATCACTTTAGATACAGAAGCTGAAGTGATACGAATGTCAAACAATGGATCAACCTGTTTGACGGCTATATCAGGTAGAACGCAACTAGTGGAATCAAGAGATGATATTGATGAAAAGTTTTTAGCAAACAGTTCAGCTTTGTCTTTAGGTGAGGTGACAAAGTTTAAACCATACAAAAGAGGTGGAGTTACAGATTTGCCCTTATTATTGATACTATAAAAGATTCTCCAGAAGTCATAAGAGCCTAATTTTTGTAATAAAATATGTGATTTCATGACCTGAGAATAACAGGTTTTGGCGTTAGACAAAACCTTTTTACAATAGTTCCTAGCAGTAATAAACAGGCGTCAGTTTTCTGGAGAATTGTTTTGCTGATAGATATGGAAGTGATGGTTTCGATTGGCAATTTCAGCAGCACAATGTGAGGAAAACCATGGAAAAGAATGAGGTTTACCTGGAATTGTTGAGAAAGAATAAAGGACTCCATGCCAGCCTAAATCTACGAAGTTTTGTAAGAAGCACATTTGTTAACAGGAAGACAAAAGATTTCTACCCAAGGACCATTATGAAGAAAATCACGGAAAGAGTCCCAGTCAGCTTTAAGGTACTTGTAAGATGTACAATGATAGGGGGATTCTGATGATAAAGAGGAATGAGATAATAGTTTTAGAGAGATCAAACTGATCAGAGGCACTTAAAGGTGAATGTGGAGAAACTGAGCACTGCCTAGGATAAGAAACAAGACACAAGTCAAATAGATAAGGTAAATGATTCGGATTGTCTGGAAAACAAGTTGGAAAATTTGATTATTTGTGTTATAGATTGAGAAAGGCAAAAGTTGTGGGCCTTAATGCCTGCAGAATTACTGACACTAGAACCAAGCCATTCAGTGTGATGAGCATTAAAGTCACCACCAACAACAATATTGGCTGATGGATAAAAAGAGAGGGCTTGGTCAATTTGGTCAGAAACAACATTGAAAAGAGTGCAGTCTTGAGATGAAGACGAGCAATATAGAACAAAGAGAAAGGTGATAGAGTGAAGTGGTGCGACACGAAAGCACATAAAAGAGTGGTTTGTGGATTCAAACCTAGTTTCCAGACAAATGGCTGAATTTTTATGAATGTAAATGCCCAGGCCAAGCATGTGACTATTGGAGTCTTTATGAATTAAAAGAAGATAACCATCAACACTAAGATCACAAGATGAGACAGCTGAACTCAAATCACAATAAGCAAGTAGGTCTGGTGAACTTTGCAAGAGATAAGACTCAACAAAAGAAAAGATACTTCGAAGACCACGAATATTAGTGAATGATAGGTTTAGCGAACATGGTGATGACAGTGGTTTTTTGTGTTTTACAGTTTTTGTTACTTTATTCATTTTCAAATTTGTTAAAGAACTTGACTCGAAACATAGATAGTACTCAGTACACTGTTTATTAGCCCAAGTAGTTGCCTCATTACTATTAATAAACCCTAAGCCGTAACAAAGGGCTCCAATGTGGTCTTGGCAATGCACACCACAAGTACAAACAGGGACACCATTCCTTCGCAACATGGCACTGTTAATACTTTGATATATTTCAGCTGTTGATGGAATCAGCCTCTCTAAGAGCTACCACAGAGTTTGGAAAATCTGACTACCAGCCGGCCTCAGAAACTTAAAACTGAGTTTTAGAGCTGTAAACTCATTAGGAGATAATAGGATGAGTTGCCTAGTCATAAAAATATAAACATAAGCAAAACCCATGCATCGAGTCAAGAAGATCCAGCATTCAACATCCTAAACTGGAAACAATGTATTAAAATACATCTGCGCCAGCCTAATAGATGAAGAAAGGGTGCAAGACTGATCAACAGATAGAATTTGTTTACCCCTTAAGTCTTTGTCTAGGAGACCTTCTATAAGACAGCAGCAGGATGCATTTAATATCTGCCCAAGATAAGTATTTTTATCGAGACACCACCTCTAGTCTTTACTCGACCAAGAGCCCCAAGTCAGGGGGTGTTTAATGTTGGAGTTGGCATCTCCTAGCCTATGCCCAAAAAGGTGTATCCTACAAGGCAGCAGGACATGAAGCAGATTGTACTGGGTTACATGTTACCAGTAGCAAGATAAACCTGACCTGACATATTTTTGCATATATAAGTATATGTGTGTATAAAAAAATATATGTGTTTATACTCAAGGGGTTTTGTGAGTAGTGTTTATACTCAAGGTTTGTGTGTAGTTTGTGTGTACACAAAGACAGCAGCAGGATTTGTTTGTACACAATTGTTGTGTACATAATTGTTGTGTACACAATTGTTGTGTACACAAAAGACAGCAGCGGGATGTTATTTGTGTGTACACAAGGTATAGAAAAAAACAAAATCTGCTCTATCAATTTGTAGTAAATTCACTAGTTCAGAATAATTTAATACTTATAAAGTGAGAGAAAAAAAAGTAAATATTTACAAAAATAGGAATATGGTTAATTGATAGAAAAACAAGCATAAGTTTCTATTACTAGAAATGTTGCAGGATTTGATCTTAATATATTTTTTAACTCTTTTTTTTTTTTTTTTTTAGTTAAATATATTATTATTCAAAATTTTTTTAGAATTTTTAAGTTAAAAAATTTTATTGATGTTAATCTTTTTTATTTTAAGGTTCAAATAAGTGTCTCCAGTGTCCAGCTGGTTATATGTGTACTCGTCAAATAGCAGCAGATCCATGCAAAATAGGTTATTATTGTCTTGAAGGAACAGGTTTCAATATTATTCCTTGTCCTTCTGGAACGTTTGGTTCACGTGTAGGTCTTTCTGATATTACGCAGTGCACAAATTGTACAGCAGGTTCTTACTGTCAAGGAACTGGTAATAACCAGCCAACTGGTCAGTGCGACCCAGGCTACTGGTGCTTAAATGGTGTTGATAATAAAGCACCTGTAGATAGTTTAGATCATTCTGGAATTGGAGGGAGATGTTTTTTGGGTCATGAATGTCCAGGAAATACATCATTTCCTTTGCCGTGTCTACCAGGATATTTTTCAGATATTATTGGGCTGAGTACATGCAAACTCTGTCCTGCAGGTAAGTTTTAACTTAATTAGTTAGCAGCATTTTAAAACTTTTGTTTTAAATAGTTTTCAAGGAGTTAGTAGATAATGTTATATAATTATTTAATTTACTAGTGAGACAGGACAAGATTATGAATCATGAAAAATGATGTTTAGGTTGTGGGAGTTTATGTGGTATTAGCTTTTTAGGACTAATATTACTGAAGCATCATTGTTGGTCTTAAAATATATAACCAAATACTGCTAAAATTTTAAGTTTTAGAAATATTAAACTTAGTGTTGCTAGTGGTGGTGACATTAGACTGGTAGATGTTTCATATGTGGTGGTGACATTAAATTGGTAGATGTTGCAGTATTGATAGATTATTTTGTAGAAGAGATAAATTTGTAATTCAAGCAATAAGTTGGCAGTGATTATGATAAGTTAATTATGATAAATTTGTAAAGGCTGAAGTTATTCATTGGTGTTGGTACTGATAGTTTAATTTTGTTGTCAATATTTTTTTTTTAATTAATGGATCCAAGTTTGTCAAATTTTTAACTTATCTATTTTCTACTAGTTTCTTTTGTATAATTATAAGTTTTGGTTTGACATTATAAAATGTCTTTTTACGCAGGAAAATATTGTAATGGCTCAACAATAATTCCAAATGATTGCCCTATGGGTCATTATTGTCCAAGTGGAACACAATACTCAATGCAATACAAATGTCCACCTGGTACCTACAACAATAAAAGTGGATCATTGAATATAACAGCATGTGTTATCTGTCCTCCTTCAATGTATTGTGAAGGTTATGGAAATGTTATGCCCTCTGGTTTATGTTCAGAAGGTTATTACTGTAAATTTGGAGCAATTGCTGCTACTCCTTTAAATTTAGGTTTGCTAAATGCAAGTAGTTTATATGTAAATACTTCTTGTTATCATCCTTTTGATTGTGTTTGTCCTGCATGGAATATAACTGCAAGTAAGTTTTATTTTTGAGTAATTAAATAAATGTTTGAACTTTCTTTTAATTTTATTTTCTTTATTATAATTTATTTTTTTATTTTAGAATAATGTTATTACATTGTTGTTATTAGTAAATTATGGTGTAATTAAATTAAACAGTAATTACACTGTATAAATATGAAAGTAGTATTATTGAAAATAAGATAAAAACTGTACACTGTACACATACAATCTGTGTAAAAGATCTGATAAAATATATGTTAAGCTCACTTACGGTTTTTACCAAAATCTGTTCAAATGTTAAGACCATTTAATCTAGCATTTTTAAAAGTGTTCTTTTAAATTTTCTAGATAATATATGTCCTCTTGGATATATCTGTCCTGCTGGATCCACAAATCCTATTATTTGCCCTTCTGGAAAGTTTTGTGATCAAATTGGACTTGCTATGCCCTCTGGAAACTGTACTGCTGGATTTTATTGCCAATCTGGTTCAGTAACTTCTACAGAGTTTGAATGTCCTTCTGGTCATTTTTGTCTCGAAGGAGTTTCCATACCTGAGCCTTGTCCTAAAGGAACATATTATCCTGGTGTTAAAAACTCTCTCCAAAGCAATTGTATTAATTGTACAGCTGGCTATTATTGTGAAATAAGTGGTTTGGCTACAGTAACTGAAAAATGTGCATCTAAGTAATTTTTTTTTCAGTTTATTGTCTCAATAAATTATTTTGATTTGGTAATATTTGTTTAATTTTTTTTTTTTTAATTTTAGGTATTACTGCCCAGGAGGTCAGTCAACTAGTACTCCAATTGAATACCAATGTACTTTGGGTCATTATTGTCCGCCTGGTTCAGAAACTCCAGTTCCTTGTCAAAATGGAACTTTTCAAAATCAAACTACACAAGAAAAATGCATAACATGTCCTCCAGGTTCATATTGTGACCCTTCAGAAGGTCCTGTAGTTTTACCTAAACCTTGTCCAATGGGATATTATTGTCCTACTGGCACATCATATAAAAAAACATTTCCCTGTCCTTCTGGAACGTTTGGTCCCAAAGAAGGATACTCTAAAATTGAAGATTGCATATATTGTACACCTGGAATGTATTGTGATAGACCTGGCTTGGTTTCACCATCTGGTTTTTGTAATGAGGGTTTTTATTGTTTTATGGGATCAAATTCATCAGAGCCTATAAATCAAATTCTTGCATTAGATTGGAATTTTAATTACTACAATGACCTATGCCCTAAAGGTTATTACTGTAATAATGCAACATCTACTCCACAACCATGTTTGGCTGGTTATTACTCAGATGAAAGAGGTGTAAAGAATGAGAAAGATTGCAAAGAATGTCCTCCAGGAAAGTATTGTTACTCTGTTGGAGCTGGAGAATTGGTAAACCCACCAAATTGTTCAGCAGGATATGTATGCAAAAGAGCTTCCCCTGTTTCTACACCAGTTAATATTTCACTAAGTATTGGATATCCTTGTCCTAAAGGCCACTACTGTCCAGAAGGTAAAGCTCTGCTTTGCTTTTTGTTCTAATAATCAAACTCTTTAATAACAAAAAATTAATAATCTTTTATTTTTGTTAGGTAGGTTGTTATAGAAACTGTGTTTAAATTTAGTTTATAAAAAAGCAACTAAAAAACAAAATAAAATTTATTTTAAAATTTGTAATTGTTTTTATTTATTTAAAGGATCTTTTATTGAGTTGGGCTGCATGCCAGGCACTTATCAAGATAACTTAGGCCAATCAGTATGTAAACCTTGTGATCCTTCATTCATGTGTATGGATTATCGAATTATAACTCCAGTTTTGTGCCAACCAGGTTATTATTGTCCAGGAGGAGAGGCTATAAAATGTCCACCAGGAACCTTTAGTAATGCTACAGGAATTAAATCAGTAAACTTATGTATGAAGTGTACTCGTGGTAAATATTGTTCAGGATATGGACTAATAGAACCAACTGGTCCTTGTGCTCCCAGTTTTTTTTGTGAAGGAGGAGCTTCTACTCCAGTTCCTGTTGCAAACAGCATTTTTCCTAGAAATGGTCCTTGTCCTATGGGTTATTATTGCACTATGGGAACCCAGGAACCAGAACAATGTCCATCAGGTACCTTTAGAAATACAACTGGTGCTGCAAACATTAATGAGTGTTATCCCTGTAAACCTGGTTCATTTTGTGAAACTGATGGACTTATTATACCTTCTGGACTTTGTGCAGCAGGTTGGTATTGTCCTCCAAATCAATCTAAATCAAAGCCATCAAACTATACATGTCCAGAAGGTCATTATTGCCCAGAAGGTGCTGCTTATCCTATAGACTGCGAACCAGGTTGTTAAATAACTTTTTTTAAATTATCTTATATTTTTAAAATAAGTATTTTTTTTATGAGTTAAATTTTTTAAAATAAGTATTGAAAAATGTTTGTTAGGCCTTTTTTTTTTATTCAATCTTCTTTTTTTAGTCTTCAATTTTTATGTTATTTTTTTTAATTTAATTTTTTTTCTTTTGTGATTTTTATCTTTTCTTTTTTCTTTTTTTTTTTTTGTGATTTTTTCTTTTTATTTTTTTATTCTTTATTTTTTTATGTCTTATTTTTATTCAATATTTTATATCAATAATTTTAATCCTAGTTTTCATCTCTTTAATCTTTACATTATTACTCATCTTAACTCATATCTCTTATTATTTTTATATGCCCTTTTATCTTTTTTTATGGTGTTTATATTTTATAGAGTCTTTTATATATTTGAATCTTTCGTAGTTTTAAAATTTTTAAAATTAGCTTATATTTATTCAGAAGTTGTATTAATTAATTGTCAATGTTTTGTTTGATTATAAGGAACCTATCAGCCCTCGCGAATGCAGAGTTCTTGTTTCGACTGCCCAGCTGGATATTACTGTCCAAATCGTGTATCAACACTTATTCCTTGTCCATCAAGATTTTTTTGTTTGAAAAGAACAGAAATACCTGAAATATGCCCAAATGGAACATTCAGTTATGACAATGACACAGGTCTTCAGAAGTCTGAACAGTGTCGACCCTGTATTTCTGGACATTTTTGTTACTTAGGTAGTTGTTATTTATTTATTTATTTATTTTTTATAACATATAATAATAATATGATACAATCTATAAATGGGATTAATATAAATGGGAAAGGACTTTAATAATTTTTGGAAAATTTTCCCACTTACCCTAAGCTTATTAATACCCCCCCCCCCCATCCTTCCCTGTTTATTAATTTTTACTTGTTATTAACTATAAAAAAAAGGTCACTACAGTTGAGGAGGCTATTTAAATTGTGGTTACAATCCACTCTCAACTCTATAACTCAGAAACACAAACCTTGACAAACAACGTTATTGCGCTGAGAAACAAGTTGATACCATAGTGTAAAACTTATATAAGTATATTAAATCCTATTGAAATTATGATGAAACAGATTATTACATTAATATTAGAAATATGTTTCAAATTACAATTACAATTATGTTATACTTATATGAATATTGTTTTATAATTTGTTTACACTTGATCATCTTCACACATCATCTTCATCTTCATTGTTTACACAACATTCATCATCTTTATTATAGGCACTCAAATTTGACAAGTATTTTTTAAGATAATTGAAATGTTTTTTCTTTCAATAATTTTTTAAATAGTTGTTTAACATTTTAGGTTTTTAACAAGTTCTATTATAGTTTGATCAGGTAAATTATAAATATAACATGGCCGTGGCGCAGTGGTTAGAGCGCTTGCTTTATAAGCAAGAGATCCAGGTTTGAAACAAGCTTTGGACATATTTTTGCGTCACCGTAAGGAAGGAGGAATAAACTTCCTGGTTAAATGCACTTCTGCGGTGCTCTGTGACAAGACTGTTAGGTCTTCTTGGGTCACCTAAGTAACAAAAAAAAAAAAAAAATTTCAAAATATTAACGATTAGTATCTTCTTTTGAACTAATCCAATGGTTTTAAAGCAACACAAAATTCATTAATGTTATCAAACTAATTTTCATTGAAATAAAATAAAACAATTCTATCAAATCTATTTTTACTTGTGTTTGAAACTGAAAAAGTGACACACGAACAACTGAAAAAGTGAAAACTCTATTTTGTTTTTGAATAAAATTGAAATTAGCTAACATTGCTTATTGGTGATTTAAAAAGACCGATTTAAAGGTTCGATTTGAAAAAATTGTTTCAATTTTTGTGATCTGCTGGTTATATAATGTCAGTGTTTCTACATTGCTGTTTACATTTTTTAATTCCTTTGCATGCACTTTGCATGGTTTTTTACAAGGTAAATCATTTTAATTCTAGCGATGGATCTAGAATAAAATATAAGCATCCTCTTTACTGATTTTTCTAAAGCATTTGACGGAATTCGACACAGAACTCTTTATATCCCAAAATTGGATTGCACGGTATAAAGGGTTTAGTTATTAAATGAATTGAGTCTTTTTTTATCAAAAATAAGGCAAAGGTGACGTTGCTTCTGCATTGCTTAGTTTTTCAAGTGGTGTACCCTAAGTCTTAGTTCTGGGGCTAAAATTGTTTTTACTATCTATCAATGATCTTTCAAATAAAAAAATAAATTCATGGTCTATTCTGATGATTGCAAAGTTTTCAAAATACTCAGTGCTAACAGCTGTAATATTCTACAGAATGACATAAATTTTTTTTTTCATTGGTGCGATATCTGGAATATGGAATTAAATATTAAAAAAATTTAAAATTATGCATGTCACTAGAAGGATAAAAAATTATCAAAAAGATTTCTGATTATCAATTAAGTGTTGTTGAGTATGAAAATGACCTTAGTGTTGTATTAAAAAATTATCTGAAATACGGTTATCATAAATCTGCTTGTGATAAACAGGGTTAGGTGGAAGTGTCTGTGAATATATCCATAAGATATATTCACAGACACTTTCAAGAACAGTAGACACTCAATTAGAAAAAATTGTTTTACCAATTTCGTCATTCCAATATGGAACAATTTGTTGTTCGATGTCAAATGAATTAAATTAGTATTAAACTTAAAAAAAAAAACTTGAAGAACTTTATTGTGTTATCTAAAATGTTAAACTTTTTTAAATTTGCTGCAATAGTGGTTTGCTATTCAGTAAGCATATACTCACTGCAGCAATAAAATAAAATAAATAAAAACACTAATAATAATAAAAATCACAAACATTATAAGTAATATTAATAAGGCAACTAAATCAAAATTAAATTGATAATCATAATAATAATAATAATAATAATAATAATAATAATAATAATAAAAATAATGAAAATACTAAATTTATACTGTGTTTCAAAAATACCCACAATGCTCCTGCTTTTTTTTCCTATTATTTTTAAAAATATTTGGCATTTAGTAGGCTGAATTCTTGAAATAAGTAAATGTTTAAAAAAAGAGTTTTTTCTCTAAAAATAAAAGTTGTTTTTAATAATTTAAATATAATTGATATAATTTTTTTCTTAAATAATATAAATTTTTGTTTCTTCTATTTTGAATATGTAGTTTTTTAGATAAGTAAATCGCTTTTTAGATAAGTTTTTAATTCATTTAAAATTTTTAATTATTAAAATTATTTTTCAGGAAATATCATTGGATTATGTGCAAGTGGATTTTTGTGCTTATCAGGTAGTTCATCTCCAACCCCAGATTTAATGATAGGCCCTAACATAAAGGTTGGCCCATGTCCACCTGGATATTACTGTCCTTATGGGTCTGTAGCTCCTTTACCATGTCCAGAAGGCACTTTTAAATCTAGTTTTGGTGGTGTAGGCAATATTTCAGATTGTCTTGCATGTCCTGCTGGCCAACAGTGTTTTCAAGGTATGTTCAAAATAGTAATTAAGTTCTTTATTACTGAAAAATATTTTTGTTCTTGATTGTTTGTAAAAAAAAGTTTTTCCATTTGACATTATATGTTACAGTTTTTCAATTTGATATTATATTGATATTAAGGCATTAAAAATATGAAACATAAGAATTATGTTTTATCATTGTGTTCTAAAATTTATTATAGCATTAAAAATATGAAATAATAAAGTTTTATTTCATCAAGTCCACTATGATTAGCTATTTAATTTTTGAAAGTTTTTTTTTTAAGGTGATCCAACAATTCATTTATGTCCACTTGGGAGTTATTGTCCAGAAGGTTCTTTGCCTAAATATTGTCCTATTTTAACTTATCGTGATATTTATGGAGGTAAAAATGTATCAGACTGTTTTCTTTGTAAGGCTGGGTACTACTGTGGTAATGAAGGTATGTCTAATGTAAGTATTAGTCCATGTCCTGTTGGACATTATTGTACTGAAGGACAATATCCACAGTGGTGTCCTGCAGGAACTCGAAGAATAGAGCCTAGTGGAAAAAGTATTGATAGTTGTGAAATATGTCCTGAACGGTACTATTGTCCCTATGGATCTACAAATTATACAGGTATACCATGTTCACCTGGATTTTATTGCAAAAATGGATCAGCTCTTGAAAGTGAATGTCCAGGTGGATTTTATTGTCCGAGTATGACTGTAAATCCATTATTATGCCCAGGTATATTTATTTTGATAGACGTAAAAAATTATTTTACTTTATGTTTTTTTCTATACTTTTTTTTTTTTTTTTTGTATATAAGTATTTTATCTATATTAAAATATATATTACTGTACTTGAATATATACTACTGTGTTATATATGTATTTATATATATATATATATATATATATATATATATATATATATATATATATATATATATATATATATATATATATATATATATATATATATATATATATATATTTAATTTATTTATTTATTTATATGTATATTTATGTATATATATAAATATATATATTAATATATATATATATATATAAATATACATATATATATGTATATATATATATATATATATATATATATATATATATATATATATCAGCCCTCGGAATCAGGCAAAAAATAGGGTTGGCAATAATTTGCCAACCTTAATCTGTGTGAGGTTGGCATCAGATCCGCTGAAAAAATGTGAACCAAAGGTTTGATCATAGAAATCATAGAAATAAGTTTGGTGGTTCGTTGCCAATTCACTGTGTGTGTATATATATATATATATATATATATATATATATATATATATATATATATATATATATATATATATATATATATATATATATATATATATATATATATATATATATATATATATATATATATATATGTATATATATATATATATATATATATATATATATATATATATATATATATATATATATATATATATAAATATATATATATATATATATATATATATATATATATGTATATAAATATATATCTATATATACATACATACATATAAAATACTATATAAAAGTATAGAAGTTATTTTTCTATTTTTTTTTTTTAACTTAAATAAATCTAAATTTAAATCATTTTAAATAGCATCTTCCCAACTCAATCTTAACATTTTAAATTGTATATAATTTAGATGGTTATTATTGCACCAATGGAACTGCTGCTCCTACTATTTGCGAATACCCATATTATTGTCCTTCAGGTAGCTCTTATTATCAAATTTGTCCATTAGGTTACCAAGCCACTACAATTGCAGGTAATAGAACATCGATATTAAATTCTTGCATGGTCTGTCAAGCTGGTTTTTATGGTAATGATCCTCTGCGAATAAATTGTTCCATTTGTCCTGAAGGTTATTATTGCCCTGAAGGTACTATTGATCCATTTCAAAATGCTTGTATAAAAGGATATTATTGCCCAGCTGGTGCATCAGAAGGGGTAATTATAAATAATGTTTATTTAAATTATTAGAGTCACAAATAAATTTACAAGTTTAATTTAATGACAATTTCTATTCAGTTGCCTTGCCCACCTGGTATGTACGGGAACTTAACAAAAGCTTCAAAACCATCGGATTGTTTTCTGTGTCCTGTAAATACCTTTAATAACCTAAAGGGAATGGAAGCATGCAGACCATGTGGTAGTAGTGCACGATCACAAGAAGGTGAAATTAAGTGTGCTTGCATTGGAATAAATCGTGCATTTCAGGTTTCTGATGGTTCTTGTGAATGTGAAAGTGGCTATATTTACTATGATCCAATGAATATCAAGCAAGTTGAGGGAAATAGTGACAAATCTTGTCAACCATTGGTATTTATTTTTTTAACTTTAGATTTTTACCTTTGTAACTTCTTTTTTTATATATTTAATTCTATTTGTTAAGTATCGTAAATTTAAATATCTTTGACATTCCATAGTTAAATCAAAAAAAAAAAATTTTAATTCATACACACACATCCATTTATGTGTGTAAATATATATATATATATATATATATATATATATATATATATATATATATATATATATATATATATATATATATATATTTAAATACACTCGTTAAATGCTCCTACGTGTCTGTGATAAGACTGGTAATATATATATATATATATATATATATATATATATATATATATATATATATATATATATATATATATATATATATATATATATATACATATATATATATATATATACATATATATATATATATATATATATATATATATATATATATATATATATATATATATATATATATATATATATATATATATATATATATATATATATATATATATATATGCATATCTCAATGGCACTGGTTTAGTTGAGTTGGTTTTACTTGCTTAGAGTTAATTAAAATATAAATTAAAACTTAAATTACAAAAATTAAAGTAATTAATTTTTAATAATTTAATTTTAGTTCAACATTTTTGTTTATTTTAATTTTAAACCTTGTCTCTAATGGTGAAAAGATAGTACCCTAATAGTAATGCAAATTTATATTTAAAAAAATATTGTTATAATTATTTTCATACAATCATTTAAAATTTTTATATTAGGTTGCTGACCGCTGTTCTGCAGGAATGGTGCGCATGTCCAATACACTTGAATGTATTCAACCTGATAATGTACCAGTCTCATACTGCAACGAAGCTTGTGGATCAGATGGAGGGAAAATTAATGTAACAGATGGTCGTTGCACTTGTAAAACATATACAGTGTTGTCTCAAGTCTGTAATAAAATATGTCAGTCACAGTCCCCCATTATAAAATTGCAGCGAGAAAAATCAGGTGAACTATACCTGCTTATCATTGAGAGATCAACAAACACAGTTTTAAAAAAGATATTGCAGATTGGTGAGTTTGGAATTAATGATTTTGATTACTCTGAGAGATCTGTTGAGATAACAAATTTTGATAGTGAAGGCATTTTCGGTATAGTCCCATCAGATGTCAATGCTGTTTTAAATTTTTTAAATGCTTCAGTAAACCAATCAGGATTAGTTTCAAGAAAAAGGCGTAGTGTTGATGCTCCACCATCAAATAGTTTGGTAGGAATTCGATCTCCAATTGTATGTGTTCTAATTGAACAGGCAGTTTTTTTCAAAATAAATATTAATCTTTTTAATCGTTCATTAAGTAATTATCCTATCTACAGCAAAAATCATTTGTTCAATTCAAATCCATCATTTGACTATGGTCAGTTTCGCCAGCTGAATTTGTTAATACAGTCAACAAACTTAACACTTTATTCTTTTGCTAATGTGTTTTCAGAACCTGGAGTTTATGTGTTTTATGATAATGCAGACTATAGAAGAGAAACTATCATTTTTGTTCCTAAGAAAGGAGTTTCCTGTCCAGAACGAATAGAAGCTTCGTCGCCTATATTTCTTCCGAAATTTGGTATTGGTGTTACTGGGGTATATATAAACTTTTACTCTGTTACATAAAACTACTATTATGTAGTTTCTATTTAATCTAATTCACTAAAAAATATCATGTTTTTATTACCTGTGAAAGTTGTAAATACATACATTATAAAGTTATTTGTTTTAAATATGTGTGTGTATTCATGCACACACACATATATATGTGTGTATATATATATATATATATATATATATATATATATATATATATATATATATATATATATATATATATATATATATATCTTTTTAATTATTTTTTAAATAACAAAACAAAAAAATTTGTTCTTTTAGACTCCAAATGAATCACCAAATTGGTCTTTGATTTGGACATGCATTTTGCTTATGCTTGTTTTTGTTTCTATCATGATTATTTTAGCTATTTTATGGAGACCAAAAGAAATAGGTAATACAGTGTCAAGCATTACAATCAACTATATGTCCTTTCTCATCTTTTTCATTTTGTCATTATTATCAATATCATCATAAGGCATTTATTAAATCATAAACATTATCATTGTAATTAAATTACAATGAGGGTGTTTATGATTGTAATTGATATTATCATTCACATGTTAGAATGAAATTAATTTGTTGGAAAGCTCAATAATAGTTATTTTGTATAACGTTAATAAAAAATTATGATGTAATAAAATACCTGTCTTAAGAGAGGACTTTGAATTTTGAACTTTAAACTTTAAAAATTAAGAGAAATTTATTTTTAAAAACTAAAACAGAATTTTTTTAAAAAACAGAAAATTTGGGTGAGTTCTACTTTTTATTTTTTATTTTACACAGGCATTTATCCAAAAAGTTTCTTGCGTCCAAAGTACCGAGCCCTTGGTGCACCATTACCAGTTATACCTATTCCAGGTGTATCAGATAATCTGAAAAATTATCAGCATTTGTCTGTAACATATGATGGCGATGCTATTTTTGCAGATAGTTATAGCTTGCTTGAGAATTTTAATGTGAGAACGTTGTATGACAAAATTGAGGACCAGACATTACATATTTCTTCTCAATTAAGTAATCATCAGTTAGATTTAAGAAGGTTTTATGATAAAATAATACAACAAACAGAAGGATTAAAAACGATGTTAAAAAATCTGGATCTTAAAGCTTTAATGGAGTTTAACAGACATAGTAATGAAGAAAAACATGTAGAAACTGATAGATATCAAAACAGTGGTTAATTTTCTTTGTTTTTGTAGTTATTATTCAAGATTTTTTTTAGAATATTTTTTTTAATTGTAGTTTTTTTAATTTAGATGTTTTACCATTTAAATTACTGTCCAAAAGTGTATTAACTAGACAAGAAGAGTTGCAAAAAACATTAAATTCTTTACTTGAAAGATACAGTAGCAACTGGCAACCTGTGCCAGTGGCTAATGTTAGAGTAAAAAAAGGTATCTGATTTATTTAAACACTATATTTTGAATACCAAGTAAGCCTTTTTTGCATTCTTTTTTATTATTTTTTTATTTATTTTTTTTTTTTGTGAAGAAGTTTCTATACAAGATTTTAGCAGTGGGGATTTAAGTGTGTTACATATGATGAGTGCAGAAAGAATACAACTAGAGCAAGACCTGCAGGAAGAAGAAAACATTGCTTTAAAGGAATTTCATGATAATAAGGTACTTTTTGTTGGATTACTCTATTTTATTCTATCGCTTTTCTATTTTATCATTCTAGTATTTTATCATTCTGCCATATCTTACAGAAATTATTTTCGTAGTAATGGATTAATTTTTTTGATTCATATTAGTTTCTGCTTTTTATTTTTATTCTTACTAGTAGTTTTATTCTAACTTGTTTTTCTATCTAGTTTCAATTCTATCTAGTTTCATTCCTTACAGAAATGGAACTACGTAGTGGAAACTAGTTTTTTAATTATAGAACTAGGTATTCTTATAAAAATAGAACATAAAGTGGTTAGTTTTAATAATTGTTTTTATTAAATTAGTTAATGTTTAAATAGTTTTAAATATTTCAGGTTTTATTTAATATTTTTTGTTTAGTTATTTTGAGCTAAAATTTTTGGCTAAACTTGTTATAAGTTATTTTCAGTGTTGCTGTTACTAAGTAATTTTCAGTGTTGCTGTTGCTAAGTTTTTTTCAATGTTGCTGTTGCTAAGTTATTTTCAGTGTTGCTGTTTTTTTTTTGTTTGTTTGTTTATTTAGTTATTATAACTGTTAACTTAGTTACTAAAGTTTAATTTATTTAGCAATGTTATTAGGCAAAAGTTCTTTAATGAACATAGCAAAAACAAATAAAGTGTTAATTTAAGTTAAACTCAAGTAATATTAAGTAGACTTTTAAGAAAGTAAAAAAAAAATAACTTCATAATTATTTTATTAATTCATAATTTTTAATTGTATAAAAATATTTTTTAAATGATGACTAGTTCACTTACGTTTAAAGTTATTTTAAAATCATTTACATCTAGCCAAAACAAACTTTGTTTTGGCTAGTAGACTAGTAGTATAGTAGAATAGTAGACTAATTGTATTTTCTGTGGTAAAATACAATTAGTCTGTATTTTACAGTCTGTACAGTGTTTTACCTCTGTATTTTACAGACTTACTAATTGTATTTTACCACTAAATATTAAATATTTACAGGAAAAAAAAAGAAAAGCATTAATGGCACAGATGAGTGCAAAGTTGGTTAATCAACTCTCAGGTGAATTGAATATAATTGAAATGAAGCCTATAATTGATATGCATGGAAATGAACTTACAGAAGCTGATAACTCTTTTATGGGTATTCAAGATGAAAAACTTAATGCACTAGTTGAGAAGTTAAAGGAAAACAGAGTTGCCAAGATTAAAGAATTAAATTGGCGTCATGAAAATATGGTAAGTTTTTTCTTTCTTTTTTTTTTACAAACTACTTTTTTTATATTCTTTTACTTCACAATATTTTCTAATTATTAAAATTGCACCTTTTAAAATTGTTATTAATTAATTTTAATTTTGCTTCTTTAGTGTTTTGCTATTTATGCTTGTATCAATAAAATAGACAAAAAAAAAATGTTCACACATACTACACTTCCGTAAAAAAAAATGTTCACACATAATACACTTCCGTAAAAAAAAATGTTCACACATACTACACTTCCGTAAAACTAGTTAAACGTTATACAATGTATTTTACTGATCACATAAAAATTTAATTGAGTTAATTAATTATGCTCTATATATTAATTATATTAAATAATTATACTTTTCACGCTCGATAACTTATTATTATAGTTAATTACTGCTATAAATTATAAATATAAAGAGTACTCGTGATTCTTAAATAAAAAAATAGTTTAAAAATTATAAAAAAATATTTTAACTGAAAAAAATTATTGAAAGAATAACTGCAATATTTTAAATTTCAATTCACTTGCAAATGGGTAGAAAAGCAGTGTCAGAGAGCATATAATAGCAAATTATTGACAGGTCAAATCAAAGAATCATAACAACGTTGAAATTGGTAAACTTATGGGTGATTCTGAATTTTGCGTGCAAAAAACAGTGGAAACCTGGGAGCTAACAGGTAACATCATTGACATGCCTCGTCCCAGAAGACCATTGAAGCTTAGTGACTGTGACAAAAGTAGCATATTCAGAACCAGTAGAATAACTTCTAAGCTCAGCAACAAAAAGCTAGCTCAAATATTCAAACAATCCTTTTATAATCGAATTGTAAGCAAAAAACTTGTTAGAAGATCATTAGCAAAAAAAGGACTGGACTGACGTAAAAGAGGAAAATGGTGCAAAGAGCGTTTGCACCATTTTCAGTTGAAGATTGAGCAAAAGTGATTTGGCGCGATGAGTCAAATTTTCAGGTTGTGAACCACAAAGGAAGAATATACATTAAACAATTTGCAACTGAGAAATATTGTGAGCGCTATTTACAAGCAAGATGACAAGGTGGTAGAAGCTCAGAAGGCATGTGGGGATATTTTTTCCACAAAGGCCTTGGTTTTTGTGAGCTCTATTATAGAAACACATTTGATTCCATTGACAAGGTAATTGTAGAGCAGAAGCAAGCAATACATCTTCAAACAAGACAGCGCCCCACCACACACAGCACCACAAAGAAGATCAATTTACTTTGATGCCCTAAATCACCAGATATCAACCCAATAGAAAATATTTGGTCATGGATCGAAACTTATTTGGTAAACATCAAATTCAATCAACTGAGCATTTGAAGCAACTTCTGAAAGAGTACTGGTTAAAAGTGACACATGAGATGTGCATGAAATTGGTTAAAATTAATGCAGAGGCAAGTTCTTTGCTATCGAGCCAAAGGAGGACACTTTAAATATTAAATTTGTATTTTTTTTTAATTTTTTGTGTTCTAAACCTTAACTCAATTAAACTTTTATGCAATTCAATTTATGTTAAATAATTATTTATTTAATTTTTTTTGAATTACTTTTTTTAACTATCTTATTAATATTAATTGTATAGCTAATAGATTGTTTTTTTAAAAATAAAAAAATTGTTAAAAATCATATATCCAGCTCAGATACATATGTGTGTGTGTGTGTGTGTGTGTGTGTGTGTGTGTGTGTGTGTGCATCATTTGCATAATGTACACATTTTACATTAAAAACTAGAAGATACTAATTTATTTCAATTATTTAGGCAAACCAAGGAAATTTTAAAATTGCTGAGATAGATATCATGGAAGATCTTCAGGTAGAACCACAGCATATTGCTTTAGAGTTGGCTTCACTTGAAGAGAGTAAGAATAATGCTGAAGAAAATATTCAAAAAATTGCTCAGCAAACAATAAACTATAGAAGACTTATGAGTGACAACTTTGCAGCACAAATGGTTTAATTTTTTTTTAGATTGTTATAAATATTTTTTTATACTTTTTGTATATACTTAGTTATGTTGTTTTTTTCTTTTTCATGATGCCTTGTTTTTTTAGAATACATTGTTTGAGAGCTCTGTAGAGTATAATAGTGAAGCTCAAAAATTAATTAACGAAGAACAAAAATTGACAGAAAAACTGCAAAAGGAATTAGATTTAAAAAAAGCAGCTCAGATTGCTATATTTGATGAAAAACTTAATCAACGTAAAGCTGCTCGGCTAAAGAAACTGAAAGAACAACAAGAATTAGAAACAAGTTTGGTAGGCTGTTTTATTTTGCTTTTATCATATATCATCTTATTATTTTACTTTACTACAAAAAACTGACTGAGATTTCTTTAATGACTTTCTGCATACTGGTTGCAGTGGTTACACCCTAATTTGTAATTTCCTAACATTGTTAACAAAATGTTTGATTTTTTTGTGATTGAAGTGAAGTGTGGGGGCTAATAAACATTGATTTTGTGTGCTGCCAACTGCTTAACTTTCACTTTGCATAAGAATGTGACATGTTGCTACATTTTAACAGTTCGATCTTTGTTGCAAATCCTTTGCAAAATTTTCATCACAAATCTTTTTTTGAGAAAAGTTTGTCTTAAATGTAGTATGGTACAATTGTGTGCAAGCACAACATTTCCACTAAGAAATAGTGAAAGTTTTGAGCTTGAAATCTGTATCTCCTTTACAGCCAAGCAGTACATCGTGTTAATAGTTTTTGGAGTTTTAATTTTTGGTCAGTTTATAACTACGCAGTTAACCACACAGTATGATTGTTTAATGTGTTGCCAGCACACATGTTGCATTTATAAGTCATCTGTACTAATTGAGTTGTTGGATCTTTTTTGCCGTAACTAATTTTATATATATATATATTTATATATATATATATATATATATATATATATATATTTATTTATATATATTTATTTATATATATTTATATATATATATATATATATATATATATATATATATATTAAATATATATATTGTATATATATATATTATATATATATATATATATATATATATATATATATATATATATATATATATATATATATATATATATATATATATGTATATATATTTGTGTGTATACACTACCTAACTTAATTATTTGAATGGCATCATTTATTAAAAGAATTCCTTCAATTTAACAATTTTTAGTTTTTTTTTTATAAAATAATTTAGGTAATATAAAAATATTTTGAATTAAACACTTTGATAAAAATCATGAAGTTAACAAACTGCTTGTTTAAATTGTTTGAAGTAAGGTTTAGCGTTTATATACATAAGTGTACTGTTTTGTTAATCACTCAATAATCATGTAATTATCCTTCAATTTAATAATTTAATATATATTTATATATATATATATATATATATATATATATATATATATATATATATATATATATATATATATATATATATATTTATATATATTTATTTATATATATTTATATATATATATATATATATATATATATATATATATATATATATATATATATATATATATATATATATATATATATATATTAAATATATATATTATATATATATATATATATATATATATATATATATATATATATATATATATATATATATATATATATATATATATATATATATATATATATATATATATATATATATGTATATATATTTGTGTGTATACACTACCTAACTTAATTATTTGAATGGCATCATTTATTAAAAGAATTCCTTCAATTTAATAATTTTTAGTTTTTTTTTTATAAAATAATTTAGGTAATATAAAAATATTTTGAATTAAACACTTTGATAAAAATCATGAAGTTAACAAACTGCTTGTTTAAATTGTTTGAAGTAAGGTTTAGCGTTTATATACATAAGTGTACTGTTTTGTTAATCACTCAATAATCATGTAATTATCAAGTCCGATATTTCCGTTAGTCATTCATAAATTGTGTCATAATCAAATCTGATGTATTTGGAAGATTATAAAATGTAAGCAACATAAACATTTAACTATTACTTTATATTTTATTTCAAGAGATTTATTTATGCTATAATTTTTCTGGAATTTCAATAGTTAGTCTTGCACTAATATTTTAATAATTTTTATAAATTGTTTTTATAAATATTTTTAAATGATAAATGGCGAGAAAAGATAAGAATTGACTGTAGAAAAATAACCAACTCAACAAACAACAAAGAAAAATAATCTGCAATATTCACATTGCGGCAAGAAAAATAATCAATATGTCAATATCCAGAAGAAAAAAAAGGGATTTGAGTTCAACAGTTTAAGTTATTATTTTAAAAAAATAATGAAACTGGTAATACAGGAAATACAAGAAATACAGGGGAAAATGACAAAAGAAGTGTTCTGAAAGTATGCATGACTTTTTAAAATGTCCAAGACATTTTAAAAAGTTATGCATACTTTCAGAAAGTCAAACTATTGGGGAGCCATTCATTTTTCAAAAAAATAACCAAAACATTCCTTAAAACTTTGCAATTACTTGAGTAAGCAAATGATCAAACAATGCTAATAAAATATGATCATTTTGCTAATAAAAAATACTGAAAGTATTTTTTATTAATTAGTTTTTTAAATAGTTTTTTTTTTTTCATTTAATTATTTTATAGTTAATATAATTATTTTATAACAATTCTTAATTTACACATAAGGCATTACAAAATGGTCAAAGCACAGTTGAACTTGAAAAAAGGTATGAAAGACAGCAAAAGGTTTTGGATGCCTCTTTTGAAACAGAGAAAACAGAGCACATTGCTGAGATAAACAAAAAAATCTATGAAGAATTTCAAGAAGTATTTAAGCAGAATCATCACCTTCTAATAAAAAAGGTATTTTAACTTTAGTTTTTTTTTTCAAAACATTGTATAAAAGTTGTATTGCTCAAGCTGTATATAGTTGTACAAACTAAATCAGTTGCTGCTGTTTAAATGTTTGCTGCATTAAAAGACCATATTCACAGTTTCCATAAAAAACTCTATTGCGCCTTTTCAAGTGCAAAAGAGGTTTTACAAGAAAATTTGGCCTAGGCATCATGTGTCATTAAATGGTAAACATTATTGATTAATGGGATGGCGTAAATGTGGGCCATGTGTGGCTATGGTATTTATACCACTTAGGTGGTAGCCAAGTATGGCCCACATGTGGCTAAGATGTTTATACTACTTAAGTATTAAAAATACCAGGACTATAATTATCTACACCATTCCATAAATCACTTGTGGCACAAATCAAGTTTTCCTGTCAGGTACACTCTTATTTCTTTCAGAAAGTGAGCTTGAAAATGTTAGTAAAATTAAATTTTACTAACATTTCCTAGATAAGATTATTTATACTGTTTGGAAAAAAGTTATGTTTAGATCAGAAAAAAAATACCACTGACATTAAAAATTAGTTTTGTTAAACAAATAATAAAAATTAATCCCTATAAATTTATTTGTTTAATATTTATATTACATTTATAGTATTTATAATACGATAATAACATTTATTCAATGTGATGTTATTTGGTTTTAAATCATTATATTTTAACCAATTTGAAGAAAACTTTGTGGCTCACCATCTCTGATTTTCTTGATTTTTACATATTGTTATGTGCATTATGTAGATGGGTTAAATTTGAAATTTCAGACTTCCAAGTACAACGGTTCAGAATTTATAGCCTTAGAAGCATGACACAGTTGGCCCTCCTCGATTTACAAATGGTCAAAACAGACTACTTTATAGCTGCATAACTTTTTTCTCACTTTCAAAAAAACCTCACTTTCACTTTCGTCTCATTTTTTCTAGAATTCATTTCTGGATAGTTCTCTATTTAAAAAATTGTTTTTTATTAACTTGTGTTAAACTAGAAAAAAATTATGACCTCCTCAACTTTGCAAAAATCCTAAAATTGCAAAAAATATGTTAAAATAAAACTAACTGTAACATTTTTCTATTCATCCACAAGTCTTTACAGATAAGTTTTCTGATTAGCTACTGTCTGCAATAAATGGGCAAAATATAGGCACCTTGTTGCAGTTTAAGAAGCAAATATATCTAAAAGCAAAATTTCCACTCACCTAAAAAGTTGAATTTTCAGCCATTTTGAGATGCTTGTAAATTTTTCTAATACTTTGTTTTGATCTAAGATTAACAGCATATAAGACCATTAGACCCAACTATCTGAAAATGAAAACATTATAAACTTGTAAAATCCACACCAAAAATGCCAGCATTTTAAAATAACCCTATTTTTCAATTATCAACGGTTGAATGTGTTACTATAAACCAGTGTCCCTCTAATCTGCCAACTGGCCTATGTTAAGGGTGCAACTAATTATAAGTCATTTCTTAATAAAAAAAAAGATATGGTTGGTTGTCCTCTTTTTGATCTGGTCTTTGTAGTAGACAGGGGCACAAATAAAGGGGGCAGTAACTTTTTAGAGATCTTTGTTATGGTTCAAATGAAGGTCTCTAAGTTAATTTAGATATTAAGATACCTAATATCTAAATATCTAAATTCATTTTAAAATGAAGCCATTATTTCTTTAAATTCTATTTTATTATAGGTAATCAGTGGTCTGGATGTGGTCTGGATGTGGTCTGGACCCCCCCCCCCACTGACTAAGATGATGGTGACCCACAGGCCATTGGTTGAAATATAATGATTTGACCCTTTAGTTCAAATTTAATAATAAAGCATGGGTTTAAATATTTTAAAACCTAAAGTAAGCATAACTTTTTTTTAGATTTTTTTAGCTTAATTTTTTTTTGATATACTGTTTCTAGATTGAAAATAACAAAAATGTTAAACCTGAAAAATTAATGGAAGCAATAGATGAGTTAAGAAAAAGTAGCTATAATGTTGCTGAAAAACTGGACAAAGAAATGAAGCACAGCATAGAAGAGTTTCAGGTTTCAAAATCTGTTATATTTGTCAATATGTTGTATATACATATATTCCGCACGTTTTGCTTGTTCTATTTTTTAAAGTATGTTTTGCAATATACAAATGTGTGATTAAATAATTTTAAATTTTTGAATATTTTTTTCAAGATAAAACTTGCAGCTCGTAAAGCTATGAGACAAAATAAGATCAAAGAAAAAGCACAAGAAGCTGCATTGAAAAAGTTATCTGATGCACAAAGTGAACTATTTATAAGAAACAGTTCTCAAATTTCCCACGAAGTAACTATTCCTCAATTTACCTTCGGAGTGTTACCAGAGAAGCAGGTCTTCTTTATTTATTTATTTTTTACTTTTTCTACATTATTTCATGCTTATTATTTTTTGATTTTTTTATTTTAAAATTATTTATTTGTTTTTTTACTATAATGATTTATTTATTTTTTTATTTATAATCTATTGTTGTGTGTGTGTGTGTTTACAAACTTATGAGTATATACAAACAATCAAAAAGATTATTACCATTTATTATTTTTTTAGTTTTTTTTTTTTAAATTATTAATTTTTTATTTTTTATTATTTATTTACTGTTATTTATTTGTTATTTACAATCTATTTTTTGTGTTTTACAAACTTATAAACAATTAAAATGACATATTAGCAGTTAAACAAATAATCATAATAATAGCTAAACCTGTTATTTGCTTATTCAAAAATCCAATTTATGATATTATGGGTATCAAAAAAAGTTCAACAGATATTTTTTTATACTTTATGCATATATGTTATATGTTTTATGTATAAAGTAGGCTATGCATTTTTTAACCACAACAAAGAAACAAAAATAAGAGAAGCATTAAATTTCAAAATCACCACAACATTTATGCATTAGCTGCTATTACTCTAAAATAAAAAAACGAAAGAGAAAGAGTTTATATTGAAGAGAAAAAATTTATATTGAAATAGTTTTCTCAACCATTAATTTTATTTAATTTGATTTTTAATTTAATATTTAATTAGTCTTAATTTTATTTACATTTCTTTTACTCTCTGACAAAAAAATGTCAACAGTTAATAAGTGCCAGTTCTGCTAAAAAATTTAATTTTGTTTTATAACCACCATTTTTAAACTAAGTTAAAAAAAAAAAAGTTCAAATTTTGTTGATTAAGTTACACAAATTAAAGTTAGGGGGTTTAAATTCTTTCAAATTAAAGTTAGGGGGTTTAAGTTCTTTCAAATTAAAGTTAGGGGGTTTAAGTTCTTTCAAATTAAAGTGAGGGGGTTTAAACTCTTTCTTTTCAGCATTTGTAAATGTATGATCGGTTGTTGAAATTTTATATGCATTTTAAAACAGTTGTTGAGATCAAACTTTGGTAAATCAAGTTCTAGTATATCTTTGCATTTACTAATTGTAATGATCTGATTCATTATTACTGGTTGCAAATTTACTACTTGTAACTTTAATGATCTGATTTACTGTTGTAGATTTTGCAGAATCATTTTCGATAGCTTTTTTTGTTTTAGTATTTTCACATTAGTTATGTTTTCAAAATAAAAATAAGTTACTTCGAAGAAAATGATGTTTTTTTATACAAAAAAATTAATTTTTATTTAGGATGTTGAGCTATCAGTGTATTATTTGAATCTGTTTTCAATTAAACCATTTAGAGTATTAAGTATTTTGTCTAGACCAGGTGGCTTTTCATAACTTAGGGCTTTTTTAATAAAATGTCTTTGAAACTGTATTTATAGTATAATATCTGATACATGACTTTGTATTTCAATCAAGTGAACTGTTGTTTGGTAATGATTTTCAACAAATCAAAAAATTTTCCAATTAACATTCATTTTTTTCCATCTATAAAAAAAATTAAGTGAGTATATATATGTAGGTGTTTTCTATGGTTCTAGCATGTTATTTCTGCTGTTTTGCATCTTCAAAAATAAATTCAACTTTTTTTCTTCCTTTTTATGCTGCTCTTCATCTAATAACAATGTATTTTACATTAAGGTGTATTATATGCATGGTGTAAGGTGTAATGTGTGTGTTCATATTCAGTTTCCTTAATTGAAATTTGAATGCTTAATAAAAAATCTGAATGTGTAATAAAAAATTTGAATGTGTACTAAAAAATTTGGTTTGATTAAGTTAATTATTATGTTAAATTTCAAAATAGACTATATCAAGTTAAGACATAAATTTTCAGATAAATTTTTCATAAGTTTTTAGATGAATTTTTTTTTTTTTTTAAATGATTAAACACAATTTTTATTTTTTTATTTAAGTAGCTTTCACACTGAAATAAAAGCAAGTGTTAAACATTAGTTAAAAAAAAAGTAAAACAAATGAAAACAGGGATTCAACTTATTCAACTTCTCAACACATTTTCTTGACCTAGTGACATTGCCAACATAGTTTTATGTTGTTTTTTTAAAGATTTGTCATTTCACTTTGTTTGTTTAGACTATCCTTGTTGAACAACAACGTGTAATTGAAGATTTAAAAAGAAAGCATGCAGAGGATGCAGAAAAACTAAATTTAAAAATAGAAAATGATAATCAAGCACAAATCAGAAATGAAATGCAAGAATTCCAAACTAAAAAAGATAAAACTTTGCGAGAAGTTATGAGCAAGCAAGCGGCAGAACTGAGTACTCGAAAGAATCTCTCTACTGAAGAAGTTCAAAAGGTTGTTATATGTAGTTTTGTTTAGCCAAAACAAATCACAAATTAAAACAAATGATAATGATGATGACGACGATGATGATAATGATGATGATGATGATGATGATGATGATGATGATGGTGATGATGATGATGATGATGATGATGATGATGATGATGATGATGATGATGATGATGATGATGATGATGATGATGATGGTGATGATAATGATGATGATGATGATGATGATGATGATTAAAGTTATATTTTTTTTTATATAGTTGATTACCAATCATGAGCAGGAGTTAAGAAACATTGTAGAGCGTTTGGAGACAGAACAAGATATACGTCATCAAACATTGAACAAAAAACTGATGGAGAGAAAGGAAGCAAGGGGAAAAGCCCTGAAAAAGATACAAGAAAATGAACTTGCTCGTGAATATCTTGAACAAAGCAAAGAACTCGTCGATGTTGAAATTAAAGCGGTACTTTGCAACATTTTTAAAAATTTCTGAAATTTAAAATTGAAAGTTGTTAAAAATTAGAAATTGATATTTTGAATAACTACTAAATTGAGTTATGCAATTAATTTTCATATTACATTTGTTTAGTTTTGTTAATATAACATTTTTTTTTTTTAAAAAGGTAAAAGATTTAGAACGAGAAACCATATTAAAGCTTATAAATGAAAATGGAAACCAGTCTATTGAGTACATTATTAAAATGGTAAAATCACAATTGTTTTTTTTTTATTCCTTTTTTATTATAGTAAAAAGTATTTCATGAATTTTTATCATATATATATCCGCTTTTTATGTTATTTTTTATATATACATTTTTTATATTTTTAAATTATTCTGGTCATCTTTATTTAGGTTATTGAACAGCGCCAAAATAAAGAATATGCAGAGCTTGAGAAAATATACAATAGTGAAAAAAGTGTTGCTGTAGATGATGTTATTTTGAAATTAAGAGAAAAACATTTGTTTGAAAGAGAGCAACTGATTGTGAAGCATGATGAAGAACTTAAGGAACTTCAACGTAATTTTTTTAATGACTTTTTGTGGAAGAAAAATATATACAGAATATATATATATATATTCTGTATATATATATATATATATATATATATATATATATATATATATATATATATATATATATATATATATATAAATATATATATATATATATATATATATATATATATATATATATATATATATATATATATATATATATATATATATATATATATATATATATATATATATATATATATATATATATATATATATATATATATATATATATATATATATATATATATATATATATATATATATATATATATATATATATATATATATATATATATATATATATATATAGGAAATTAAATTAATTTTTTTATTAGCTAAAAAATAAATTACTATTGGACCAATAATAGTAATTGTGAGAAAGTAGAATGTACAATGGAGAATTTTGTTGTTAAAATAACATCAAAATTTATCATTTGCTTGATTTGATGGTCAATTTTTAAAATTTAAATATTTTAACATAAAAAAAATGCTATTAAAAGAAAGTGAAGTATTTAAATACACAATATAATATTATTATTTAATATATAATATTTGCTGTATAAAAAAGTGTGTAATCTTTTGTATATTAATTAATTTTAATTGTTACTTGTAACAATTTTTGTTTCAGGTTTTTAGTTTTCACTAATTATTTTTTATTAAGAAAATTTTATTATGCTAAGACACTAATAAATTTGATAAAGTTTCGAGCTTTTTGTAGTGAGGTCTTTCTCTTTGCTCAATCTATATATACCACTTTGCTGAAAAATAATCTGCAATTCGCTCTCATAAGACTGGTTTATTACCAACTTGCATGCAATTTAATTTATAACAAACACTTTTTTGATGAATAAAAAGCTGCTTTATGATGTTGTGACGAATTTTGTTCCTGAAAACCATTCATTCTAACTTAATATGTTAAAATCGAAATTTGTTTTAAATTCTGTTAATACTTTAAAACAATTCTTTTTACCAGTTCTTTTTATTATTTAAAAAAAAAATAATAATCATTAATAAACTCTTGCGTTAACCTTATAATTTCTGACACAATATAATTTTGGTATCTTTTAGTACAATTTTGATTAGTTTAGTAATGTGTTGAAATATAATTCTTTCTTATTTTGATTATCAAAATACCTTTTATTGAATAGGAAAAAAATTTGAAATCTGTTTTCGTAATATTTTAATTTAATTTATTCCATGTCCAATAAGTAACTAAAAAAGGTTAATTAGTTAATTAAAAATTAAATAAACGATTAATAAATGAAATAAATGAACATAAAATTTAATTATTCATTTTAAAATTTTTAAAATTTAAAGTAGACTAAACTATTTAGTTTAGTCTACTTTAAATTCAAAAGCTGTTACAAATAAAAACATTTTTATCAAAAGTAATTTTTACATTTTTCATATTAAAAACATTTAATATGAAAAATGTAAAAATTTCAAAACTTATGGATCATTTTTGTGCAAAGTTAAAATTTTGGTTAAAAGTATGATTTAAGAGAACTGGGGTCTGGTCTTCTTAAATTGTACTTTTTGTTAGCTCTATTGAAATGAAATGATGCTAAAGTTGTTTTTTACTGTTTTATAGCTTGTGATTTCAACTTTGACAGTAGTCATGCCAACTTTGTCAGTAGTCATGCTAACACTGCTTTCACAATATTACCTAGTCTTAGTTTTTACTTACACAATCTTAGTTTTTAGTTTTTATGAATAATTGCTTTGTTATTTATTATTTGTTACATTATATTTCGTGAAGCTTGTGTTAGATTCTTATTATTATGGTTGAAATTTGTCATTGGTAAATCATCTCTTGTTTTCTATTGATCTAGTTGGTATGTAAAAAAGTAATACAACAGAACTACCACCAAATGATGTAAACAATATGGTTAATTCTATATAGCTCAATATATGACTTAAATATATATGGCTCAAACAGATACTTCAGCAGTTAACTTTTGGCAGTAGAACAAGAATTTCAAAAGACTAATTTGTTTTTAACTTTTATTAAACTGGTAGCCATATTTAACCATTAAGGTTGCATGTTGAATAAACTTTCTGAAACCTTCTGTTTGATCAATAGATGAATCAAGATCTTCTTTTTATTTTTTAACATCTTCGCTTCCAACAAGGCTGCAAGCAACCACTAATTAGTGTTGGAAGTTACTGGAAGAGAAAAGATGAAGATTGTAGAGGGAGATAACAATTGACAGGCGACTTAAAAGATTGCAAATTATATGAATCAGGAAAGCAAGATAAAGGAAGCGAATTCCAAAGAACTGATGTTCGAGGAAAAAAACTAGACAAATAAGAATTTTTGGAGCACTTAGGAACAGTAACAGAAAAAGGATGAGACTTAATTGAATGAGGAGTAACACGAGAATTAATTTTAGTAGATGGCACAAGAGACGCTAGCTCTTTAGAGCAGTGCCCATTATAGTATTTGTAGAAAAGAGAAAGAAAAGCAACATTACAACGATGTGACAGAGGTTGAAGGTTGGCTGCAAGAGCAGGTCTAACTATGTTTACAATGCGTTTTTGCACCTTGTCTAAAAGAGAAAGGGCATCATTAGAAGATCCACCCCAGATATGGCAACAGTATTCTATACAAGGCCGGATTTGAGATTTATAGGAATAGAGAATAGAATCTAGAGTGAGAAAGTGTCGAGCTCGATAAAGAGAAGCGACTTTAGCAGATGCTAATTCTGCAACAGATTTGATATAAGGTTTCCAAGAAAGATCAGAAGTAAGAGTTAATCCTAGAAGATGAAGGGTAGATGACTCATCGAGTACATTACCGTTCATAAATATAAGAAGATCTAAATTATTGCAATAATGATTGGCTGAAAAAAATTGAGTTATCTGAATTAAAGTTCACCAGCCACTGTGAGCCCCATGCTGTAGCAGAAGTGAGATCCTTTTCAAGCTCAAATGCCCCCTGCAAGCAATAAGAGGGAGTTGGCTTCTTATTGTGACAAGAATAAGTGGTAGTATCATCAGCGAGCAATGCCACCTTAGATGTGAGAAAATCTGGAAGATCATTAAAGTAAATTAAAAAGAGTATATGGCCAAGGATTGAACCTTGAGGAACCCCTGAGGTTACAGAATAAGAAGAAGAGTACTGTCCATCAAGGACAGTACTTTTATACTACGATTGGAAAGGAAGGATTCAATAATCTTAAAGATATTTCCAGATACACCGTAAGAAAAAAGCTTATGGAGAAGACCAGCATGCTAAACTTTATCAAACGCTTTAGAAATGTCAAGAGCGATAGCCTTAACCTCTCCACCTTTATCTAATGTGCGATAAAACCTATTGGTTTTATCTATCTAACCTAACTAACCTAGTCTAATATTGCTAAGCCATTACAAAAACGAAAATAGCATTGAAAGATTTTTCAAATATTTGAATGAGGTATACAAAAAAATAAAGTTCATAAACAGTAAAAATCATTCTAAATGTATAATTTTGCTAATTTATAGAGAAGTTTAAAAGTTCTACCTCATAATATAGAATCAATTTTTAAAACTATTATATATTTTTCAAACTATGAAACCTTCATCAAAATTATTTAAATAAACAGTTTAGTTTTCTTAATTGAATCTCTAAAAATGTTTATGTGTATTATCATTTTAAATATTTTAATAAAATGTCATTTTACTACTACTCAGCCCTTGGAATTTGAAAAAATTAGGTCAGCAATAAGTTTTTTTGTGTGTGTAAAATATTGTTATGGTAATACAAAGGTTTTATCATAAAATGTAGAAACAAAGTCAGTAAAAAAATGGCGTCCTCAGACACATTTTGGTCAGCATCGCTGAATGTTGACCCTAATTGGCTTAGAGTGGAATGACTGGAATAACTGAGGACTGTATTACTTGATGATTTATATTCTTAAAAACTACTTGCAGAGAGCTACCTTTTTCATAAAATAATTTTTTTTTTTATAGAAATAAAAACTTTTTGTTAAAAAATATAAGTCTTTTCTTATGTCAATTTTTTTCTCACTAGTAAACTTTTATAGTAATTTTATGCATTTTATTTGAGAGCAAATTTGTTTAAAATACTATCATGTAAAAATGTGTAATAGGTATACTGATATTCTAGTTGCTGCTTACAAAAAAAATTTTAAAAAATTTAAGAAAATTTTAATTTTATTTTTAAGGAGAAGAATCACAAAATGAGGAGTTTCAATTTTTAAATGTGCAACTTTTGAACAAACAACAGATTGAATTAAATGCATTTGGTAAAAGTCAATTTAATGAGAGAAAAGCTTTGAAAAACAGAACATCTGCTGATTTTGAACTTCGTTTTGCAAAGAAAAAAATTGAAATGAAAGAGACTCATTACAAGGTTTGTATTTAAGTTGAAGTAATCATTTTACATAATGAGTTTATTTCATTACTCTATTATTTTGAAAAAAACATCATAACAGTATAGCTAATCCAAACATTTTCCCATCATACATTGTTTTTTATATTAAATTGATAGTTATAATAAATATAAAATTGTTTATATTTTTTATAAACAATTGTATACTTATTATAACTATTATTATAACAAATTAAACAAATAATAAAGTTTAAATCAAAATCCGCCATTTTTTATTGTTCTTAACAACTAAATGATAGAAATTCCTAAAAGCTACAGAAGAATTTTAAAATTAAACTGAATTTTATAAAGTATTCATCAATCCTGATTTAACCATAGCTGAACAATGCAAAACTAAGTTATTACATGAGGAGTGTAAGCAAAAAAGTTCTGAAAATTCAGAATTTTATTTTTCTTATACTCCTTTATGTTTTTTGTTACGGCATAGAAATAAAAAAAAATTGTAATATTTAACAAATAGCAATCATTTCATAATCGCATGAACATAAAACATTTTAGTCACGGTTTATTATTTTCTTTTAAAATTGCTACTTTGTTGCATAACAGTCAAGTATCATAAATTCAAGCAAATAATGCCTAGTCGCTTCAAACAACAAAAAAGGTATTAAATAATCTAACAGTTCAAATCTTATTAAGCTAAATAAGAAAAACAATTACTCCATCCATTCAATAATTACTCCATCCATTCAACCAAATCCATTCAACAGTTTTTCAGTTTATCTTTTTAATGCTTTTCAAATTCCAACAAATTAAATAAATTTTTTTCTGTTAGTTGAATCAAACAAGCCTGGCTTAATTTGTGTTTGCAAGACTTTTTTTCAACAATGAACTCATAATTTTTTTACTTTTTTTAATTTTTTTGGTTTTTCTAAAATTACTCTATTTATCATAAAGACTGAATACAACTTGGCCGTGGTGTAGCCACGGATACTGCAGAAATGGCATTGATTTTACCCAAAACTTATTCCACAAATTGACACAGATAACAACATCATTTGTATTGTCAACATTAATGTTTTGACGATTGTATCTTGATTAAATGCTATCAATTATTACCAATTTGTGCCATTCTGCTACACAATTTATTATTGTTGGAAATTTGAATTTACTGAAAATTGATTGACTTAACTACATTTTGCTAAATGAAAAATGTTATATTCATTTTTTATCTTTAGTTAATAGTCTTGGAATGTACAAATATTGGAAAATTTATTATTGCAAAAGCAAAACTTTAAGCAAAAACAATATTATTGACCTCTTTTTTTTAATCCCATTTCCCTTTTATGTAACATTACGGTTGAGTGTCCTTTTAGTACAAGTGACCATAACTCTGTCTTCTTATATATATTAACACTTTAATTTAAAAAGAGTCTGAAAAAAATATACACTTTTTTACAATTTTAAAAATACCGATTGGTTTATTTCTTACTTTTCAAAAATAAACTGGGACTAAAAGTTTTCTTTTGTTTTTACAACTGAATAGTATATGTTTTCAGATCACCTGCGTATTGGTATTGATTGTTCAGATCACCTGCGTATTGGTATTGATTGTTTTCAGATCACCTGCGTATTGGTCACCTGATTGTTTTTTTCCAATCAGAACAGCATATTGTAACACTTTCATCCAAATTATTTATCAAATGTTAGTTCAAAAAACATTTTTATGGAAAAGGTGATCCAATCCTAAACCAATTTGAATAAAAAAGCATTGATTAGATACGCATCTAAATGTAATAAAGTTGTATTTACACACCACAGGAATCTAGAACTCAAACTTGTTGAAGATAATAAAACTTGTAAATTTTTTTAGTTACGCAGATAAAAGTTTACATAATCCAGAGAATATCCTCAAAAACCAAGTTAACTACAATATTAAGCAATATTAATATTGGTGAAGTATTTACAAACACTTTGAAGTGTTTTTATGGTAGATAATGGTTGTTTGCCTAATACAAAAAAAAATTTTAAAAGTTTATTAAATTGGTTGTTGCTTTGATAGCATTTTTAATATTGAGTCACGGTGCAGTGACTTAATAATAGTAAATTAAAACTCAAGCTGGTATAAAAAGGTTTCGGCAAATTAATAAATATCTAACTTAAAAATACAAACATATTATTTTACATAAAAGAAAAAACACAATAGTTATCTAATAGCAGCAATAAGTGATAAGAATCAGCACTCAGCAAGAATATAGCCATCAGGTTCAAGTTTCTAATAAAAGTTTATTCTGATATAGTAATCTGTCTGATACACAATCTAATGATGTAATAAGTAATGATAATTAAAACTAGTTTTTGGTACAAATATTTTGATGGAACTCTGAGAATTGACTAGAAAAATATAGTTTAAATATTTTAATGGAAAATAACTGTTTAGAAAGAATTTTCTAAAGTTTTGTGAATTCAGGGGTCTAGATCATTTATTTACTAGTCGAGAAGGAAACATCGTAATAGCAGAGCTAATCAAGATGAGATCCCTTTGTACTGTAAAATTGTACCCACTTTTTTGTACAAATTGTACAAATCTTTTTTATACAAATTGCAAAAATTGTGTAATACAAAAAAATTATAAAATTTTTTAAAAGTTTGTTAAAAACTAATATTCATAAAACTTAGCACATCGTTTGGTCCTGATGGTATAATATGTATTCGGCTTTTGCTTGCAATTCAATCAAGTTTTACTTCACTATCTAAACAGTGGCTTACTATCTAAACAGTGGCTTCAAGCTTCCCCAATCTTTAAAAAGAGGTCCACCTCAGATGCAAATAATTATAGACCCGTCTCTCTTACATTTACTGTCATGTCATAGGAAGTATTATTAGTTTAAAAATTACTGACTATCTAAATTACTGACTATCTAAAAAGAAGTAATGTAATAACACCTGATCAACACCGTTTTTTATCTAAAAGATCTACCTGCGCAATAGGATAGATCATCTTTCCATTTTTTTTGTTTAAATTAGTTTGGATAGCAAAATAACGTTGCTCTAACATCTAAATATCATTAAAATTAAAAAAGAAATTAAAGTTATTTTTTCCTTCTTTTGCTGCTGTCTAATTGAAAATAAGCCATTTTTGATATTACAATATATGATATATGAAAATTTCTGCTCTACAAAAAATGCAATAGTTTTGTTGTTTTCTGGTCAAACCTTTAAGATTGCTTTAAAACTCAAAATTTTATGCAGTAAAATGATTACGTTAGCACTAGAATAACATTTCTTACAATACAAGTTAGCAATACAAGTCTTTTTTGAATGTTGTTTACAAATTTTTTTAAATGTTGTTTTATATGTACCTTTTATTGTATTTATTATTCTTTTCTAAAGAAGTTGAAGAAAAAAAAAGAAGTTTTATGAAGAAAAAAAAAGAAGTTTTATGAAGAAATAAAAAGAGCTTATTAATCAATTATTCCAATTATTTTTGTAAAGTGTGGAATATACTTTCTAGATAAAAGTTTTGCTCTAATGTATTCGTCTCTTCTCATTTATCTGGATACAGCTGCCGATGCTTTTGTAACCAATTGAACTTGTCTTTCTACATTTTGAGAATGGCATGAAAAATGATCTAAAGTTAATTTTTGCATATTTTGTATTGCCTTTTCAATGAAAACATCACTTAACTCTTTTAACATGGTGGAGTTCTTGGAAGTTCCTCCCAATTTACAAGACTATGGTAAACTGCATTAAAGTTTGGAAGAGGCATTTTGAATTTTCTTACTTCTCTAGATTTTGAAACTGTGCGTTGTCTCGCAAATTTAATTCTTCTAGCTGCTAATTCTCTTCCTTTTTTTTCGTTCATCCATAAACATTAATATCAAAATATTTTCTGGTATTTTCTCATTTCCATGCATTTCTTTGAATGCATTTATCAACTATAAATCAAACACTTTCACAAAGGAAGCGAGAGAATTGAATTAAGCGCTACAAGTATTTTGCCCTCAAGTAACATTGAGGCTCCAGTATTATAAAGAATCACACCAGTGCATAAACTGAAGAATGTAATCAGTAAATATTACAAACTTAGTAGGTGGAGGATTGTTTGCAACATAGAAACAAAGGATTCGATTTGTTGTTGTCAGCTATCCAGAATGAACCAACTGGCCAGGTTTTTATTTTTCTAGGCTTTCTTTCACCTCACCTATTTCTATTGCCTTACAAATGTTATAAAGATACTGTTGATCTTTACTAATATTATTTTTCACAATCTCATGTAGAACGTTTGGTAAGTTATTCTGTCTGACATTAAATTTGACAATTTTCAACTTGTGACAATTTGTAAGTGCTTTCCCAATGTTGCCACTAAATGCAGTAGGTCCTGAAGTGGTACCATCTAAATGCTTTATTTAATTTCTCAATGGTAGTTCATTAAAATGGAACATACCCACTAACCATTAAACTGGATATCCCAAATGCAGTTCCACCAATCTTATTACACCATTGTTCACACCAGTATTTATGTTGGCTTCATCAACGTCAATAGCTAACACCTAATCAAGTGACATTTTGTTTCCATCAAAAAAATCTATAATAGCATTCTTGATACTTGTTGATGATGCATTTGATGGATAAATATGATCAAGAAAAATGGAATGAGGTTTTTCAATTAATGCGATATGTCCTTCAGTGGTTATGTCTTTACTGCTAGTTTTTAATGCACAAAGATTTTAATCTTTTTTCCCATCAAATAAAATTGATATTTGGCCTACTGAATACATAGTCAACTTTGCTTTATGTGATAATGTAGTGCTAAGCAATCGTCTTTGGCGCCTTAACTTGGTTCGGTCTATGATAGCTTTTCGGTCATATTTTTTTATAATTCTGTAATCTGAAAGTGTAGCAGGTTCAATTGCATCATATACTACCATATCTGTCCAGCTACATCATATGCAGCATATCTGTCACATTCTTTGGCAATTGTTGGAAACTTTATCATACTTCTGTCAGATTCACTAGGTAATTCACAGAAATCTGACAACTGATTGTCATCAATATTGTTCTGAGTGTTATTTATAAACTCCTTCTTACCAGAATTAATTTCTGCTTCTATATCAGAAGTGATACTAACTGATGCTTCCAGACTGCTTTTACTAGACAACAAAAATCATAGTATTTCTGTCACTTTATGCTTCTTTCAAATGCATTGGTTAATTTAAAAGCTTTTTCTTTATCTAAAGGACCAATAACCATATTTCTTTCATTTCTTTGATCCATTAAAAACTCATGCTCAAGTACTGGCACTTTTAATTTTCTTTAAATTAAAACAATGACATGCTGCAATATCAAACAAACTAAATCTTAGCGATTGATACTGCTGAAGTCTTTGATTCACCTTTTCTTTTAAGAATCGTTCTTAAATTATTGTGTACAAATTCTACTTTTTGCTGCACTCTTTGCATTGTAACAGTTGGAATACCAGATTTCAACCAAATGTTCATAACATTTTCAGAAACTCTAGAAACTATTGTACTTGACTTTGTAGTCCTAGGAAGTTGTTATTTAACAAAAAACAGTTAACATTGCAACAGTTCTAGGAAGTTGTTATTTAACAAAAAAACAGTGCTGCATGACTTCCTTAACAGTTGCAAGTTTGCGAGTAATAAGTTCACATTTGATGCCAGAAACAGGACAAGTCAGCTGTGCTCTTGTAACAGCCATAGTTTGCCACAGAAATCAAAATATTTTTAATTTTCTGAATATATACTTTATTCAATTTGCAAAAAAAAAATTCTAGAAATAGATTTAAATTCAATAAATCATATACAGATGGACTATTTGATATATATGTGGATATTGGTAATCTTCATAATATTAATAATACAATAATCTTCCCAGACTAATAGTATACTAATCTTTATATACTAATAAATAGTAAATTTTTCCACAATTTATTTTGAAATAAATAACAATAATTTTAAAAAGTGTTAGTTAGAATCACTATAATTTATATAGTAATTATTTAATTAATTAATTAATATTTAGTAATTATAGTAACTAAATATTTATAACTATATATATTTATATATAGTTATAAATATTTAGTTACGGAGTAATTTAAAACTATAAGAAAAGCCTAAAAATCTTTAAATAAATAAATAATAATAATTTTAAAAAGTGCTAGTTTGAATCATGAATAGATAATTAAAAAAGTGGTTTATAAATCCAGCCATAGTTTTATTTTTGAAAATATTGAAAAAATGATGATCAAATACCAATAAAAAATCTGAAAATGAACAATATAAGTCCCCTAACGAAAAAAGAAAGCCAAAAATAACTTGATTACTATTCTATTTTTGTTATATCATCCAATGGTCACAATTTACCAGAATTTAAAATAAACTTTAATATGTTTAGAACAAAAGTTTAATAACAATAAAAAAATAATATAACAATAAAAAGCTTAAAAATGCACAAATATGGTAAAACAATGTCTTTTAGCAACAAATGAAGACAAATAAAGTTAGGTTTTTTTTTCCTAAAACAAAGAAATAATATGAATGAAAATTGTTTTAATGAAATTATTTTTAAGGTTCTTAATCATTTAATTGATAGAATTGTTTTAATGAATGGAAAATGAAATTAAACCATGTTTTAAAGTAATACAGTTATTGTAATAAATGCAAAAAACTTCTTAAATTTTGCTTGATGTTTCAGTTTTGTTTTCAAAAAAAAAAAACTATTATTGAGATCTTACACCTAATATGATGAAATCTTATTATCTACCTAATATGATGAAATCTTATTATCTACCTAATATGATGAAATCTTCATTTTGTTTTTTTGTCTTTGTGCTTGGAAAACTATAAAACAGAAAAATATCTACAAAGAAAGTTTTTTTTTAATTTTGTTACTACTGTTTTTTAATTATCTAACGGAGATAGATTGTATCAATAATGGCCACATTTTGACTGTTTTTTTTTTTCAATAGTTTACTAAATACAAGACCTTACAGATTTTATTCAAGATTATAGATTTTATTCAATTATTCATTTTTATTTCTTTTCAGATCATCTATTTTATTTTATTTTTTTTTTTCTTTTTTTTTTTTTTTTTTTTTTTTTTTTAATATTTCAGCATCTTTTTTAAATGTTATGCTGATTTTTAATAAATTAATAAAAATTTATTTTTTAAATTAAAGGAGTTTGCAGAATACCTTCATGAGTTTGTTCCACATAATACCGATTTGATTAAAAAAACACAGCAGTCTGTTAGTGAACTTGAAGAAGTCAAACACAAATTAGAAGATCAGAAAAAAGAAATTGATGAAAAGATGAAAAAAGAAATGGAAGGTAAAATAAAATACTTCTCTAATTTTTATTTTGTGTGTTCAGAAGATTCCAAAAGACATTTTATCTATTTTTTTTCAATTTTGACAAATGTCTGGTTTGTTTAGTTTATAGTTTTGGTTTTTTTAGTTTTTCAATTTTTGTTGAAACCCCAAACATATATGGTTTACTTATGGTCAGCCATTAAAAAACTTTTTTGTTAAAGTCTGTATAAAGATATATAAGATAGATAGTTTTGTTTAGAATTTGAAAAAGTGGAAAATGAAAGAGTTCAATTAAAACTGTCAGAATATCAAGCTCAAATTGATAAGGAAATTGAAGAAGAGAGGTTGAAAAATGAAAAAATTATACAAACTTTGAGTTCTCGGAAAGATGCTCTTCTACATGGAAAAAAGGTTTTTGAAAAACTAGAAATCATATATATGTTATTTATAATATATAAATTTTATTATACTTATTTAAAAAATTTTTTACAAAATGCTAATGAAAAAATTTTATAAAATAGTTTTTTAAAATATGCAGGAAAAAGTAAAGGAAGAAATAAAACTACTCGTAGAACGAGGTGCTTCTCAAGAAGATCAAGATGCGTTACTTAAAGAACACAACAAAGATCTTGCTAAACTTATGAACAAAATGGATTCAGATCGGTTAAGAATGCAAAGTCAGTTAGAAAGAAAGTAATCATTTTATTTACTATATCTTTTTTTTTTCTGAAGTCTCAACACTATTATAAATATTTTTTGTTAGTACAATATTATAATGATAAAATGTCACTTTTATCAACCAACATTCTTTTAATTAGATAATGAAAAAGTTGTAATTTTTTAATTTGAACTAATTTGCAAACAACATCTTCATATTAATGAGAAATAATTAAAGTATATTTTGCATATATTATTTATTTCATAAAGTATATTTTTCATATATTATTGAATGCATAAAGTATATTTTGCATATATTTTTGATTGCATAAAGTATATTTTGCATATATCATTTTTTGCATAAAGTATATTTTGCATATATTATTGATTGCATAAAGTATATTTTGCATATAAGATTGATTGCATAAAGTTTTATTACTTAAAACTGACTTAATTCAATAAAATTTTAAGAAAAAACAATTAAATAAAAAAGTTTACAGAAAAATAAATGTAAAAATTTTATTGAATCAAGTCAGTTTTAAGTAATAACTGTTTAAAATTTTATAATAATACAGTTTTGTTTTACAAAGCTGTATTATTATAAAATTTTTAATTGCTTTTAAATTGCTTTCAGACTTGAAAAAAAGCGTGAAGAACGAAGCATGAATAAATTGAAAGAAGTGCAGCTTCAATTAGAAGAGAAAAAAGAGGAATTTCTTGAAACTTTGCATAGCAAAGAAGAACAATTAAATGTAGAAAATGGCTTAGCATTACAAAAAACATTAAACGTTGACATTTTGTTGCTTACTCCTGGAGAATCAGATGATGATGAACATGTAAAGGTTTTTATATATTTTTTAATATATATATATTTAATATTTATTTTGTAAAATTATTATTCAAGTAAATAATACTTGTTTATTTGTTTATATTTCAAAATTAATTGTGATGTTTAGTTACCAGTTTCTTATCAAATGGCAGCACCAATGGGTGACTTAGAAATTACAAAATTACTTATGGATTCACCATTGTATAATGCACTGCTTCGTGTTAAAGGAAAACTATCTATGGAGATGAAATCTTTGGAAACATCTTGTAAGCAATATGACTCTAGTACTTTTAAAAAACATTTAAAAAAAATATATATATTAAATAAATGTTTGTGTTAAATAAATGAAAGAAATAATTTTAGACAGTTATAACAACTATTGTCACTTTTGCAAATATATTTATAAAAAACTAAAAATAAATATTTTAGGATCATTTTTAAAAAATAAAGTTTATCTTTATATAATGTGATGGTTGTTAAAGTATTTTTTAGTGTCTTTGAACTTATTTTATTAGTTATATATCTTGAAATTTATCTTGAAATTTATATTTTCTATTATCTTAAATAATAAAATTTTTTTGTAAATTTTTTATTGAAATATTAATAGTTGGTAATATAATAGTTTATACATTTTTACTTTTATTTTTTTAGCATCTAACTGTGATATGCCCAACAACATTTCCAAGTATGAAAAAAAAAGTTTAAACAATAATCTTGTACCTGTAGACTTAAGTAAAATGAGTGCTCGTGATTTTATCATATACAAATTTTCATGTTTTATTCGGGATTTGCTTATTGTTCATTGTGCTCATAAACCTGTTGACATACTTATGGCTGATGAACTTCCAGAAAATACTTCACTTATGGGTAATTCTTACAGAAATTCTTTTTTTTACGATTCTCATAACAGAATTCTCTACATGCGACATAAAGATTTGGATAAAATTGGAGAGTTTGTATTGGTTCTAGTGCACACATTGTCACATGTGCATGTTGAAGACATGCGAAATGATCAAGATCCAAAGTTTTTACAAGAGTTCCACAAAGCTTTGGGTGTTGTTTTTTTCGATTTATTTTTATCTCGTTTCCGACGCTTTAATGCATTAAATGAGGCATTATTGAATTTTCCAGAAGAAACTACTCAAAATGAACAAAAGAGTAAAATGATATTAGAAAATTTGTTTGGTGCCGCTCACAATCAACATGATCGAGAAAATCTTGTTGACTCCTTGTTGGATAGTAAACTACTTCGATCTCAAAATAGTGGTGAATTGTTTAGTCATGATGCAATATTTCAAAGGCTAAGTAAATACACTGATTATGTTGTTGGAAACAAACTAAAAAGTTTTCTTGGTGAAGTTGAAGAGAAATTAAAAAATGCTAAATATCAGGGAACTCAAACTGAAATTGACCGGCGTTTATTTCAATTAAAGGTATACTTTAGCAATATTTACCATGATTTATAATAATTACATAATTATTTACAGTAGTTTACAGTAAAGTTAATTAATTATTTATCATAATTTACCATAACTACATAATTATTTAATATAATTTAAGTAAAAAGTTAAGTATTTTGTAATAAGTTTGCTGAGTAATAAATGTGATCATCACATTTAATGGTAAATAACCATAAATTAAGGTAAAATTAAATTAAAAAAAACAACAACAATAAATTTAACTTCAATTTTTGTAATGTGTTAAAAAATTTTAAACAGATTGCTAACAAGTTTGTTTGTGACAAAGATAACACAGTGTAATACATTTATTGTTTTCTGGTTTTAAGTGTTTTTTCCTGATTTTTTTATATGCTGATTAGGATATGTTATATGCTGATTATGATTTGTTATATGTTGATTATGTTTTGTTATATGCTGATTATCATGTGTTATATGCTGATTATGATGTGTTATATGCTGATTATAATTTGTTATATGCTGATTATGTTTTGTTATGTGCTGATTATGATGTGTTATACGCTGATTATGATATGTTATATTTGTTATATCGCGGCCGTGGCGCAATGGTTACAGGGCTTGCTTTATAAAGAGATCCAGGTTTTTTGCGTCACGGTAAGGAAGGAGGCGTGAACTTCCTGGTTAAATGCACTTTTGCGATGCTCTGTGACAAGACTATTAGGTCTTCTTGGGGCACCTAAATAACAAAAAAAAATGCTGATTATGATGTGTTATATACTGATTATGATTTGTTATATGCTGATTATGTTTTGTTATATGCTGATTATGATGTGTTATATACTGATTATGATTTGTTATATGCTGATTATGTTTTGTTATATGCTGATTATCATGTGTTATATGCTGATTATGATTTGTTATACGCTGATTATGATTTGTTATATGCTGATTAAGATTTGTTATATGTTGGTTATGATTTGTTATATGCTGATTATGATGTATTATATGCTGATTATGATAATGAAACATTATCATTAAATCAGGTTTAGGTTTGTGATCAGGATGTTGGTTTTCCAAAATATAAAATTTTTGAAGAAAAGTACAATTTTTCATTTCATCAATTCATAAAAATAAATCATTTATTTCGATAATTATATTTGAGAACTATTATTTTCTAATTGCAATAATTTTGGTACCTCTGTTCTATCTCCTTCACGTGGTATTGCTCACCTTGCTCTTCAGAGTATTTGTCCTTGAATTTGTCCAGGTGAGTGAGTCCTATAACCCAAAAAGCTTTAGATTAATCACTAATTGCTTGTAATTTTTAGCTCTGTGGTTGCCCAGAAAGCCATTAAAATTTTTCTTGAAGCAGTTCCATGATTTTCTCTCAGTAATACTGAGTTTGTTAAAAAAATGCGTTGATTTGAGTATTGATACCTTATCTATCTTGGAGATAAGAAAAGGAGCAAGAAAGCTATTATCTTAAATTCTATAATGATTTCCAAAGAGTATTTGTTGTATTGCAGAGCTTCTAGAAGGGCTTTTACACTGGGGCAATCTTCTTTTAGACTTACTGAATAAGCTAGGGGGAGTTGGCAATTAGTTTTAGTTGTGTAGAAATGCCTCCTTTAAACTTTTTGTAGAGTTGTCTATAAATAGCCGTCAGTTTGTGGGCTTAAATGGCACCTGAATTGTGGAAAACTGTCATCATGACAAAGGCTAAGGCTATCTCTAATAGTAAAAAAGCTTGAAAATGTATCGTTTTCTCTGATTAGTAACATGTACTTCATCTTTGATCAAGTTCCACTGCTTCATTATAGAAATGAAATCATATAACTAAGTCATTAACATCTTTTTGTTTAGAAAAATAAGGAACTTACTCTAATATTTCATGTTATTACTCAGTATCGTAATCTTCTTCGTAATCTTCTTCATCTTTATAATTTTGTTTGTGATAAAGATAATCAACTTATTATTAGCACTGAAACTCTTTTTTTTTAATTCTTTATTTAATAGAAACTAAAAGCACCTGTACAGTTTATCTTATGTCAAGTAATGAATAAAGTCAAACTATATTTCTTTCTCAATATTTTAAACATTATTTGAAACCGGTATTAGATCGTATATTGGTAAATGATTAATTATATTTTTTGTGGAATTTAAAAAAACAAAGTAAAAAATGAACTTTTTGACAATTTTTGCTTGATATTTTATCTAAGAAAGAGTTTAAAAGGATACGTTTTATAATGGGGAGAGCTATTTTCAAGCATATGACCTTACGTAGCATTAAATTTAATAATAGACAAAAACATATCCTTGACCCTTGTGAATTTTTTTTTCAAATAAAAAATTGTTCTAACTGTTTAGTAACTTATAAAAATGGATTAAATGTTAAATGATATAATTAAGTATATGAAACAGTTTAGAAATTTGTAAATAACAAAACAAAGCACCCCCGGTTATTTAAAATCTAACTTTAAGTTTTTTCTGAAACCGTATAGCCGTATCCTTTTGTATTAGTATATGTATTTTATTTAATAATTATTTTTTGTTTTTGTTTTTTATTTCAGGAAAAAGATTTGACTTCTTTCAATAATATGGACAAAAATATAGATGCAATTCAGAGGTTTTCTCGTCAGAGTGTTCGAAACTCCGCTCTAGCTCGGACCTCGCTAAATCTTTCTTTGATTCCAAAACGGTCAAGTTCAAATCAACGAGGTGACCCAGATGGCGCTGAAGATGATTGCTACGAGATATTTTTAAATTCTCAAATTAACGATTTACAAGAAAAAATAGATGAGGTGGACTGTCAATTTACAAATTACACAAGACAATCACTAGTTCTCTCAAACCAAATTAAAAGATTGGAAGGAGAACTGATTGGTCAAGTTGAAAGCGCGCGAAATGCTTTAAACAACTCAGACTTGCTCAATTTAAGTGAAATTGTTCATAATTCAAATAATAACTTGAATGCGGCTCGTTCTCAGCTTACCCACGCTATTATTGGAAAGTCGGAATGCATTAAAAGATTAGACGCGTATAAGAACGAACTTGCTGAAAGACAGTCTATGCTTGATCAGCATAAAAGAAAATCTGAGAAGTGGAAAGATTCCTCTGAAACTTAAGAGCGAAATACATGAATAAAAAAAATACATGGACTGATATTACCTATTAGATTTTCAACTTTGATAAATGTTCATTTACAATCATTTTTTTAATTGCATAAAAACTTAAAAGAAGCGTAAAAATATATATATTCTGAAATTTTACAAAAATAAAAAGAATAAAAAAGCTCTACTAATGAACAGTTTTCTTGATAATTTCAACTTTTATCGTTGGTAAAGTGATCAATATGTTAAAACAGTTGCTTCCAAGGCAAAAAATAAAATCGATTATTTATATTTTTTTTTATTGAAAAATTTAATCTGCGAAAGTTAATTATGTCTTTCAAAAAAGTTGAATATAAAGAAATGTGAAGTTCACTTTTCTTAATATTCAACGCTTAATATTTATATTTATTTAAATTTTGTATATTCACTTGTATTTTTATGTGTGAGTAACTTATATATTAATATATTAAATTTTATATGGTCTGTATAACGACAATGGTGTCTATATACAGCCGGATACATCTAAATATTTGTTGACTTTGTATTTTTATTCTACGAAATAAATAAATAAAGATTTATTAAAACAAGTTTAAAAATTACATGTTCTAAAGGACATACAGGTCTAATAAATGGATACTGATAATATGCCCCTAAATAAAATAATAAAGTACATATGAAACAAATATATTTTATAATTAAAACATTAAAGGTTTCATTCATTCATTTACTTTATAGACACAGTGTTTATCGAAATTGCACGATCTTTTTTTATTTTTAAAAATACAAATGTTATCAGCATTTACAGCTTCTGATGTCAGATTATTCCAGATATTTACAACTCGTTGAGAAGAACAATATTTGCGAATGTCGAGTTGCAAATGTCGTTGCTTGCGAATCTTATAGATATGACTACATATTTATTATTGATAATTTTGAAAAACAAACTTTTATCTATGCAAACCAAATTATGCATAATTTTGAAACATATAACTAAATCATGTTTTAAACGTCTGAGCTCCAGAGAATCCAAACCAAGCAGCTGTAAATGGCTAGAATAGCTTAAACAACGAAAATTAGTAATTTTTTTTTTGTGAATCGTTTTTGAATATTTTCAATAGATTTTATTAACATAGTTTAATGTGGCGACCAAACTGGAGAGGAATATTCAATAAGTGGTAAATAAAAAAAAAATGTATGCAGTCATGGAATTTAACAAAACGATTCATGCTTTGTTTACGCTAAGTTAGTTTTTCAATAACTTATATAGAAAGATATAGAAGGATTGATATAATGCATCTTTAAAAGTTGTTTTTTTTCACCTTTCATTAAGGCGCACCTTTATTTAGGCGGATTGCGCGTTTCTGACGGAGATAAAGATGTTGCAACTTACTTTTTTCTGTACTTCCCTAAGCAACATTGGCATAATTTAAATAACTATGTATATATGAATAATAAAGTTGGATTAAGTCTTTCTTATTGAGATAGATTCGTGATTTATATAGGATATAACAAAATCTCTTTTTATTTCCTTTTGATCAATAAAGATTTAAGGTAATTTTGATGGGAGAAATTGCTTTTTTGTAATCGAAGAAATAAAACCCATTTTGTTTTATTAATATTCAAGGTTAACTAATTACACTTGAACCAATTAGATATATGTCTGAGTTTTTTGTTCACTGTTTTATCCATACTGCAGCCATTATCCATACTGCAGCCACATTATCCATACTATCCATACTGCCATATTATCCATACTGCATATTATATATACACTAACCTTGACGAACTGTAGAACTTTTGTATATATATATATATATATATATATATATATATATATATATATATATATATATATATATATATATATATATTATTTCAAGATATTGAGGACTTTTTTAAAAAAAGACAATTGTGCTCTCTCCCCCCCCCCCCCTCCTTTCGAAACCTGTGTCGTCGGCCCTGTATATTATTATTATTCTATCTGAAGGTACCTTTTTATTTCATATTAATTCACTAGAACCAAGGCCATGAAGGCCACTACAGTCGAGGAGGCAACTTTATTTGTGATTACAACCCTCTCACAACTCTATAATTCTGAAAAACTAACCTTGACGAACTTGACCGCGTGCGGAAAAACAAGTTGAGCGCGGTACTACCAGGGACGTGGTGGGGGGTTGAACTCGGATTTTTCTTGCTTATTACCAGAACCCATACCTACACACTATCAGACTTCTTTTAGAGTTTTTTTTTTTTATCAAGCTGAGTTTTTTTAAACAATTATAAAAATAACAAAAAGATCAGTATGTGTTTTTTCTTGCATAGAAAAATCTACCTGATTTATGTATAATTATAATTCTTAGCTGACGTAGTTTTATTATTATTTTACCTTTCTTGTTTAAGTGCTACAAAATTATTTGTGGTGCAAAAATATTTTCTTTACCATTCATTATAATGAATGGTAAAGAAAATATTATCTCATTTGTCTCATGTTGGCTAATATTAGACAACATGAGACGAACCATATCGTTTTACTAATTTAACTTAACTGGAATATTCGTAAAACTGTTTTACTAAAACAGTTTTACTAATATACCAGTTTTACTTATATGATTAGAAGAAAATACTTTGTAAAATTCAAAATAACTTTTTACTGAACACAACAGTGAAAGTAGGGGAGAACATTTTTAATATTTTTTTAAGTTGAATAATTTTGCTTATGTCATTTTGTAACTTAACTATTCACCTCTTGTATGGTTGCTTTTGGTAAGCTATAGAAGCATCTAGTATGACCAAAAAAGAATTTTTGTAAAAATGGAGCGGGTTAGCACCCTTGATCCTAATGCGTTTATGCACCTTTGATCCTATGATCAAAGGTGCATACACACACACACATAAAATGTTTAACTTTTAAAGTAACATGTACAATACGTCATATTGTTTTTAAATATATTTTTTTTCTTCTAGAATAAAGCCTTAAAATAAAGATTTTATACTATTTTGTATTTTTTTGTTCTCCTAAAACTTATATATAATATAATTGTATTCAACATATATACAATAAAGTATTCAACATATATATATATATATATATATATATATATATATATATATATATATATATATATATATATATATATATATATATATATATATATATATATATATATATATATATATATATATATATATATATATATATATATATATATATATATATATATATATATATATATATATATATATATATATATATATATATATATATATATATATATATATATATATATATATATATATATATATATCTGTGTGTGTTTGTGAATAAAGAAGATTTTAGTAAGTAAAAATCTTTATAAATATTTATCCAAAAATTAGGAATATAGCAAAACTATATAAATATGTTTCATTTTTTTACAGTTAAATATGGTGTATCATAAAAAACGAAAAGCCAATAGACTACCTAGAGGTAAAGTTAATGAGAATGAAATGAGAGCAGCTGTTAATGCAGTTCTTAATGGTAGTACAGTTTATCGTGTATCTAAAGAGAGGGGAATCAATTTAATGACACTAAGAGATATGTAAGGAAATGTCAATTAAATCCATATACAGTCTGCAAACCAAACTTCATTACCATGCAAATCTTTACCAACGAAGAAGAAACATCTTTATCAGATTATCTTTTAAGGCCCTCAAAACTTCACTATGGATTATCAACCAAAACAACACGAAAACTTGCCTATGAATTTGCAATGACTCTTTCTAAGCGCATTCCTAAATCGTGGAAAAGTTTACAAATTGCTGGGAAACAGTGGCTTCGTGGTTTTATGTTACTTAGGAATGAGTTATCTTTAAGAAATCCAGAAGCTACTAGTATGGCACGAGCAACTGCTTTTAATTGTTATACAGTCGGAGAATTTTTCACCAATCTAAAAGATGTTTGTCTACGACACAAGTTTCAGCCACAAAACATATATAATGTTGATGAGACAGGTCTCACAACTGTTCAAAAACCAGTTAAAGTAATTGCTAAAAAAGGAGATAAACAAGTTGGAAGGATAACTTCAGCAGAAAGAGGGACATTGGTAACAGTTTGTTTTGCAGTCAATGCAATAGGAAACTCAATCCCTCCATTTTTTATTTTTCCAAGAGTTCATTTCAAAGGAAGTATGATAAATGGTGGTCCACCTGGATGTGTTGGGGTTGCAAACCCATCTGGTTGGATGAATGTTGCAACGTTTTTAGAGTGGATGAAACATTTTATTCAAAATGTGAAATGTTCACCAGCTAATCCAGTGCTTTTACTTCTTGACAACCACGAGAGCCATGTTTCAATTGTGTGTTCAGATTTAGCTTAAAAAAATGGCATAACTATGCTGTCCTTTCCACCACATTGTAGTCACAAGTTGCAGCCATAAGATCGGTCAGTTTATGGGCCACTGAAACGTTATTACAATGCAGCCTGTGATGATTGGATTGTATCTAATCCAAGACCGATGACCATATATGATATAGCTTCAGTTGTAAGGAAAGCCTATGCACAAGCTTTTACTTTGTCTAACATTTCTGCAGGATTTGCTGTGGCAGGAATTGAACCCTTTAATCCTAACATATTTTCTGATAATGAGTTTTTGTCTTCATATGTAACAGACCGTCCAGAACCTGTTACTGCTAACCCTTTTCCAGGTGTTGTTGATCCAGTTCATGCCCCAGCTTTTAATCAATCATTGATATCAAGTCTGTCATCTGGTTCAGCTTGTAGTGTATTGCCTATTCAGCCTATATCTGACCCTGGAAGTCAACTTTCCAGTGTTTCTAATAATATCTCTCATCAAGCAAGTCTAGAAAAAATTAGGCCATTTCCAAAAGCTGGATCAAGGAAATCCATTAAAGGACGTAAACGTCAGCGTACTCGAATACTCACAGACACTCCTGTTCGAAATGAGTTAAATAAGCTCTAGGAAATAAAAAAAAAATCTCAGTCAAAAAAGAAAAAACATGAAATGCAAAATAAGATCTTCATGACAAGAAAAAGAAAACTTGATCTTGAAAGTAATGAAAACAAAAACGTTGAGTCTCAGTCAAAAATAACATTTTTTTCATTAATTTTTACTTTTTTAAGAAAGATAAATTTGTAGTAAAATTAATAATAACTTTATTGGTTTTTATTATAGACATTGTTTTGATGACTTAAAAATTATTCTTATACAATCATGGTATACGTTTGACCTCGAATCAAGTATACATACATAGGATCAAGGGTGCATATAGGTAGGATCAAGGGAGAATAGGGTATGCACCCATGATCCTAATTGAGCTTTCTTAGTTTTTACAATTTTAAATCTACTTAAAATATTCTGGTAAAAAAATGATAATTGAATTATAATAAGGTATAAAATTTGCTATTATGTACTGTTATTTTAGAGATTGAAATAAAAATATATATTCAGTAAGTTGATCTGATAGATTTTTAGGATCATGGGTTCATACTCTCCCCTAAAGTAAAATGAAGAAAATAACGTTTCATTGAAAATATCATTGTTTTCAGGTTGCATTACAGTAATACTTGTTAGTAATTTATATTTATGGAATCGCCAAATCCCCACAGTTTAAAGGGGCTACAAAATTTATATCCTCGTAATTTTTGAACGCTAAAAAATTACTCTATGAGTAACTGAGATCGGTCCCGTAAAAATATGGGTCTTTGTAAGTCTATTCCGAACCGAACTTTTCTATACTTTTTCCTAGCTTTCCGGATCCGTAAAATACAGGTCTTTATCAAACCTACCATTTCTATACATATCTATTCCACACCGATTATTTATTTACCTATTCCTTATTTACTTCAATATTTTTTAATGAAACAGTTTATTCCAAAAAAAAAACAGAACTTTTTTCAATCTTGCTTGTATATCTATAGCAAAAAAACAATAATATAGCAAAAAAGATTTCTAAAATTTAAAATAAAATTTTTAAGTTTTCTCATTTTATAGATATATTATACGCGAAAGCCAAAAAAATTTTGCGCATTGACGTCGGTTTGTGGCAAAATAAATCTTTATGTGTCAAGTTTCCTTTTTGCATTTACTTTACATTTTTTGAATAATTTCAATTATGTTGCATACAATTGCTTAAAAATATGTAAAACTGTTACAGATATATCATTTCACAAATAAGAGATTGTATTTATTACAATAGTAATAAAAAAATAGTTTTTATCTTTATTAGAATATATCCCATAAAAATATACTCCCTATATCTTTAAAAGGAGTTTTTAAAAAAAAATTAAACAAAATCATATTTCTACACCTTTTCAAGATGTTATTGAGAACTTGAAAGTTGTAATTAAGAAAAGAAAGATGTAATTGAGAAGCACAACATGTAATTTAGAAGTCGCAATATATAATTAAGCAACACAACATGTAATTGGGAAATTTTAAAATGTAATTGAGAAACCTAACATGTAAATAGGAAATCACAATATGTAATTAGAAAAACAAAAGTTGTAATTAAGAAATCGTAATATGTAAATGAGAATACATTATTTGTAATTGCGAACTCACAATGTAAGCTTAAAGGTCATTATAAAAGATCTTCTTGGAAATGCATTTTAAAAGTTAGTAATATCAAATTTAGCATTTGCATAAACCAGCATTACAGTATTACAGTAACGGAATTGAAAGATCGTTGTGTTATTTGTCAATACACTATGAACAAAAAGTCTGTTATTAAATCAAATCCGTGCAAGCATTTATTTCACCTAATTTGTTTACATCCACTTTTTTTTTTTTTTTTTTTTTTTTTTTTTTTTTTTTAATGTTGATTTAGGTGCCCCAAGAAGTCCTTACGGTCTTATCACAGAGCACCGCGAAAGGAACAACTTCTGGAACAATCAGAATCGAAAGGAACACTTCTGGAACAATCGAAATCGAAAGGAATCGAAAGGAACACTTCTGGAACAATCAGAACCACCTTGTCCAATTTGTAGACATGAAATACATACAATTGAAAAATTAAAAAAAAAAAACATGTTTTATCTTCATCGAATGATAGAAGAAGAGTTATTAAATGTGCTGAGCAAAATGACGATTGGGTTACTCTGGCGCAAACTTTAGGTGTTAAATATAAGACAGCATAAAATTAGGTCCGCAGCGGAAATTTAAATTTCATTGGAAGACACATTTGTAGATTTGGTGTAGTTACCGCCAAATCTACAAATGCCTTTTTTATCACTTTTTTATTTTATTGATAATATGTTATTATTTATTGAAAACCAACCCATATGGTCACCATGACCAAATTAGAATCCAACCTAAAATTACAAGGTAAACTAAGGCAACAAAATTAAAAATACAAAGAACTTCTTTCTGATGATATATATTATAAATTTTTCTCAATTGCAACTTTTATCTTCTCAATTACGATTTCTCATTCACAACTTTCATCATCTAAATTACATCTTAAGTTTGTCAATTACAACTTTCATCTTCTAAATTACATCTTACGTTTCTTAATTACAACTTTCATAAACATGTATATAAACAAAATAGACCAAAATATATTTTTAACTTTTACTACTAATAATAACTCAATATATTATCTAATGAAAGAATGAGCTTTTTCAGTTTTTTTTTAAAAAGGCAAAAAGTAATAGGTACTTCAAAATTAAAATTCGCCAAAACAATTTTATTCCAAAGGTGTGGCACTCGATAGGTAATACAAAGTTGACTAAAGTTTATTTGACAGAAAGGTTCATTTAAAAAGTTATTATTTCTCAAAATATATTTATTGACTGGTTTAAAAGAGAAAGGATCTTTGAAAACGGCTAGGGATTATTTATCCACATATATACAAAACATAAAATATTAAATACATTTAGCTCGTAAATATTCAGAATTCTCATTTCAATAAAATAATGCTTCGAATGAGAGAAGCGATTTGCAAAATTGATTATACGGATTGTGCGTTTCTGACGGAGATAAAAATGTTGTAACTTACTTTTTCTGTACTTCCCTTAGCAATATTGGCATAATTTAAATAACTATGTATATATGAATAATAAAGTTGGATTAAGTCTTTCTTATTGAGATAGATTCGTGATTTATATAGGATGCCAATGTTTTTGGAAATTTTTGTGCTTATATAATCAATATGATGATTCCAGGCAAAGTTTTCATCAAGATAAACACCTAAAAAATTTGTAACAAAATCTCTTTTTATTTCCTTTTGATCAATAAAGATTTGAGGTAATTTTGATGGGAGAAATCGCTTTTTTGTAATCGAAGAAATAAAACCCATTTTGTTTTATTAGTATTCAAGGTTAACTAATTACACTTGAACCAATTAGATATATGTCTGAGTTTTTTGTTTACTGTTTTATCCATACCGCAGCCATTATCCATACTGCAGCCATATTATCCATACTATCCATACTGCCAAATTATCCATACTCCATATTATTATCTATACTGCCATGTTATCCACACTGCAGCCATTTTTTGATAATGCCGTACACATTAAAAAAAAGTAGAAATTTCTACCTTAGGGTAGGATATGTGATATACTCTTAGTAAAGTATAATTTTCTACCTTTTAAGGTAAATAATTATATTAAAAACAATTATTTGTTATACAATTTTTTACCTTAAAGATATAATTTTCTACCTTAAAAGGTAAAAAACTATACCTTACGAAGGATATATTACATATCCTACCTTGAATAGAAATTTCTCCCTTTTTTTTTAGTGTGTACGGTGAAAAAAAAATTATTCAAATAATAATATTTTATTAATAAATAATTAATAAATAATTAATTTATTAATTAATTATTTATTAATTAAAAAATTATTTGAAAATATCCTGGGTTGGGCTTGAAATTATACTGGTACGTTTTTTTAATTGAAAAAAAAGTAAATATATTTTCTAAGGAAAAGATTATTTCATACATCTACATATATAGAGTACATCTGTAATAAAACGGGTCAAAACACATCTAAAAAAAGGGTGAGTCTATTCGCACGCACGTGTGAATAGATTATATCTTATTATAGTATATTCACACATCTAAAAAAAAGGGTGAGTCTATTCGCACGCACGTGTGAATAGATTATATCTTATTATAGTATATTCACACGTTTAAAAAAAAAAAAAAGTTAGATTTTTAATATGAAATCTCTCATAAACAAAAAAAATGTTTATAACTAATGTCATATTTTAAAAGCAATTTAATTTTTTTAATAAATTACGATAAAAATAAATAAAATTACTTGAACGTAGTTAAATTTTTATTCAAAAAACAAACAAAACGTGCAAATAGATAAAATAAACATTAGGAAATACTTCTTTTTTTTTAAATAAAA